CGCCAGAGCGGTACCTATTTATCTACTTGCACTTTGATGTGCTTTCGAACTGCTAGGTTGGCAGGAGCAGGGACTGAGCAACAGGAACTCACAGGGATTCGAACCGCCGACCTGATTGGCAAGTCCTAGGCGCTGAGGTTTAACCCACAGCGCTACCCGCATCCCTTTCCTCTGAGCATGTATAGGCTACCTAGTTCTTCACCAATGGGTAAGAAATCCTGCTCCCACACATCTAGCACTAAGCAGCAGGGCACCCGCACAGGCCTGCTCCCCCCCAGTTCCTGTTTTAGGAAGTAAGCAACGCCTGCTTCCCCCACAACAGTAGCCTTCTGAGATCAGTCCTAGTTTACAGTGGTCTTTAGCTCCACCAAACCTCATGCAGTTTCCACTACTCTCTCATTGACTGCACCTCCGTCCTTTCCCCATGGGTGCCAGTGCCAGCGTTTGAGGGAGTTGTACGGTGTACCTGATATGATTCTCCATCCCATGAACCTCTTAAAATTCCAGGGGCTCTCATGGTGCATAGTGGTGCAAACAAGAGACTTCAGCAGAAAAGCAGTCAGCACAATAGCACAGAGGGAAATAAATAAAGTACCCCAGTGCCACCTGCAGGCCACTAGTACTACTGCATTTTGCTACCTGCTCTGATTATCTTTTGTCTTTCTTTTAGGGCCCGAGGCTGAGGGCGGGGGGGGGGGGCGGGAATGCTACGTGAGCCCTTGCATCTGTCAGTGCAAGGTGCAGTATTATTCCTAGGGACGTTGGGACAATATATGTTGGAAAGCTTAAGAAAGTGGGTTGTGTCCTTTTTGTTTGCTTACGTCTGAGCCACAACGTTAAGGCTGCCACAAGTTGATGCGCCACACAAGTCTGCTTGAGAATTGTGCCCCAGGATGTCTCTCAGAGGATGCTGAGGTGCAACTCTTTGATCACCTGTAGCATGCACAACCTGGGAATTGTATGCCAACATCCTCTGTAACACTGCAACAGACCTGGGGGTGGAGCGTTGCAACGTGTCACTGATACAATAAGAGCGCATCATTTATACTGGGCTGTCCACAGATACTCTACCTCAGCTACTTGGGTTACAGGTCCCTGTTTATAAGGGGAATACAGTGGTACCTCGGGTTACATACGCTTCAGGTTACAGACTCCACTAACCCAGAAATAGTACCTCGGGTTAAGAAATTTGCTTCAGGATGAGAACAGAAATCGTGCTCCGGCGGCGCGGCGGCAGCAGGAGGCCCCATTAGCTAAAGTGGTGCTTCAGGTTAAGAACAGTTTCAGGTTAAGTACGGACCTCTGGAACGAATTAAGTACTTAACCTGAGGTACCACTGTATCTAAGCCTTAAATCGATTGTTCTTTGGGAGGAAGAAATTCACAATACCCATGTTCTGGGGTGACCTGTCCCATTTCAGCACCCAAGGCCGAAAGGGAAGGGGCACCTCATTTATTGGGGATGAACAGGGCTTCTGGCAAGATCTCACAATAAGCTCCTGCCATTGCTTCTTGTCACTTCTCTGGTGCCTCCGCCTTGTGGGATTCCACCGCCCGAGGCAGCTGCTTCCATCTGACTCATAGGCGGGCTGGCCCTGGCCCTGATGAAAATGTGATTTCTCTGGTGCAGCAGTTGTCAGGCTTTCCCATTATTTCATAGGTCATAGGAGCCAACTCCTCGGGGCCCTGAGGTCTTCGGCCCCCACAATAAAATATTTGCCATTCAGATAGTGTGTGCTCAGTCATGTGATCAGTTATGTGGGGCGGGGCTTACCTGAAGGCTGTGAGTTTAAAATGGCAGGCTGTGACCTGCAAACTTGAGTACAGTGGTACCTCGGGTTAAGTACTTAATTCATTCCGGAGGTCTGTTCTTAACCTGAAACTGTTCTTAACCTGAAGCACCTCCTGCTGCCGCCGCGCCGCCAGAGTCCGGTTTCTGTTCTCATCCTGAAGCAAAGTTCTTAACCTGAGGTACTATTTCTGGGTTAGCGGAGTCTGTAACCTGAAGAATATGTAACCTGAGGTACCACTGTATAGCAAAGTAAATGTCAGGAAAGCTAAGCATTATTTTATTTTATTATTACCAGTGTAAAAAAACAAAACCCAGAGACTGCACATGAAAATTATGGGATTAGATTCATATATATGAAACCCACTAATGACTCTGGTCCCTTGCTCATGTTGTGGCTCTTTTGTTAAAACAACGACTTTATGTGGTTTAAGCTCTCAGGTGTAAAGAGATGGTGCCTGGTGTGACAGCACTGTTGGGAGGCAGGAGAGAGGTGCAGCTGGAGGAGGAATTTAGTCATTCTCCAAGACCTCCAAGTGACTGATGCCATTTTCTGTCATCTGAGTGGAACTGGAAGTTGACCGTCCTGGCATTCCTGCACTAGGAATGGTGCAAGAAGGAGCCCAGTGCAGTGTATTCATATAACTGGGTTGGAGCCATCCTTCCTTTGCCTCACACAACAACTTGGTTGGCTAACATCTGATATGGCCCGAGTTAATGATATTTCATAGGAAAATAGGCTTTGCATTTTGTCTGCTTTCCTAGAAATCCTTACGAGGGGAGTCTCCCACCAGTTACACTCATTGATGAAAAGAAAACTCCTCTTGTCAAGCCGCAGAGGCTGCTATTCTATGCCTCTTCAAACCTCTCCTCCTGCCATTCCCTTCCACGCACCTGCCCTGCAATTGCCAGGGAGGAGTGAGGGGTCTGGATCATGTAGCACCACCTTCAGATGCCACAGGGTGGTTCAAAATCTTGAGCAGGGTCTTAGGCATGTTTACCCAGAAGCAGGACCCGCTGCGTTTGATAGGGCTTACTCCCAAGGATTGCAATGTCCTCCTTCTGTTCTCTGCTTAGAAAGGACACATGAGGTCTGATAAGTGGTAGAAGCAGATTTGAGTGATCACTGGCTTTTATTGTTTTGGTGGCCCATGTGAAATGGCTGAGCCGGATGGCAAATTGGATCCTCTTCAATCGGTGCTGAACAGCCATCATGTTTTTCTTTCACACCACACTTGATCAAACACCTGTCATTTCAGTAATTATGTGTATTTAAACCAAATACCTTCTTCCCAAACTTCAGTGTAGGGACCTTTCCCCCTAAATACATAGGTGAAACTAGTGTGTCTCTTAGATGGGATAGAACTGTCAAATGCTATTATTTACTGTGAGAAAAGTTTCAGGGGGTTGGATGTAGACTTTAGTCATGCTTAGGGGAGACACACTGAAATCAATAGGACTTAAGTTAGTGATTTAAATGGACCGCCCCTAAGCATAACTGACTATAGATCCAGCCCTAAGCATTTGCTTCAGGAATATGGAATACAGAATATTCCCAATTAAGTTCACACACCGAAGTCAAAATAGCTCCCCCATACAAAATAGGCCAAATTCCACAGCGTGGGTTTCAGCAGTGTGCCATCAGCCTCAGCTGCCCACAGCTCTTCTTGCTTTAGCCATTTCCTCAAAGGAAGGCTTATTGGCTGCTACTGCACGCAAATCACAAGGAAAACTCACTTTAAAAAGTTTGGCTTTCATCAAAACCAGTACGAGGAGGAGGGAGCCATTGCGGCTGTGTGGCTCTAGACACACAGCTGTGTGCCCTTCAATCTCAGACCCGCCAGTTAATCAAGGGCAAGCTTTAATCACAGATTACTCTGCCAATTAAACTGATTAAAGTTTGCCGCCCAAGTCCTCGTGTCCTTAATGTACAAAGCAGCATCAGAGCGGCAGGCTGGCCTTCCTAAGGAGGCATAAGCAGCTCTTAGGAGAGGCAACAGCAACACCCTGCCGGCTTTGAGGCGCATCTTGATTGATCCAGCAGGCAGAGTGGCAGTGTGCTTGACCCAATCTGTGTTTTACAATACTGGCCGACTGAGGGTTGATAACAGAGAAACAGCTAAGGGCTCTCGGAGGTCTACGAAGGTCCTTGATCGCAGGGAGGGTTCTACTGACTGAACCTTTCCCGGGTTTTGTTCCTCTATTATCAGGGTCAAACTAGATGTTACGGCCAGTGTCTGGCTACATCGAGTTCTAGGCTTATCTCCTCCCTGACAAGCTTGCTTTCCATGTGCAGGGAAGGTTACTGGTATAGAGAAGCAATCAGGTAATGAGAAGCCCCCACTTGCAGCATGAAGAGGTATGACTCAGATATGGGTTGACCCCTTCCGTGAGAACCGGGTCGGAAGCTGCTGGAACTGGCCAACTGGAAAAACTAACAGGGGCATCTTCCCAAACTCCCTGCTGATGATGTCAAACGCTGCATTTGCACTTTATCTGGCTCGAGATGTCCGCCGATTGGGGAAGTTGATTTACACCTGGGGTCAAATGTGGTCCCACAGGCTTCTCTGTGTGGCCCTTGGGACTCTTTTCAGCCGCACACCCGCTCACCACAGGCCACACCAGCTCTGCCTCCTACCCTTCGCGAGTGTGTAGGCTTCCTTGAACTCAAATAATGCCTCATTGACCATTGCCTCATTGCCTGGAGGAGAGAGAGGGCTGGTGTGTGAGAGTGTATAGAAAATAGCCTCATGGACCAAGGTAAAATGTGCAGTAGTTACTTGTGCCCAGTTTTGCCCCTAATTCTGCCCCCTGTGGGCACGTGCCTCCAGTTCCCCATCCCTGGTCTACACTGGCTGGCAGCAGCTCCCAGATTCTCGGGGGAAAGTCCTTCCCCGTCACCTGCTCCCAGGCCCCTTTTCAATTGGCAATGCCAGAGGGTGAACCTGGGATCTTAGGCATGAAAGGCATGTGGCCCACCACTCCGCTATGGCCCCTCCCACAGCACGATGCCACCTCAGTTCTGGGCAACTGTCACTGAGAGAGGTGAAGAGTGTGCTTCGGATTGGCAAGAGGAAAACCGGTTTGGCTTTAGGGACCCCAAGAGAAGACGCCTGCCGTGAGCCACATTTCCCCATCATCACTCCAAGCAAGCTCCAATTCCAGCATTTATTTACCATTTTATAATTCTGTTTATATATACATATATATATATATATTAAAAAAGCCATTGAGAGAGAAAGGTAGATAGCAACAGACCTGACAAAAGAGAAGGATACACAGGGCAGGGGAGCTTGGAGCTGGGCGGGGGGGAGAAGGAATCACAGAGTAGGAGGAAAGGGACTTTTCAAATGTTTTTTCCTTTTTTGTTTTTTAAATTCCAAGCCACCTAAATAGACCAACTAGAAGACTTCAAAACACCAGTCCTAAGATACCTAAAACAAACTCGAGCACAAGGGTTTGAAATATTTACAGACCAGGGAAAAGATGGGGTTTATTTTGCGTAGGGTTGCTCAAAACATCAGAGTACTTTTGTTATTATTTTTTATTATTATTTTAAAAAACGTTTTATGCAAAAAAGCAAGGGTTTGCTTCATCCCCAACAAGCAAGAGGAAAAAAAATTACATCAGACAGAGGCTGGAGATGGGGGTGGGGGCTGATTCGGTGAAGAGGCCACTTTCAAAAGACAGAACGTGTCGCAAGGCAGCTGCGTGAGATGCATTCAAGAAGCACAGAGGTTCTTGGGGTTTTTCTTTTCTCTATTGTTTGTGGGGAGGCTGGGAGTGGGGGACAGAGAAAGAGGAGGGGGTGTCTGTGAAATGGTAAGGTATTTGGCCCAGTGGAAGAAACCGTGGGTTTTGGTCATCAGAAAAAAGAGGGACATGAATTAATGTGGCACCCAAAGAGGAAGAAAAAGGAACAAGAGAGATGCACGCGCACACACACCCTAAGTGGGAAATTCAGCACCAGAAGGGGACTAAGTTCTGGCAATGGGTTTCAAACTTTGTTCCCAGGGGTGTAAGCTGGGGCCTCTTGGAAACTAATTTGGGGATTTCTCAGTGAGTCATGGCAGCTAAGTTTCTCCTGAAGAACCCCTTCCTTATGACCACCAATCTTCCACTGCGATGCTTAGTGTGGACCCTGGACCATGTCCCAGAATGCTTGGCAACTCAGACCTCCACGGCAGATGTGCAAGAATGCCTCAGCAGACAAGCCTTGAGACAGAAAGTTTGAAAGCCACTGGTCAAAGGGAACTGCCCCCTGAACAAGGCATGGGTTGGGAAATCAAGCAAGCAAGGAGGGAAGGATTGATAAATCTATGCAGTGGGGTTTGGGGGTGCAGCTGGGGCACACCTCCCCTTGCTAGGTGCAAATGTTAGGAAACTTCAGTTGGCTTAATCCATGAAAAGGGGGTGCATAGCAGAATCAAGAGACCCACAGCTTTTGAACTTTCCAGCCCACTGATACTCATTCCTTTCCCACAGCCATCTTTTCAGCTGTCCCACAAGCCTTCCTTCCTTCTTTCCACAGGCGCAGGCAGAAGACCCCCATGGACTCCCGGCCCCTATTATTCCACCAGCTGTTCTGTCTGCTTCCCATGTCTTGGGGGGCGGAGTGGAGATGGGACTTTGCAGTACCAGTTAGCACCTGCTTCCTAAACACCTACGAAGAAGGAACATTTCTGAGGCTTGGGAAGGGGGTCATCTGTTCTTTTGGCAATTTTGAACCCTGAGCCCCACTAAGCCCCTCTAAGCTTGTCACTGCCCTGCCCTCCTCGCCACAAACACACACACACACACCCAATTTGGCTGAAGGATAACTGGGTTTTGGGAGGGGGTGCAGAAAAGAGAGATATGACTTTGCTCAGGGCTGGTGAATAATTATGGGAATCCCCTGATTTTCTAACCCTCCCTGATGGGGTGGGGGGGTCAGCTAGTAAACAAAGGGGTGAATTCCCCCAATTACCACTTCTGCTTGAGCAATTATTATTTCTTTGTTTCTTTCCCTTGGTGAGGAGGGGGTTCTCCCTGTGTCCTCAACCCAATAATCCACAGGGAAATCCTCTTCCCCCGGGGTTGGGGGTATCCTTTGGGGAAGTGCCCCCTCTTTTATTCCAGGGCAGTGACCACATTGGTGGGGCTCGTAGCCCCTGAGCTGTCATTTCCCCCTCCTTCTTTGCCCTTTTGACCGCTGTACTGGCCGATGAAGGAGCCGTCCTCATTGAACTGGACATCCACGCTGCCCCCATAGTCAGCCAAGCTGTCGTCGCTTCCCAGGGCTTTGATTTCGCCATTCAGGGAGGGCTGGCTGCTTGTGAAGGGTTTCTCCTCATTATCACTGCAGGGAGGAAAGAAGAGGGATGAGAAAGGGCAAGAGCAGCAACTAGTGTGCTCTACATTCCACTAGGCAAGGCAGACCTCAAAGGGAAGCATACAAATCATGGGTGCAGGAACCTGTGGCCCTCAAGGTGCCATTGAACTCCAACTCCCATCATTCCCGACCATTTCTTACATTGGGTGGGGCTGATGGGAGTTGGAGTCCCAACACCTGAAGGAATATAAGGCAGCATGCAAAACTGCAAGACTTGAATCTTTGGGGGGGGGGAGAGAAGTCAAGTGCACGCATACAACTGTGTGCCAGAGGACCAGTCCACACATTACAAATATGGCTTCACACACTGTGGGAACGGCTGTGAGAGAAAGTGCATCTGCAGCGCACTTGTAGCCCTGCCCCCATCATTCAGCCCAGACACTGAGGTCCAGCTCCAAGGTTCCCTCATTGCAAGAAGGCAAGTTACAGGGAACCTTTCTTGGTAGTGGTGTCCTCCCTGTGGAACGCTCTCCCACCAGATGCCAAGGGAATAAACCACTATCTGACTTTTAGAAGACATCCGAAGGCAGCCCTGTTTAGGGAAGTTTTTAATGTTTGATGTTTTCTGTGGTTTATAATGTGTTGGAAGCAGCCCAGAGTGGCTGAGCAACCCAGACAGATGGGCGGGGTACAACAACAACAACAACAACAACAACAACAACAACGAGGTGGAGGAGGAGGAGGAGGAGGAGGAGGAGGATAAGTCACCTTAGGGCTTATCCGCACTTAACCTTTCCTCTGGAGAGTTCCCCAGTGGCTCTTTACTAAACAGTGGCTCTTTACCACTGAATTGGAGCATTGCTCTTCATTGTGCTTCAATTTTAAAGAGTGGGTTTTCACGGGGAAAGCTCTGGGGCAAAAGATGGAGCTTCAAAGCATGGGAAGAGCAGGGCAAAAGGTTAACATCGAGAAGCCCTTAGGCAACAGGTTTGGGCTGTCATTTAAGTACAGCAGAGTGGAAGACAGACAGACCTGTCCCCTGGGGCTTAAGTCACTGAGAAGTAGCACTGTTTATTTCAGTGGGTCTTGTGCAATAGAAGCTCTTGGTGGATTGTGCCCCATCTCAGTGGGTAGAAGGAGAATGCACTTTTGATTATGCACTTCAGGCACAAACATGCTCAGCCACAGTAATCCACAGGATCACTCTCTGGCTCTGTACACACTATACCCTTCCCCCAAAAGAATCCTGGGAATTATAGCGCTGCAAAGGGTAAACTACAGTTCCCAGTATTCTTCAGGGGAAGCAATGTGTTTTAAATGTGAGGTGTGTACAAAGCCCTCACAAACATGTCCCTCAGAGCCTCTTTTGAATGTGTGAAGTGCCATAAGGTGGATGAGAATGCCCAAAATCAAGTACTGTTTAAAGCACCAGAGCTCAGTGAGGTAAGGTGGGGAGGGAGTCGGTTTCACACACACCCTGCTTTGTATGCAAACAGGCAAACATGTGCTTAAGATGCCTGTAAGTGTCTAGGTTGGCCCTTACAAATGTCATCATAAAAGTCCTGTGCTCCCAAGAGCATCGAATGCTGGTTGTGAGCCTACAACAAAGGAAAGTGCAAACGGAAATGCAACCTTGGGGAAGCCCAAGGTTGAGTGCTCTCCTGCGGGACAGGGAGAGGACCTGCTGAAGTTTGTGCTTCCAGGATTACACCCTTGAGGATCGCTGCACGTAAGAGAAAACGAATGTTTGAAACTGGCCCAAAGGGACACATTTTAACATTTGAAGAGGAGACTGTAGGCAGGCAGTCAGCATATACCTGAGAGATGCAATTGGCTTAGGATCTCAGGGATATGTTTGCAGACATCATCATCATCACCATCATCATCATTTATTAATTATGCCCCGCCCATCTGGCTGGGTTTCCCCAGCCACTCTGGGCAGCTTCCAACAGGAGATTAAAAATACATTTAAACACCAGTCATCAAAAAACATCCCTAAACATGCACAATCTCTCCCCTGCCCCCCCGTCCCACATCTTCAGGTAGATCAACACCATACACCTAAAATACATCCAATGTACATTTAGAGCAAACACCTTCCACCAAAGAATTCTGGGAGCTGCAGTTTAGGGGAAGTCATTAGCTTTAAATGTATGGTGTGGGTCTGTCTTTCCTCTTACTGTGAGAAGTGATCCCAATTTGCAATACAAAGCATGGCGAGAGAGAGACAGTTACAGACAGACAGACAGTGTAGCAATAAACACACAAAAAATGGGGTAGGCCAAGGATATGCCCGAAAGGGCAATGTGTAAGCGTGCAAAGATGAAACAGACAGCAGGAAACACTTTTCAGGCAGGCATGCATGACTAAAACCCAAGCAGAGGAGTGGATGTGGAAAGTGGCAGGAGCAAAAATGCACATAAAGGACATGTAAGAAGTTTGTTTTATGGCTGCAAAACATGGGCTGTAAGTGAGCCAGAGATGGCAATGTTAAGATTCCTGCTCCGTGATTGCAGTCATGAGATTGTTGTCTATCACATGACGGTGTATGTTTTGACTCCACAGAGTGGGAAGTGACAGAGACAGGATGTTTGTGTTACTGTGTTCTGTGACGTGGGACTATTGTCCTTTGTTCTTTCTATTTGCTGTCTGATGAGAAAGAGGAAGGAGCTAAGTCAAAATGCTCCGAGTGTATTATATGTAAATAAAGTAGATTAGCCAAAATGCTGAGCTACTGAGTTCTGTTATGCAAGCTGCGAAGACTCTGCGGGTCCCTAAGTGTGCTGTTGGCATCAGTCACTGTGATGAAGAAAGCTTTTGAAGCTCCTGAATGATTGACCAGGAGGGAGAGAACATGTTAGTCGGGCATGGGTCTCTGCCAGGGTCCTACTCGAGAGTAGGACGGTTCCTGACAGGCATGAATGGGAAGAAAGTGTGGGTGTGTAATGGAGATAAGGCTATGTGTGCTTTAAAAATGCAGCAAGGAACCCCAAATGTCATATCAGGAAATGCCAGATCCTGCAACCTATATGCATCATGCAAACTAAGCAAATCTGCAGCTATTTCCTTAGCTCATATTATTTATTCTGACTTTGCTTGCTGTAGAAAGGGGCAATGAGCACCGTGGATCCCTGAAGGCCTCACTTTCTGGTCTCATGAAATCCTGTCAGTACCCCTTTGGGGTTTGACGATTTCACTAGATGGCTGCTCTATCTTCACAACCATAAGGCCCAGAAACAAGCTCCCCAACCCCATTTAAATAGAAGTTGAGATTCTCAAGACGCTATGTAGCTAGTACCAAGTTCTGCAGTTTTTCTGAACTTGAACAGAATTGCAGATTGCTGCACAGAGAGAGAAATTAGGTTCAAAGGAAAGTCCAATTGTATTACAGGGGTGACATCTGTTAGAAATAAGCAGGCGTACTCAGTCAAGTGAACCTTAGAGGGGCTGAGCAAAGCCCTGGCTGTAGAAGTGTGCAAACGTGCCCATGAACTAATGAGGCAGGGACCAAAGTGAATCTCTGTTGTCATCAATTCTGACAAAGCTACGAAGGCCCATGCCCACTGCACACCGCAAAGAGGAAAGCATGCAGGCTGCAGCACTAGGAAAAAGCATCTATTCAGTATCTCCCAAAGGAAGGAAGCAGGGAACCCCAGGGCGCCCTCTGCAAGGCTTAGATGGCAGGTAGCTGAGACGATGCTGCTTTGGTGCTCCAGGAAAGCAGATCAGGACAAAAGTGCAAGGGCTGGAGGGCAAGGGGGAGATTGTTACCTAATTCTAAGCATTGATGAACTTCAAGGAAGGAAGACAATAAGAGAGAAAGAGGTCAAATCATGCACAATTAGCTCTTGGGTCACTTTTATCCTGATGGCATTATATATACGCACACACTTCCTCTCTCCCCTGTACAACTGTGTCAGTTCCTGTTCATTAAAACCAAGTTTTGCCATTGGTTTCAATAGGGGATGGACTGCATTTGTCCACAGGTAACTGTTTCCTTTAGGACACTGGTCTTCAACTTGTGGGTCGCAACAGGAGCACTACCACCATGCAAATATATGGTAAAAGATTAAAAAATGGGTCTCCAAAATTCATGTTTTGGTTACAAGTCGGTCCTGAGTATGAAAAGGCTGAAGGTTCTTGCTTTTGGATATAGCTAAATTATTGGGTATGATCCACTTTTTCCATGTGCACAGTATCTGGAATCCCAACATTGTTCAAAAAATATTTTAAAGAAAAGGGCTTTGGGAGAAGGGACTACCAAACACTCTAAAAGCAATTCTCCAGATTCATGAAAAAATCATCAGTAAAATAATAAAGGAAAGCACCCTTTGTAAAATGGGAGTTCAAAGTTGCATCATTTATAATTAGCTAAAAATGGGTAACAAGTTGTCCAAACTTTGCCTTTTACAACAAGCTTTAAATTGTACTTCTAACGGGACCTCTTGGAATGCTTGATTTCATTCATTCATACAGTTTCTCTTATGAGCAATTTTGTAGTACTGAGGCAGCAGTAGCAAAAGTCAAATTTACAAATGCAATGAAGAACGTTTTTTATACAATCTGAGATGTTAATGTTGAATTGTGTGAAAGTTGCCACACACTGCTCCAGTAGCACACACCTGCTCTTTCCTAAATATATAATTAGGAGAGCTATATCTTTAGTAGTTTCACTGAATGCCCATTGCAGTTCATTATGGAAGAGTACTGCATGCTTCAACTGATTGACTGAATTTATTTATAAGCTATGCCCAAAGAGGCTAACAATAAATATTCACTTATTATCAAAATAGAAAACATTGGAGGGTGGGGGAGCTTTGAGATGGGCATATGGGCTCGTTGAACATCTGCTGCATTTCCTATGTCGGTGTTCATTGTTCAAAGCTCTAGGAACTTCAGCCGCTTGTTAGCTGAAAAGGATTATTGGCTGAATTTGGAAAATGTTGAATTGTTGCTTGGCAACAAAGAAAAAAAATGAATGAAAAATGTGCAGCTGAAAATATATGGGATTTCGTGCTCCACCCCCACACATGTGGTCATCAGTTTTGATGATTACTGAATAGTGATTTTATATTCTTGAGTGTTTTCTTGTTTTGGTGATCAAATCCCTATCTGTCTGTCTAAAAACAATCAATAAAACCAAAGTAGGAAAGCAGATAAGAAGATAAGATAAAATCAAGTTAAAACAACCACAGTTCAAAAAGGCCTGCAGTTAGCTAATGGAGAATGCCTTTGGAAAAAACCAAGTCTTCACTCAGCCACCATCCCCAGCAAAAACCACAACCCAACAACGGGGGGGGGGGGGGCAGAAACAAATGATCCTCAAGAAGTGGATATTACAGTGGCTCACAGACGTGCCACATGATCCTAGGCATGCTTGCTCAGTAGTTAAGCCCACTGTGCTCTATGGGGTTTAGATGGGTTGGTGTGGATAGTACTGTCCATTCCCTACAAATCACAGCATCTGTCATTTGAGCCTTGCCTCAGCAACACATTCACAGGCCCTTGTTAGGCAAACCAGCATTTCCTCAGACCTCCCTCTAGGGAAAATAACACTGGCCTATCTGCCAGAGCAGTTGCAGACACGCAAAGACAATATATGTACTTTTTTGAACACGTGAAGGTTGCAATCCTATGCATGCTTACCAGGGAATACCCCCCCAACCCAGTTGGATTTACTTCGAAGTAAACATGCTGTGGCATTGTGAAGCCTTCATCCCTGCAGGATTCCAGACATTTATCGCATAATCTGCATATATATATCCTCAGGGTGGAAAGATCAGGCATGTAGCATTTCAGGGAAGATCTACCAAGAAATTAAAAGCCATTTTCACAAGCTAACATTAATAAGACTGCCTGTTAGTCTGGAACTCATCACTGGAATGCTAATGCAAGGCAGACAGTAGAAGAGAACAGCATTTAAAATGTAATCTGTCTTGACACCTATTTTTCATTTGGATTTGCAAAAGATGAGGAAAGTACAAAGCTATTTAAGGGTCATTTGTGGATAAAGACAGTGAAAAAGGGAGGGAGGAAGCAAGGGGTGAGTGTCCTTGTCCAGCCCCACCTTCCTCAGGCAATATGCAGTCCCCGGATATCCCTCTTACCTCTCCAGGGACCTCCATTAATGAAGCAAGAGATGGGGGAGAAAAGAGAGAAAACCAGCGTCATATTTTGAGAGTTTCCTGCAGGGGACTAAGGGCAGAAATGCATATACTAAGGCTGTGTTGTACTGTGTAATTTGGGTCTATGGACTGCAATAAAGTGTAAATATACTAAGGGCTTCTCCACACTTCCTCTTGTTCCGTTGCCCCCACCCCACCCCAAGGGAAAACTGCTCTTCAGAGCTCAATTGAAGCAAATGGCAATCTGCTTTTCCATGGATTTAGGGCAGCACGGCTAGTTCCTCAGCACTGAGTGCTGAACCGGGGGGGGGGGGGGAGGGGGCACCACAGGGTGTTGCAACTATGGCATAGAGCATGTGCCGAACGGAAGGTGAAGGCTAAATTTTGGGCTCGCACAGGGTGCTGAGGAAAGTTGAAAGCCCAAAGTCCTCCCCTGGCTAAAGAGCAGGTTTTCCCTGGGAAAAGTGGGAAAAGTGGGGCAAGGGGATAACTGCTCAGATCTGTGCCCAGAAAGTGTGGGTCAAGGGGAAACCGCTTGGACCCACGCTTTCTAGGCATGGGATAAGCGGAAGTGTGGGCAAGCCCTAAGAGGAGTGAGCAGCATGCTAAACATCAGGAATCCTATTTATGACCCCTCACTTCTGCTGACCTCTCACCCCCTAACTTGCCCAGGACTCCCTTCTTCAGTCAAGCCTTTCAAGAAGCCTCACCAACCTTTTATTGCACCCTTCCCCAACCTAGTGCCCTCCAGATGCTTTTGAGCCCCCATCATCTCTGATTATTGGCCGAGGATTATGATGGTTACAGTCCAACAACCTCTGGGGACACAAGGCTGGGAAAGGCTACTCAACTGATTCCTCTGCTGACCTCCCCCTCCCTCTCCTCACTGCTCCCTGTCAATCTTTGACTGCTTCCCTATCTTGTCTATTGTAGCTTACCAACCCCATGCAGAAACAGCATAACTTTGTCAGCTGTAAAACCCCCAGCATCCCACTAATGCTATATCAATGGAAATACTTGGTGTAGTAACTCAGGTGCCAACTCACAAGATCTCCTGGCTGCCCTGATGTGTAGCACCATCAGAATCTCAATCTCACACTTACTAAACTGGATTACTTATTAACTAGGCAGCAGCAACCATCATTTGGCAGATGATGGTGTTTTGTACAAAACTCTGCAGAAGATCCCTCACCGGCCACCACTGTCACCCTTACTCTCTCCTCCTGCTTGGTCACTCCCTGAACCTACCACCAAGGAAGAGGGACTCATACTCAAGACTGGGTGTCCAAATAAAAACCCCAGCAATTGATTTACATGAAAGTAATCCAAATCCTCTGCCAAGATAAGTGGGATTTCTACAACCTGTATACATTATGCAAATTTGCATGACATCTTACTTAGTTTATTTTTCTTTTGATAGTCATGGAGAGGGAGAAAGAACTATTCAGGGCACTGAAGTGAGGCACAACCCACAGAAGTATATACCGTATTTTTCGCCCTATAAGACGCACCTAGTTTTCAGAGGAGGAAAACAAGAAACAAGAAAGCAACGCAAAGCCTCTTGAGCGAAGAGGCAGGAGTGCTCCCGCTGCGCTCAAGAGGCTTTGCGTGGCTATCCCCAAAGCCAGAAGAGCAAGAGGGATCAGTGCGCACCGATCCCTCTTGCTCTTCTGGCTTCTGGGATAGCTGCACAGCCTCTTCAGGGCAGCGGAATGAAGGCTCCCTGCTGCCCTGAAGAGGGTGCATGCAGCTAAGCCAGAAGCTAGAACAGCAAGAGGGAGCGCTGTGCAGCGATCCCTCCCGCTGTTCTGGCTTCTGGGATAGCTGCGCACCCTGCATTCGCTCCATAAGACGCACACACATTTCCCCTTACTTTTTAGGAGGGAAAAGGTGTGTCTTATAGAGCGAAACATATGGTGTTTGCAACAATAAGGGCTAGAAACTTGCTTCCTTTAAAAAAAGGAAAAAAGAAAGCTTGAGATTCTTAAGGAAGCTGAGTTCTGTGGCCAATATCACATTCTACTGCTTTTCCACATTTCTGCAAAACTACACAGCCCTGCTAATATCTCACAAGGTTTGGTCACTGGGATTCCAAGCACAGGCTGGATTGGTCAAGGTGTGGTGTTGTAGACTAGGTGCATGGCAGCATCAGAAGCAGGCTCACTTCAGTAAATATCTTGAAGTGTTGAGAAGGGGCACTACCTATCCAAACACCCAGGCTTGTTTACATCTCGGATGGGAGGATAAAGGAAGAGCATAAGAAGAGGAGCCCTCCTGGATCAGGCCAAGGGGGACCCATCTAGTTCAGGATCCTGTTCTCACAGGGGCCAACCAGATGCCCACGGGAAGCCCGCACGCAGGCCATGGGCGCAACAGCTCTCTCCTCTCCTGCAGTTTCCAGCAACTGGCATTCAGAAGCATCACTGCCTCCAACAGCGAAGGCACAACACAACCATCAGGACTGGTGGCCATGGATGGCCTTATCCTGCATGAATTTGTTCCGTCTTTAATGCCATCACTGCTCTTGGATGCAAAATAAATCCCAGAGTCTGTTTCTCTGGCCACAAACAAGTGCAGCCCACTAAACCCCACACTTTCCCAAGCACGGGGGTCCAGGCACACGAGGCCACTTAAGTTCCTGGGGTTCAGACCTATAGAAACCACATGGATAAACCTTGTGGCCATGGAGGGTGGCTGCCTTGGCCCTGCATGTCTGTCCCACCCCTCCCTCCCTCCTGAGCCCCGGCCATCTCCACTCGCCTGCCGTGTACCTGTACTCCCCAAAGGTCTCGTCCTTCATAGGCCTGGCCTCGGAATCCACCTGAGTGTCTTCTTTGTCTTTCACTAGAGAAGAAGAGAAAACATGTCAAATGAGGTGAAAGCCTTGATGGGCAGGGGACCAACCAACCAACCAGAGCAGAGCAGAGGTTTGGAATTAGGGTCTGGGGTGGGTGAGGTTAGTGCAGAAGGTGGCCAAGCAGGCAGGGAGATGTTATTAAGAAAGAGGAGAGGAGCAGCCCTGCCTCTCATTCTGAAAGACCATGCCTCTCCTCTGCCTCACTGAGGTGTTGGGATGGGAACTATGGGAAAACTGCAGGTTGGGGGGGGGACCTGTGACAGACAATTGTTAGAGAGCTGCCCCATAGCTCTTGGGGCTGAGTGGTTATCTGAATGAGGGCTTAGCCATGTGGGCTGGAGATGGAAAACATGCCCGTCCCCGCCAGAGCATTGAGATGTGCACTATGGAAATATTATTGTCCAGGGGTCTCTATAAATTCATTTCTTTTGTCCCACAGCCATCTCAAGGCAAATAAGCTTTGAAGCATTATGAAAGCTGCCAAAGCTCTTGGATCAGAGATGAGTGGAAGCATCTCTAGATAACAACATGCTATTTTTTTTATTTTTTTTAGGGGGTGGGGAAGTTATTTGGGGCAGTTATTCAACATAGTGCTCTTACAAATGTTCCATCGGCCCAAGCATTTCAGTTTGCCAGATGAAACCATCTCCCCTCCCCCTCCCCCACGCACTCTTCTCAGGGTTCTCCCAACCCCCCCCCCATGCTATGTGGGAGGGGGAATCCCATTGCACTAGCAGGAATCACTGTGTTGGCTCCTGCTAGAGTAACTGTTCAGTTTTCCCCCGCCTAGGGCTTCCAACGCCCAAGGGCAGGCGAGAGAACCCACCTGAGGCAGAGGGCCAGAGGAAACCATGGGCAGAGCAACAAGGAAAAATTTACCTTTCTACAGTAGTGCCTAGTTTGTGCACACACTCACACACCCCTCTCTAGCCTCCATCCAGGCATGTAAGTGGCATTATGAGACTTCAAGAGCACATTCCGGTCAGGCCAGGAGAGAGTGCAAAGCAGGGTCAGTGAGGGGTGCAAGAGGGTGGCTGGGGAGAATTCCAAGGGGCAGGTAGAGAAGCCCGGAGAGAAGCCCCCCACGCCTGCTCAGGGGACAGCAAAATAGCATATGAACAACACAAAGGTAATGCCAGTTTTCAAAAGCCTCAATTGTTTTGGCTTCTCTGCAAGGAGCCCTGGGAGCTGCAGATAGGAGAGCATGCTGATAAGCTGGAAGAGGCATTCTCACAAAGTGCAATTCCCAGGCTACCTTAAGGAAGCAGTTACCATGAAAACAGTTTATGCTGGTAACACATCCGTATCCTAACCTAAAATCTGTCTCTCCAGTACGTAATGCAAAGATGGGAAACCTCTGGCTCTCAAGATGTTACTGATCTGCAACACCCGTAATCTCTGACCACTGGCAACGCTGGCTGGGGCTGATGGAGTCCAGCAACATCTGGAGGGTGTCCTGTTTTCCCTCCCTGTTTTGGACTTACCCAGCCCAGTGGGTCAAATAGGGGACTTGAACTTGGATCGCATGAGTTCAATTCCTAGCTCAACTATGGACTTCACTCCGTGAACTCCATCAACTCCCCCATCTCTCAAGCTCAGCATCCTTGTCTGTAAAATGGGAACGATAACAACCTACCTCACAGGAGTGTTGTGAGGACGAACGCCACCAGGCACACTAAAAGTGCTATGTAACTGAAAAGTGATAATAGCCTGGGGGGTGGCCCACGGGGGTCTGCTGCGAGGTGCTAGGGTGGGGCTGGGGGCACCTCACCCGAGTACTTGCCGCCCTTGCTGCGCTTGATGAAGCAGAGAAGCACCAGAACCAGGATAAGGAGAACGATGGCGCTGACAAAGCCGATGAACCAACCTTCCGCAGCAAAGCTCTTCTGGAAATCCTCAGGAACTGCAAAGAGCACAGAGAGGAAATTAATATTATAACTTTTGAAGCCGGTGAACTCTGAAGTGCTTTCGCCTGTTGCACAGCTTAGCAGAGTATAGCAGAGTACTGCAGCGTTTCTTAGGCAACACTTGAGATTGCCCAGGCAGGAAGACGATCAGGAACAAAGACTGATGACTACTAGTAACTTGATTCTTGTAGTTTATTATACACAGCAGTAAACATACAAGTCTATCTACAAGTTACTATTTTACAACACGAAGTGCTGGGCTGGGGCCCACCTGTTATATTCAATGCTTTAATGCTTTGCCCATCTCTAAATTCTGACTCTTGAGAGACGTTCCTCCAGAAAACATCTGACTGGAATGTGGAATTTCCCCATGATGGTGGAAATCCACCAAGTAAGTATGTCAACATCAGACTGCAGAGAGAACAACTTACTGTTATCTTGGCAGAGCCGCACTAACTCCTAGAGAAGACCTAGGTTCTTACCATATACCCCTGAACAACCTGGGTTCAAATAGCACCTGCTGATACACAAACACACACATACACACACACACACACACACACACACACACACACCAGCTGATTGTGTGTGTGTTTTCAGACTGGGGGATTAGACCCATCTTCATGCAGCAGCGTATAGGAAAGTACATTCTGTTCATACATGGAGCAGGTCATTCTAGGAAATGCCACCCATATTATGCTGGTTCTTAAATGGAGGAGCTTGTCTTATTAAACACACACAAACACAGGCACATACTCCTCTACATCCAAAAATTTACAAAATCTGCTCCACGCGTCTGGGGTTAAGGGTTCATTGGCTCCTGCTAGAATACTTCCTCAGAAATGATGGAGCCATTTGCACCTAACAGTGGGCTGGGTCACTAGTTTCTCTTGAAAGAGAAACATTACTTTTCTGCAATGTTCTCAGCAGTATCGTGAGTGGACACTGTAGAGATGTGTGAGCAGCTGGTTGGGAAGGGCTCTCCGCCCATGTGTGGCAGATAGGGGCATTTACTCACGAATTCAGGAAAGAGCAGCATGGTTAGAACAGCAGCCTGGAGTCCTCCCTAACCAAGCACCATCTCTATATGAGCAGATGGGCCTTTGCAGCCCCATATTGAGAAAAATCAGCTGGCTGCTAATGACTCAAGAGGCTGCCTGCAACCCTCCACATACAGGCAATTAAAAGATACGTAGGAAGCTGCCTTATATGGAGTAAAGGGATTAGTCCATTCAGTGCTGTCTACGCCAGGGTTGGGGAACTTGTAGACCTTGGCTGGAGCCCACTCCAGTGACTGTTGGGCATGGTGGGTGCGGCTTGTGTGATCTGGAGTTCAACAACATCTTGAGAGCCACAGAATCCTTGCCACTACTCTAAGCTGACTGACAGTAGCTCTGCAGAGGGGTCTTTATCCAGCCCCCTCTGGATTTATGAGGAATTGAAACTGGAACCCTCCATGTGCAAAGTATGTGTCTACCATTGAGCTACAGCCATTTCCTGCATCCATGGGTCTACTCAGAAACCCCAAACATGGGGGGCTTACACATTAGCTAACAGCTTGAGAGAACAGAATAGTTTTCACCAACACACATACAAGATGTTTTAAGCAAGCACCAGGCAAATGCATCTGTGCTATCCCATTCCCACAGCTTGGGGAAAAGGGAGCGGAAAGCAAGCAATATAATAACAAATAATGAAGATTTCTCATATAAAATCTCCTACTCCCCCCTCCAAAAAGCTCTCCTGATCTAAGTCAGTACAAATCTAAATATAGCCATTGCTCTCAGAAGTAAGATTGTCTTCCTAAAATTCACTCTCCTGCCATATAAACCAGCAGCCCCTTGTCCCTTTGTCTACATGGCAAGAGGGAACAATGACTCTCTTATCTTCTTTGCTGTGGCTTTAAAAATATTTCAAGACAGCAATCAAATCTCCACCTTCCCCATCTTTTCCCAAGCCTAGAGACACAACCAGCTCCTTTCAGCATCACTTCCCAAGTCTCCACGAGTATGAATCTGACATTTTTGTCAGATCACAGAAGGCCCTTCCTCCACTTAAAAGATGTCACATTTAATAGTGACAACCATAAATAATACATTACAACGCCTAATAAAAAGCCTGAGAAACCAGGAGGGAGGCAGTGCTCAAAAGATAAATGCAAGAGGGCAATACAATCAAAGTCTTTGAAAATATAATTGATAGATTGTAAAGCACTAGCTGCGAATTGACTCCAAACACACACACACACAAGCTCCTGTAACATCATCTTCAGGAACAGTTTAATGAAGACTGGAGAAGAGCCCTTCAGTTTGAATGTAACAGGTCTGATCCTAATGTGGTTTTTTTCTCCATTAAAAAATAGCCAGTGGAGGAAGACCCTTCCCTTTTAAAAGGCAGGCTAAAGTTGCTCTCTCCTCCAAGGCAGCTACTTCATAGAATCATAGAACTGTAGAGTTGAAAGGGACCGTGAAACCCCCTGCAATGCAGGAATCACAACTGAAGCATCCCTGACAGATGGCCACCCAACTTCTGCTTAAAAACCTCCATTGAGCCATTTTTCTCCATTTTTTAAAAAAATCCATCTTTTTTTTTGTAGTAACCAAGCTGCAATAAATCTCTTTGTTATCGTTCCTCGCCTTTTGGTCTTGTTATTGCTCACTGATCCAGCAAAAGTACCACTCTCCTTAGCAATGCAACCTCTTGGTCCGAAATACCACTTACCTACGCCACTAGTTTCAACCTCTGTCTCCCAGATGGTCTGATCCTCCCCAGTGCGGTGCGCTTTCACAAGCCGGACCCGATACTGCTTGCCTGGCTGCAAGTCTGCGATGCTGAAGGATCCCTGGCTGGAGCTGGCATCCCCTACGGTTCGCCATGATTCTTTATCTGCTTAGAAAACAGGGAGAGACAGGGGAAAACCAGACTGTGCATTCAGTCCCCTCGGCAGCCACATCCTTTCACCTGAATCTGGGTTAGAAGAAGTCAGCGTGAGCAAACCTGACCTTTCCAGCCTTTCATTTTTCCAAGCTTAAGTTCAGTTCTCCATGTTTCCACATAATTGTTTGTTTTATTTTTTTTAAATGCTTGTAAGATTCACCAGTGGTTTAGTGTGAACATTTTATAAGCAATATTGCTGAATATACACATATTTTGCAAAGCATGTTTTCCCTAATATTAACACTTTCCCTAATGGAATGCATTTTTGTAGGTTATTTTCACTAATATATACATTGCATGCACCTCGATAATAAGCCTCTTATAAAAAACCTCTTATACACATTACTTCCTGCCAACCTAGCAGTTCGAAAGCACATCAAAGTGCAAGTAGATAAATAGGCGTTTCCGTGCGCTGCTCTGGTTCACCAGAAGTGGCTTAGTCATGCTGGCCACATGACCCGGAAGCTGTACGCCAGCTCCCTCGGCCAGTAAAGCGATATGAGCACCGCAACCCCAGAGTTGTTCACGACTGAACCTAACAGTCAGGGATCCCTGCACCTTTACACATTACTTGGCTGGAGTACTTCCTTGCAATTTTCAGTGAATGTGAATTTCAAAGGGTGGTTGTGTTTTGGCTTGTGCAGTGTTTTTTGGACAGTGTGAATTCATAGAATCATAGAGTTGGAAGAGACCACAAGGGCCATCGAGTCCAACCCCCTGCCAAGCAGGAAACACCATCAGAGCACTCCTGACATATGGTTGTCAAGCCTCTGCTTAAAGACCTCCAAAGAAGGAGACTCCACCACACTCCTTGGCAGCAAATTCCACTGTCGAACAGCTCTTACTGTCAGGAAGTTCTTCCTAATGTTTAGGTGGAATCTTCTTTCTTGTAGTTTGGATCCATTGCTCCGTGTCCGCTTCTCTGGAGCAGCAGAAAACAACCTTTCTCCCTCCTCTATGTGACATCCTTTTATATATTTGAACATGGCTATCATATCACCCCTGAACCTCCTCTTCTCCAGGCTAAACATGCCCAGCTCCCTTAGCCGTTCCTCATAAGGCATCGTTTCCAGGCCTTTGACCATTTTGGTTGCCCTCCTCTGGACACGTTCCAGTTTGTCAGTGTCCTTCTTGAACTGTGGTGCCCAGAACTGGACACAGTACTCCAGGTGAGGTCTGACCAGAGCAGAATACAGTGGCACTATTACTTCACTTGATCTAGATGCTATACTCCTATTGATGCAGCCCAGAATTGCATTGGCTTTTTCAGCTGCCGCGTCACACTGTTGGCTCATGTCAAGTTTGTGGTCCACCAAGACTCCTAGATGCTTTTCACATGTACTGCTCTCAAGCCAGGTGTCACCCATCTTGTATTTGTGCCTCTCATTTTTTTTGCCCAAGTGCAATACTTTACATTTCTCCCTGTTAAAATTCATCTTGTTTGTTTTGGCCCAGTTCTCTAATCTGTCAAGGTCGTTTTGAAGTGTGATCCTGTCCTCTGGGGTGTTAGCCACCCCTCCCAGTTTGGTGTCATCTGCAAATTTGATCAGGATGCCCTTGAGTCCATCATCCAAGTCGTTGAAAAAGATGTTGAATAAGACCGGGCCCAAGACAGAACCCTGTGGCACCCCACTAGTCACTCTTCTCCAGGATGAAGAGGAACCATTGATGAGCACCCTTTGGGTTCCGTCAGTCAGCCAGTTACAAATCCACTGAGTGGTAGCATAGTCAAGACCGCATTTTACCAGCTTCTTTACAAGAATATCATGGGGCACCTTGTCAAATGCCTTGCTGAAATCAAGGTAGGCTACATCCACTGCATTCCCTTCATCTACCAGGCTTGTAATTCTGTCAAAAAACGAGATCAGGTTAGTCTGACATGACTTATTTTTCAGAAATCCATGCTGACTATTGGTGATCACAGCATTCCTTTCTAGGTGCTCACAGACTGTTTGCTTAATGATCTGCTCCAGAATCTTCCCTGGTATTGATGTCAGACTGACTGGGCGGTAATTATTTGGGTCCTCTCTTTCCCCTTTTTGAAAATAGGGACAACATTTGCCCTCCTCCAGTCTGCCGGGACTTCTCCTGTTCTCCAGGAATTCTCAAAGATGACTGCCAGTGCTTCTGAGATCACATCTGCCAGTTCTTTTAATACTCTTGGATGCAGTTCATCTGGCCCTGGAGACTTGAATACATCTAAACTAGCCAAGTATTCTTGTACTATCTCCTTAGTTATTCTGGGCTGTGTTTCCTTTGCTGAATCATTTGCTCCAAATTCTTCAGGTCGGGCATTGTTTTCTTTATCGGAGAAGACTGAGGCAAAGAAGGCATTGAGGAGTTCAGCCCTTTCTGTGTCCCCTGTTTGCATTTCACCATCTTCTCCTCTGAGTGACCCCACTGTTTCTTTGTTCTTCCTTTTGCTACGAACATACCCATAAAAGCCTTTTTGTTGCTTTTAACCTCTCTAGCAAGCCTGAGTTCATTCTGTGCTTTAGCTTTTCTGACTTTGTGTCTACACGTGCTGGCTATTTGTTTGAATTCCTCTTTGGTGGTTTCCCCACTTTACAAATTTTTGTACACAACCTTTTTAAATCTTAACTCAGTTAAAAGTTCTTTAGATAGCCACCCTGGCTTCTTTAGGCACCTTCCATGTTTCCGTCTCATTGGTATTGCCTGATGTTGTGCTTTTACTATCTCCCTCTTAACAAACTCCCAGCCATCATGAACTCCCTTTCCTTTTAGTATTACTGTCCATGGGATCTCACCCAGCACTTCCCTAAGTTTTATGAAGTCGGCTTTCTTAAAGTCAAGAAATTGAGTCCTAGTATGCTTGGCTGCTCCTTTCCGCTGGTCCTTTCCTTTCTTGTCTGGTCTGTTTCTCTGAAATAGATTGTATCCCCCCATTATTACATTCCAATCGTGGGACTTATCCCACCAGGTTTCAGTGATGCCTATTATGTCATATTTAGTTTGCTGTACCAAGAGCTCAAGCTCATGTTGTTTATTTCCCATGCTTTGTGCATTAGTGTACAGACATTGAAGTCCATTAATCATTCCCCCATGTCTCTTATTTAAGGATTTTTTCCTCCCACCACTAGGTCTGCGTGCTGTTTGCTCCATTTGGTCTATGACATTTGGATGATCATCTTCATCAATTGATAGACTCCTACCTTCAGGAGCACTGTCTCTCTCCCCCATTAGTCAGTTTAAAGCCCTCCTAATGAGGTTTCTGAGATTTTTGGCAAAAACATTTCTCCCAACCGTTGTGAGGTGCAGCCCATCGCTTGCCAGAAGTCCATCTTCAAGAAACTGCAGTCCGTGATCTAAGAATCCAAACTGTTCCTGTTTACACCATTTGCGAAGCCAGCTGTTCACTTCCACTATTTTCCCTCTCTCCCTGGGCCACGTCGTTCAACTGGGAGGACAGATGAGATGACAATTTGTGCATTTAATTGCTTCAATTTCCTGCCCAGAGCCTCGTAGTCTCTTTTGATCTTCTGGAGGCTATTGCTTGCAGTGTCATTGGTTCCCGCATGAACCAAGAGGAAGGGGTATTTGTCAGTGGGTTTTATGATTCCTTGTAGTCGTTCAGTTACATCTTGGATCTTAGCCCCGGGGAGACAGCACACTTCCCGAGACATCTTGTCAGGCCCACAGATCACTGCTTCTGTTCCCCTCAGTAGGGAATCCCCTATCACTACTACACGCCTCCTCTTAGGTTTGGTCGGGGTTCTTCTGTGAGCTGTCCGTTCCAAGGTCGCCTGCACATTCCCTGACGACTGACTTTGCTGCTCGTCTTCATATACCTGATCGACTGTAATGAGGGAGAGATCCTCAAATGGAGTCTGCTCTTCGTCTTCCATGCTAGGGGAGAGGACCTCAAAGCAATTGTGTATTTCTAAGCAATCAGAGCGAACCCTGGGCCTCCTACTTCTTTGAGTCACGTTTCTCCATATATCTGGCTCCTGTGTTGGTGAACTAGCCTCCTTCTCAGGGAGTCCCCTGTCTCCTCCTTGGTGGAGACGGTGTGCTCTGTTGCTTCCAAGAAGAGCTCCAGCTCTCTAATTCTTTGGAGCGTAGCTACACGTTCCTCCAGTTGCTGGACTTTGTCTTTTAAGAGGGCAATCAACATGCAATTGCTGCAGGTAAAGCTGCCTGCAACCTTTGGCAAGATGGCAAACATTGCGCAGGAACCGCAGGCGACTGCAGCTGTTCCCTCCCCCTCCATCTTGAGAACGTGTCATTGGGGGTGGCTACAGCGGTCCTCCATCAGAAAAAGCGTGAAGACAGGACAAATAACTCCCCCCCCACAAAAAACCTAGGTCTCCCCCAACAAACGTTTGAGACTAGCTCCCCTAAATCTAAAAGATGGATCAAACGCGCCGCTGCCCTGCAAGCTCTGATACAGCAGACTTTCCTTTAAATGCAAACTTAATTGTACTTTCCCCCCATCTCTAGCTAGAACGGGCATGGGCAAACTTGGCCCTCCAGATGTTTTGGGACTACAGCTCCCATCATCCCTAGCTGACAGGACCAGTGGTCAGGGATGATGGGAGTTGTAGTCCCAAAACATCTGGAGGGCTGAGTTTGCCTATGCCTGAGCTAGAAACTGGCCTGCTGATGCTGCCCAGCAGACACTAAGAGCACAGGCTGATTTGTATACTGCCTTTCCTCTCCTTAAAAAGTGTATATAACTATGTTATTTCAGAATTTAAGGACCAACCTCCACTCTCCAAGTTGTTGACTAAGAAACTGTCAGTATTGTTACTAAATGCCATCAATATTGTTCTGTTCTCAGATGCTGAGACGGGCTCATGACACCTGCTGCTGGCTTTAGAGGATTTTTGTGAGAAGAATTTGTTCATGCCAAGAGCAAAATTATTGGGAAATATCCATCATCACACTAGCAGAAGAGGAATGGAGGATAGTCTTCTGCTCCATCCCATCCCTGCCTGCAGAAAGGGCATTGTGTGTCAGAGCAGCAATTAATTAGCTCCCACTCACTCAAGCAGATTTCTCTTCAAAATCCTCCTTTGCAAATATTGCTGTTTATCAACACAGTACTCGGTAATGCGAATATTTCACTTCAGTGTATAAATGTCTAACATTTATGCCATTTGCCTAACTTGATGAAGAAGGATTAATAGTATGTCCAAAATCTATTCACTAAACTATTCACCTTTTAGAGGTTGAACACTGAATTCTAATCATAAAGAATGATGAGATGGGAAGATCTGTGCTGTACCTGTGGTCCTCCAGATGCTGTTGTCTACAAACACCCTTCGTCCCTAACCCACTGGCCAAGATGCCTGGAGCTCATGGGAGTTGGAGTCCAAAAACACATGGAAGGTCACCAAGGTTCTCCAGCCCTGCCCTATGCTCTTTTTGTTTCAGCAGCAAAGAGAATCCACATTTTCCAAGTGTCCATGCCTGCCACTTTTTCCAGGTTCTAGCAACACAATCCATTTTCTGTTGGCAGGGGAGATTAAAACCAGTGCACACTGCTAAATGTGCAGGATATTTATGGACTTGGTTGACCGATGGAGTCATCTGGTGGCTATGAGAAAGCCTCTATACTTCCTTCTCAATTACCACATCTGTAAAATTACAGTAAGTAGCATCTCAGTTTCTCTGGTGGCACGAAGACCATGAGAGAAGGGAAAGTTGCTGTGGTTTCCCCTCCCACCCACCACCCACCTCCTTATCCAAAGGGCCACAGCCCACCTTTGCTTGCTCTTACCAGTCTTGCTCATAAGATGGACTTTGATTTCCACATCTCGCTGGTTGGGTCGTGGGGTCCAGACGATGGTGGTATAGTTCTTCCCTGTTTCACCCAAACTGATATTCATAAAGCTCAGGTTCACTGGGCATGGAGGCAGAAAGAAAAACAAGGTTGCAGAGGAATTTATTAACATTTCAATGCCTTCCATAAGAAGACAACAGAAAGTAATGCCTGATTAACTCCACGGAGCAGGGACGAGGAATCTATGGCTCTCTAGACATTGTTGGATGGCAGCTCCCAACATCCCAGATGATTAGCCTTAGTGGCTGGGGACCAGTGGGAGTTGAAGCCCAAGGGCATCTGTAGGGCCACAGCCCCCCCCCCAGCCTTGCTACAGAGCCCTCCATAGAGAAAAACAACATAATCAAGGCAGAAAAAGCATCTGGAAGTGATACCCTATGATCCCATGCATGGGTTGATCTTCTCTGCCCATCATCCTGAAATTCTGCATGAAAAAAACCACAGATAAATCTGGAACATGGCATAGATTTTTGTTTTCTGAGAATCATTGATTCTGAAGGGAGTGGGGAAGGTAACCAAGATAAAGTGTTGCTTTCCTTTCTTTCTGCTTCCAAGAGTGATAGATACTTCTGGCTGTGGAAGTCTGAAACTGGGGGTCCTCCAAGAACTAAGGTGGAGCCTTTTAAGCTCATATGGCAGAGCATTGCTGGATGGAGAAAGGGGACCTGCCACCCTTACTGAAGCAGGTTGTGAGTCAGATGTGGAGAATGTGGCAGATTATTGCTTTTGCAGCAAGCACTCACTTGGTTGTGAGCAGGTTGCGGCACAAGTGATGGCACCAGCAGCCTCCACCACCCAGAACCCATGTTGCAATGCAGCCACATGAAATGAAAATAGCACTTCTTCCTGCACCTCCAAAAGCACCGTTTAGCAAGGGCCCTCTCCCCTTAGGCAATCCCACTCCGTGGTAGAAAGCTTGTCACCCAGCAGAGATCTTGTTGCATGAGCCACCGCTGCTTGCTCTCGTGTTCCAAGCACTCCAGCCCCAACGATGACAAGCAATCAGAAATTTGGTTCTTTATTGGTAAAGCACTCGATCGCATCAGTTTCTAAGGTGCAACAAATATACACACTACTCCTGCTACTTAGCTAGCTAGAAAGCTACTTCTTCAGACTTATGCTCTAATTTGCAGCATCAATGCAGCCACACCCCACTCAGCTCACCTAAACCCCCTCATCTGATATAGTGTGTACAAGCAAGTGGCAACCTATAGTGGTGGCGGCTCCAGCTGCTCCTGTCACTTTAAGCCCCTCCTTGTCCTCCACACTTGGAGACAGTGTGGGAGAGGATGGAGATTCTAATGGACCTGACTCTCTCTGGAACTGTCTCTTCTGCCTCTGCCTTGCTACAACTATGCCCCTGCCTCCTTCTCCCAGACTCTTCCCTCTTCCTCTTCCTCCACCCCCAGCTCCTGTCAGGCAGCTGTCAGCGACTCCCAGCCAGTTGCCAGAAACATGCAAAGACAAGGGAATGTTTCTTACCATCCTCTTTTTATTCAGTACTTACAGAGAGAGGCTATAGAACCCAGCCTCTGGACAATAGTGTTGTCCCTAGTGAATCTCCATCCCTCATCTCTCCCAGCTCCCCATTCATCACTTCTAAGGGTGCTGCTCCATGCCCTCTGCTTTTGAGCCCTTTGCTCTCCTACTTTCAAGGTTCGCCGGGTTCTGGGAGGTGGGGTCTGGAATGCTTTCTAAAGACACCCTGTCTGTCAGCTGTTGCCCCCCTGCTGCTGCTGCTGCTGCTGCTGCTTCCTCCTCCTCCTCTCCCATTATTTCCCATCTTTTCCCTCATCTGCCTCTGAGCTGTGACCTCCCTCAAACCCCTGTTGTAAATCTAAGCTGTCTTCCTCTCCCTCCTCCCTGGAAGGGTCAGGCTGGGGAGGCGGTCTTCTGCCCACCCTCAGATGCCTGCCCATTCCTAACATTTTGGAACCATTGCTCTTCCCTTGGAATCCACAGATCTCTGGATCCAAACCATTTTGCCCAGTCTTCTGCCTTGCTCCCTGTCTCCCCTCTCTTACTGACCACTGCTACTGGGCCAGTGGTAAATTCTGAACTGCAGGAACTTGTCATAACAGCCCCCATAACTGAACCACCAAGGTGAGTCCAAAATGCACATTGCTGTGCTGATGCATCACACACACACACACACACACACACACCGCACAAGAGCAGCACCAGATAGCACAATACCCCTTTTTTAGGATGAACTGACCATCACAGAATTACTGAGCTGGCCTCATTCTCTGACTTCCTCTAGACTAATAGTACAAACAATAGTTCATCTTCAAAGCTTTGTCACCACCTCACTCACATGAATTGTCTCTGTCAAGGAAAGGTCTGTCAATTGTGGAGAAAGGCAGAGGCAATCTTCACACAACAGGAGAAGATCTCCTAGTTCCTCAGACAAGAAATCAAGAAAGAAAGCCTGATCTTGAAGTATCACCTGACCAATTATGTTCTATTGGTGCAAGAAGGCTTCCTTGGTTGGCATGGAGGGTTCCTGCAGTTTGGTGGGAGCATGCAGAGTGAGTCTTTGTCTGACATCCCTCAGGACACCAGTTCAAGACCCATGGTGGACTCAAGTCTTAAGACTTGTTGTTGATCATAGAGGCAGCCTTGTTGCAAAGCAATGGATTACCTCCAGGCAATGGATCATGGATGCCATGAAACATATCATTCTGACTAGCAGAGTGCAACCTGCTAGATAATTCTCTATTGGAATGCTGAAGCAATGGAATAATATTTCCTATATTCATCAGTGAGAAGGCAATGTTACACCTTGGATCTTCTGCCTCAAGTACTCAGCTTATTCACACATGAACGAGGCTCAGACTTGCATGTTTACCCCCATGCGGACCCTTTATTTAGTTACTTCTTTCATGGGGGCAAACCATAGTTTACCACTATGTCAGAAACAGGAAACTATGGCTTGCACTTCCCCTTCCAAATCAAAATTGCAAATTAGCTTCAAATCATGATTTATCATGCACAAACCAAAACATGTTGGTTAGGATGAAATGACAAAGCACTCTGTTGCTGAAGAGGGAGAAACTAACTGATACAGGGCACATGAGGGGATGAGAGAGCATGCAGGACTTGTTCACAAAGTGCTTTATCACTTGATGTCACTTCTGAAACAAGCCATAATTATCTATTGGCCCTTGATCCTGCAAGTCCCTGATCTGCATGTTGGGTTCAACACAGGAATCACTCTCTTTGCATATGACGTATGGACATCAGGTATACCTACTGGGGACCTCTGAAACCTCCACAAAAGCCTTTGTCTGGGAACCTTTGTCTAAAAGCTGTGCCAGGGACTTTGAACCTTATTACCAACAACATAAAAGAAGGTCAGTAAGAAACCTTGAGTATATTTAGCAAAACCTGGAGGGCCAAAGGTTCCCCATCTCTGACTCAGAACATACAGCTGTATCCTATAATCTCTGAGTGTGAATACAATTTCTATTTGAATTTTGAGAGTTGTTGTTTTTTTAAAAAAGGAGCACACACACACTATCACCAATCCAGCAAACAAATACATCAAGGATTATTCAAAAGTCCTCCTCACGACCTGTTCTTATTCTTTTCAAAGGCACCTACTTTAACTTACAAAAAACAAAAACAGCAAATTATGGGTGGCGTGGCCATGGGAGCAGTGCCCAAGGGCCAGGCTATGGCAGGGGGGTGGGGGTGGCCTTGCTCCAGTTTTGTGCTCCTCGTGCTAAGCAGGGAGTTTGTGCAACCTCCACAGGAAACATCTTCTCGTTCTCTCCCTGGGTTTGACAGGGATGGAGGAACCTGTGTGGCCCTCTGGATGCTCTTGAAGTCCAACTCCCATCAGCACCAGAAAACATAGCCAGTGATCCGGGATGACAGGAGTTGTTCAACAATATCTTGAGGGCCACAAGTTCCCCCTGGAGGACGTATCCATAAGGCTTCACTTACCTGACTCGCGCATTGCATGCTCTTCCAGAACAAATGGCTCCCCTGGCCCCACACTGGTTTCTGCCCATAAGTACAACTTGTAGGGAGTATGGGGGGCAAGGTCAGTGAGGTTAAAGTCATTGTGTTCAGCACTGATGCTGTAGGAGGTGGATTCCAGCGCCGTCTGGTTGGCTGTCTGGTTGGCTAGAGCAAGAAGGCAGAGAGGGTTGGAGCATTAACAATTAGGATTGTCACTATTGGCAGTATTACAAGTAACAGTAGCAGCAGTATGCTGAAAAACACAATCTATACCCCCACATCCAAAGTACAGTATGCTTTATTTTTACTAAGAATATTTTGGGGCTGTTTTTCTGGACAAGTGCCCACCCAAATGCCTCTCAAGCCCCCTAGTATTCCACAGACCAACCTCACTGCAAGCGGCCAGAAAAACCCTTCCACGGACTCACCTTGCTGGAAGGCCAACTTGTATCTCAGCAATTTCCCATTGGGGAATTTGGGGGGCGTCCACTCCAGTTTCAGTGCCGTATCCGATATGCAGTCCAAGTGGAAGGATGCTGGGGGACTGGGCACTGTGTGTGGAGGCAGAGAGAGAAAAGAAGAGTGAGGATAGTGAGAGGAAGCATTTGGGAAGAAGTGGGCCACGTGTGGTGAAAGGAAACACTCCAGAAGTTTCTTGGGGCTAAAAAGCTGGAAGTGAGCAGGCCAGGCTCCAAGCACACCAAGAGACCAGACTGCTACCCCTGGATGTGGGAAGCCCAGGTTCACATCCCAGCTCAGGCTCGAAGTTCACTGGATTACCTTGAACAAGTTATTATATCTCAGCACAACCTTTTACAGAGGGTTAACAAGCTCCATCTTAGTTAAGCAATGCGATAATGTTTCAGCTTCCTTTCTAAAGTATCATTAGATTATCTCATACACAATTACATAAACAAGGTCTATCAGCAACAACATGCTCTTGCAGATGCAATAAGGAAACTGCTTCCTTGAAACATATGTTTATACAGTGTTCAGTTTTGGAAAAGTTTTTTGGGGGAAAGTATTAGGATGGATAAATATCATGGTGGGGAAAGAGTTAAAAATTTCAGAAGATAACATCATCTTAAACTATAGTTTAACCCTAATATATGGGGCTTGACAATCAGTCAAAATAAATGGATTCTCTCTGCCCTTGAATCTGCAAAAACATTGATATTGATACATTGGAAGGATCAACATCCGGCCCTCTTCAGTCAGTGGCTAGATGAGATGACAAGTCTTGCAACTCAGGAACAGATTGCTTTCAGACGAATATTATGCATGGGGAAATTTAATGATATTTGGAAAGTATTTGTCAAAACCGTAGTGACACATGAATACAGTAACTTAAGGGAAACAATTAGTTTATGCAACTACACATATACAATATAGTTCTGTAACCTTAATTATATTTTATGGTTATTTTGTTATTCCAGTTTTCCTCAGTTTTTAAAGATGTTGCAATGTATCCTTCTTCTTTTTCCCTTTAAACAACAACAACCTACTACAGAGGACTGTTGTAGGATAAAATGAGGTTACCCTGTGTTACGCTGAGGTTTGCTGGAATTTTTGTTGTTGTTATTACTGTTATAATTTCTGTATGCTTTGCTACTTGCATCTAACAAAACAAGGACAGAGAATGCGGTGGGAGGGCTCAGCCCCTAGAGGTAAGAGGAGCATAAAGTTAGGGACAGGTTAGCCATATGCGTTGAGGAGAAGATAAAATGTGGACGGTTTGAGGGTGATGGGCTTAGGGCACTTACCTCCTTCCGGGGTGTTGAACTCCAGGGCCTCGTTGCGGGGTCCCTCGGCCTGCCCATTCAGCACACTCATCTGAAGTCGGTACCGGCTCCAGGGCCTGAAGCCCCCCAGGGTGACTTGAGACACATCCCCTTCAATCTCCAGGTCCCCATGGGGGTGGGGGTGAAGGTAGACCTGACGATGGCTGTGCTCTGCCATGGTCCCAAAGTTTGAATAATAAATCTGGGGAAGGGGGGGAGAGAGGAACAGAGATTTTACCCCCAGTTCTGTTAGCCACACATGCACTCACAGTTGTTTGGTTCTGGCACCCTTTGTGCAAAGTGCCTCTTGCCATGTGTAGACTGCCTCCCTGCTCCAAGAAGAAGGTTTTTTTAAAAAACCTGATGGGAATGTACCTTTGATCATGTAAAGAGTGATTTTGCCCTTTTAATGGTACATAGATTAAAATTATTATTATTATTATTATTATTATTATTATTATTATTCCCCACCTTTTCTCCTGACAGGGACTCAAGGCAGCTTATAGATAAAATAAGAACAGTTTAATCTATAGGGGCCCAGAATGTTTCTGAGCACATCTTCACTCTTTCTCAAAGGGCCTTTTAAAAAAAAGCAAGGAAGCAACATTTTATCCTGTCGTTCAGTGCAGTCAATATGGCAGCTGGGCAGAAGGATGACATTCTGGCTGGGACAGTAAAATTATTGTGAGTTGGCAGAGCTGTTTTGCATTGTACTGAAATCCTTTAAGCCAGTCGGGTGTGTGTACACTCAACTATTTTTTTAAAAAAAAACACACACAACAATAATTCTGCAGCAAAGTACTGTATTCCAAATTCTGCACCACAATTTGCTTCCATAAATTTCTCTTATTTTGCTCTGATTTAGTCTGCAATGGCTTACTATTTCAAATAATTTAGGCTGCAATCCTATACCACCTGACCAGGGATCAGGTCTTATTGATCTCACTGGGACTTCTTTTACAGTAGATATGCCCAGGATTGTGCTGTACTATTATTTTGGTTTTACTGGTGACAGAGCAGCATTGTAATGGGTCCGGGGAAATTTATTTGAAGAGTGAGTATAGGTTCTGAAAACACACAAGTAAAAATGAGCAGACCTCTGCAGATGGTGCCCCCTCCCTGCTACTGAGGTGAGGTTTTGGCCTTACCTTAAATCCCCTCAGGTGTCCGAAAATTTTCTGTCTGTGAAGCAGGGTCCAGGAAATCTTGATGGTTGTGCTGTTGATCACCATAATTCCCATATTCTCAGGGACGGCTTCGGGTACTGTAGGGAGCGCAATTAATCCCATTCAGATGTGGCCAGGCAAGAAGAAAGGACCTGAGAGCTTGAGCAGGCCCAAAACGTTTCTCTACCTGAGACCAAACTGGCTGGACTGGCAGGTGGCTCTTACATCAAGGCTGGCACAGGGACAGTGCCCTTGGCTGCGCCTGAGGGGTGTCGACTAGGCTGAAGAGGCTGCCTTGTGGCAGACACCTCACCAACTGCAGCAGTGGCCCACCTGTGCCCCAAAGGTCTCAGAAGGCACCCAAAAAATCACATTAAGGGCTCATCCACACTTCTGTTTGTCCCATGATTTCTAGTCAAGGGTGCAAGAGAGAGGGGGTTGTTTCTCCCCCGCTTTCCCTGGGGAAACCCACTGTTTACCACTGAATCGTAACAAACAGCGATCTGCAGAGAACCCAATTGATGTTTGTCCCGATTCAGCAGTAAACAGCAGGTTTTCCCGGGGAAAGAAGTGGGAGAAAAGATCAATCTCTCAAACCCATGCCCACACACACACACACACACACACTTTTTCTTGTGACCCCAAGGTCCCTCAAATTTGTAATTAAAAATAATAATTTAATTTTTTATAAAATTACTGACTGTTCTCAAAGGTGCCCTGTTATGAATTTATGATGTCAAAAGGGGTTTTTGTCCCTCATCCAACCCATGCATCCTTTTCCTCCCCCCCTTTTTTTTACCATGCCCACTTTTACATTTACACTGGACAGTTGACCATAGGTCAGTTCAATTCTTGGCCCCCAAAAGGTTAGCCACCCCACCCCTGATCTAATGGCAGGGCCAGGCCTGATACTTGGGTGTGGACCTAATTGTTCTGGAAAGCAATATGACAAGTGAGGAGGTGCTTTTTTTTTTAAGTCCTCAAAAATGTGCCAGCATTTTAGTACAAATTTCTCCTAATACATATATCTCTGATACGGAAAGGGGGGGCATGTCTTCTTCACCCCTTCCGCCGGTCACCAGAGGGTCCGAGGCAATGACCTCCAGGGCACCCGGCCCCACATGGACCCCTCAGCCCCCACATCGTTGCACAAGCACCGATTTTCTTGCTTTTGGTGCCAATCTGCTCAGTTTCTCTAGGACTCCATGACACCTCCACTGTCCACCATAATCCCTCAAGCGAGGCGTCATGTACACACAGGAAGACCCTAATCCTGTCAAATCACTCTGCCAAGCCTTTCCTCCGGGCAGTGCCAGGTGGCAGACTATGCATACCTGGACCATTGTTCTTTCATCACTGGTACTCAGGATGTACTTACCTGTGCATATCTTCAGCTCTGCATATTCCCCCTCTCTCCTCCATATGTTAATCCTCTGTAACCCAACCTCTCCCTAATGTATTCATGATGTAACCTGTGTAACCCAACCTCTTCTTAATGTATTCATGATGTAACCGTGATGTATTTTGGCACTGTATCCTGGGACATGGAGGGAAGTTTTAAAAGTTCATGTCACCCCTTCCTCGCTGTTCAATGTCGCCTTGAACCTGTTGTGCAATAAACTTGGATCCTCTGCATCTTGCTCCTGTCTCCGGCTGAGCTCATTTTCCTCTGCAGGGACCCGCGGACTTAGTCCGATGAGCTGGGTGGCAGAGCAGCCTTGCACCCAGATTTTACCGTAACATCTCGCTATGCAATTTTGTCTAATATACAAAGGTTTGCAAGTGATTATGCATAATACAATGCATGTTATTTTCACTAAGATATGATGTTTTATGCACACTTCCTCCTTGGAGAACTGTAGCACAAAATACTGAGACATGAAGAATGCAAATGACAGCTGCCTTTCAATTTGCATATTGCATATTGTTTCAGAAACACTGCTGCTACCATGATATCTGTTGCTGCCACCGCTGCCCACATGTCCCGCTGTGCCATCACTGTGTGCCTTGCCATGTCTGCCACAGCTGAAGAAGTAACACTGCCATTCATGCCAATTTCACACAAGACCCAAAATGGGCAGGATCTCACCCACAATCGTGTTGATTTTAATATGTCTGCTCAGAGTAGAGCTTGGTTGGTGACAACCCTGAATTAGGTAGGTTTGCATTAAAATCTGAATGGAAGTGAGCTTCCCCCCCAAACCCAGCAACAGCAGAGCCACACTTTTTCTGATCCTTGTAAGAAACCCATGATAAAATATGCCTTTTTGAAAAGGTGTTCTGCTGGCTTTAACCTGGCTTTGTTTGAGGTGTTCCTACCTGAGGTGGCCTCTATGGGTAAAAATCCAAATGGACACGCTTGTCACTACATCTCCCCTTCCACAATAGCAGCTCCCTTCCTCCCTACTCACCTCCTTCCCCAGAGTAGCCAAGAGTGGTGTGCGGTTCAGGTCCTTTGCCAAAGCCATTCTGCGCCTGCACTTTAATCTCATAGGGCGAGAAGACAGGGGTGTCCGTCACCACCACAGGGGGGCGCTCCACCTCCACCGTGTTCCATTGCTCGTGGTTCCGTGGTCGCCACTGCACAAGGTATTTCAGCATTGGGGCGTTCCACTCCCTGCGAGGCAAGGGCTGAAAGGGAAGGGGTGAGGGTGGGGTCAGAGGAGGTAAAGGAACAGGGAACAGCAATGCTGAGCATCAGGGCACCTGCGCTGGATCAGGCCAGAGGCCCGTCTACTCCAAAAGCAACCAGCCAGGTGTCTCCTAGTGCTCAGAAGCAGAGCAATAAATGCATGGAGCTTCCCTTGCGGCTTCTCCCAGCTCTTTTTGCCTCTGTTCTTGCAGCTGCCACGTTAAACCATCACGGCTAAACTCTTTGGCTAAGACGTTTCCTGTGTGAGATCGTGTGATCCTTGGGGGAGGGATCAGGGGGAAGCCACCTAACCTTACGGGCTGTTTTCATTTCATTTATTTATTTAATAAAATTTATACACTATTTGATTGTAAAGAAAACTTCAAATAGTCTACAAAAAAGACAAAACAATAAAATGGAGGGAAATTCACAACCATACTTTAAAACATACAAAACAAAATTAAAATACTAAAACAGATTAAAATCACCTCATCTGATGATAGTGAGTTCTGTGCTAGTTATGGTTAAGTGATGAAGTACTTTTCTTTCCTTTATTTTGGCAACCCTGGTGTTGGGAGAAAATGGAAAAGCAGACCCCCTTTCACTCTGGACTTATCCACCCTTAGCTGTAATCCCCTTCCGCCCAGGCGCAGGTCCAATGCTCCGTGTCCAAGCGCTTTCCCAGGAAAACCCACTCTTTAAAGCTGAATCACAACAAATGACAATTCGGGTTTTCTGTGGATTGCCTTTTGCTCCAATTCAGTTTAAAGAGCGGGTTTTTGCAGGGAAAGCTTCAGTGACCTACTCAAGAAGCACCCAATGAGATTTGAATTCAGATTGCCTTGGCCTAGGTCTGCCTTTTTAGCTGCTGTCTCTCCTTCAGCCCTGAGGCCACAGCACGAGAGGCCCCAGTCCTGCAGAGGGGATGCCTGAAAAATATAAGGGAATTCCTTGTAGGCCTGCCAGGACAGCAGCTGGAGAACCAGTGGTTTACTTTCAAATGCACAGAACAAGGAGCTCCTGTCCATGCCCACCCCAGACCTTTTCTCCACCTTCTTCCTCTGTTTGCAATAGTAAACGCTTGCCCTGCACATACAAGAGAGAAGCCAGCAGAAGGATCACAGAAGGAGCTGAGTTAAATGGATGTCTGGGTATGGGCTTGGCTGCCCCACCCGGAAAAGAAGGGAAACTGTTGCATCCTCTTCCCACGCCCGCCCACCCCTCCTGGTCAAAGGGATGCACGAGCATTGGGGTCAGGAGAAAGGGCTTGACCAGCAGCCCAGACACTGGAAGCCTATCTTTCTAACTCCTGATGTGTGGTCTTAGCTCCAAAAGTCGGACACGGCCCCAGAGAAACATTGTGTCAGAAGTGCCACACTTTTCCAAGGGTCCAGCAGGGGGAGGCCGTGGCTTAGAAGACCAAGGGGGCCCCACCTGAGGAAAGGCTCTATCTTCCCCACTCCATGCTAGGTTCCAGGGTCAGATTTACATATAAGCTAAACAGGCTATAGCTTAGGGTCCCACTCTCTTGGGAGCCCCCCAAAAAATTAATGGAAAAAACTGGATGTACATTTCCAAAATATAAGATAAAAAACAAATAAATTAAAACCTACATACAGCAACAGTGGCAAATGGCTTTAGATACCTATTAGGTCCATAAATTACCATAGCATATATTCAACACAAAAAACAGCGACAATTTGTTGTTGAAAAAGGACAGCTGGACATATAAAGGGCCCCATGACCTTCAGGAGCTTAGGGCCTCATCAAACCTAAACCCAGCCCTGCTAGGCTCTCAACAATTATGGGGCCTGACACCTTTCTTCACTGACCTTTGGCTCTTGCGACTTTAATCACTGCCTAAAGCAGAAACTGAAAAGGCAATGCTTTGCTCCTCCAAGACTTCCCGCACAAGGAGGCAAACCTCGCAAGGTGCAGAAGGAAACAATATGGTTTGTTTTCAAGAGCACTCCATTTTTGCTTTTGTTATGCCTTAGTGGGTGTCAAGTGTAAGAACTCTTCATCAGAAACAATATGAACTTTTTGCCTCCTGAATAACAGATTTCCTTGGGCCGGATTCAAGAATGTGGTTCATTTAGCACTAGCACAGCGGGGCTTTCCCTGCTCTCCTCCCCATGTGCCCCCACTTCCCCAGTTCCACTCTGGAGGGTCAGGAGAACCCACAGAAGGAAGGAACACGGAGACTGTATTCCTGTGCAGGTCAAAAGGCTTGTTCTGATGGAACAATCTCTGCAGCGCAACACTGAATTCCACCCTTTGTCTTTCTGTGCGATAAAATGGGCTTTATGTACCCAGTTCCCCTGTGCGAAAAATCCCACACAGGCTGAAATTTAAGCTACTAGATGCCAATGAGTAGAACTCCCCATCACTTCTTTTTACTGAGTGCTACTCCCTCACTACTCACAAGAGACTGGTCCACTTGCTATCACCTGCTGAGCAAAGCAAAGGAGAACTTTCCAGTTAAATGCTTCTGTTCACAAAACTTCTTACGAGGCTATGGAGCTTTCAACGCTTCTGGGCTTCTTTCCCAGTTTTACCCTGGGTTAAAGATCTCACTCTGGGAAGACCCTCTAAGCTGAAACAAATACAACAGAGTTGGCTTTTTTCTTTACCCACTACAAAATAAGGCAATGTCTCGTTTGAGATGCAAAAAGTAATTTACTGCCCTGCATAAAGCATTCTTACACCTGAAACATGGAACAGCAGAAAACTCGAATGCTTTGGAAAATAAACCATACAAAGCCCTTTAGCACCTTGTGACCTTCTTTGTTCCTGTTGGGGTCTGGAACAGCTGCTGTCCTTCCTTTTTCATCTCCCCACTTCACCACTTAAAGTTTCTATGCTAGGAAATGCTTCACCTGTAAATTTCAATCTACTGTGCCTTTTAGGCTGCTGTTGAAGCAGGGCAACACAAAACTGAGGCTATGTAAAAATTAGTCACTTTAAACACTGCAAGGTTGTTATCCGGCCCACCCCCGATCCCTGCTGTGTTTCAAGCTCATTTCTTATGCTTCTGTACACACCAAGTTGGGGGTGGGGATAATTTCACCCCATGCCCATTACCGGATTTGCTTCCCCACGCTGAACTCCAATCACTGGAGCTCTCAGCTGTGCATGTGCTGTCATCTGCACATGCACAACAGCTGTCTCCAGCGTGCACACCTCAACTTAACCACTCCTCTCATTTTCTAATTGAATGGAACCTGGTTTGAGGGAATGTGAATTCAATAGTATTCCTCAAAAAGCTGCAGAATACAATGGAGTGTGGCTAATGTCAGGGGTACTTCGCTTCAAACAACAGTGGGGGGGCGCACTGGAGCTGGAGTAAGTAAATTCCTGTTCTTTTATAGGGACATTTGCCAGGTCCCATCCTCGTTGTCTTTTCATAGCCAAGTGAAGGCCAGGCTTTTTACTGCAACACGTTATACTGCTGAAAATGGTTCAGAAACTTTGGCTGGTGCAGAATTTGGTGTCCAGGTTGCTCACTGGGGCAAGATGGTTTGAGCATATTACGCTGATCCTGGCCCAACTGCCCATTGCTTTCTGGGCACAATTTAAAATGCTGGCTTTGACCAATAAAGCCTTAAATGGCTCAGGACTGCAATACCTCAAAGACCATATGAACCAACCCAGACCCTGCAATCATCAGCGGAGGCCCTTCTTCACGTGCCTCTTCCATGAGAGGCCCAGAGGGTGGCAACGTGAGAATGGATATTTTCTGTGGTGGCTTCCCATCTGTGGAAGGCTCTCTCTGAGAGGCTCATCTGGCACATCTTTAGGCACCAGGCAAAAATGTTTCTCTAGAACCAGGCCTTTGGCTGATTGAAAATCCTATGGCCTTTTAAATGTGTTTGTGGAGGAGGAGTTATTGGTCTGCTTTTGCTCTCGTTTTATTATGTATCTTATGTTCTCATTTTGTATTTTTATGTTGTGAATCATCCTGTGATTTTCAGATAAAGGGCAGTATATAAATAATAATAATAATAATAATAATAATAATAATAATAGAATAATAAAAATAAGAAGCTGCTTCCCACTCCTTCACTAGATGGGTAGTTGCCATAGTTTTCAGGTAGATGTGGGTGCAGGATGTCACCAACCTTTTGAGAGTCATACAGCAGGCAGAAGCTCAACAGATGCTGCTTCTCCCTCTAGATGCTGGTGTGAACAGGTGTGTGAATTTGAACTTATTTCTATGGTTCATCTCATATCATAAGTATAAATATTGACATAACTTATATATGATATGAGCTTCTCCATCATGAACTTAGCTTGACCGTGGTACAAACCTGATACCAGCCATCATACCTGTATCCAGAGGTGGGTGCATGTGGCAAACTGTGGGGTTGGAGTCCTGGACTGCACCCACTTCAGACTACAGGGATGATGACACACATGCATTTTTCTGTTCTTTCCACTTAAAAAGAAGAGAGAGAGAAAAACTCTCCCTAGAACATCAGGGAGAAGTTTATGCTGAAAACGTTTCTAAACTTACATGCTTATTTGCTTCATGCAGCAATTTCTTTATTTAACTCGAGGGAGCATTCAGGCACATTAAGTTCCCCTGAAGAGGCTGAAGTGATACACCACAGGTTGCAACCTTGCCCTCTGATGGGGAGGGAATGCTAATCCATATCCTCTGGTGTCCCAAACAAAAGTCATCACCAGGAAGATAATTCCTCTTGACAGCAGCCACCATCCTGGGTTAAACAGGAAATGGGAGCCACATGGCAACCCTCCCTCAGGGCCAAGACTGAACTGCGAGGGGCAACCAATGCCAGGCCAGCTGTGGTTAACACAGAGTGTCCCCTCCACCGCCTGTATTGTGATAACATTTGTCTAGCTGAACTTGGTATTTGCCTCCCCGAACGGAAGCGTCTGGCACCAGCTCCCTTCTGGGAACGCAGCCCACAGTTCTCATCATTATGGCAAGCGCAAGCATTTGGGGACAATGCCGGCAGCAAACACAGTGCAGTGCGAACATGCCGCCCCTTTGCACAGGAATGCAAACAACACAGCAAACCCAAACAGAGCAAAGATAATAAAAGGCCCAAGTGGCGTGTGCGCACTGTGTTGCCTCAATAGAAACACCCCACTCTGGCACCCTGTGTCAGCACACTCCATGTGCCACCTCAGTGAAGAGGCCACTCTCTCACTCTCTCTCTCTTTCTCACACACTTGCTCTGCAGGGCTGGAATAGCGGACACAAAAGAGAGACATGAATGCAGGTCCTCCCTCATGTAATTTGGGCTGCAGAGGACACAGGAAGTGAGAAAGAAGAAGCAGCGCCATTAGTCAAAATGTGTGCCAAGAAAGGAGAAGAGGGTGGCGGGAATCCCCCAGAACCAAGAGGGTCATTGGCCCGTCTCACTCAGGGGAAGATTATTCCCAGAATCCTAAATATAGTGACTGAGAGTGAAATGAGTGTGAGCTGGACAGAGCCGGTTCAAATACCACCTCCATTTCAGTGCCCCTGACACCTGTAATAAAGGGTTAAGAATGCTTGGCCTACTCTACAGGGTTGTTGTAAGGAATACTGAGATCATGTATGTGAAATGCTCTGAATGTTAAAAAAAATGTTTGTTTTGTATCAGCTGGGATAAATTTAATCGGGATGGCCTGTGGTTGATTCGTTATGTTAGATTGCTTTGGGATTGACTTTGTTTAAAAGGGCCTTTATATGTAGTATTATGAAGCCCTGACTTTTTTGTTTGTACACTGAGTTTTGGGGAAAGTGGCATAAAGGTGCATGCAAACAAAACAAACAAACAAACAAACAAATCCTTGAGTGACTTTCGTTCAGACCTTAACGTCTGCCTGATTTCGTTCCACTGGTGGCTTCTGCTAGGGACACGCTATGCATTGTGTTAGGTCCGCCCCATGCTGTGAGCGGCTCTTTGTGTTCTGAATTGTTTAGCAGGCACATTGACAAATGCTGCAGCAGAGGTGCAAGAGCAAAGTGCTGAATATGTGATGTGAGGCATGGAGATAATAATACTGACCAACCTTACAAGGTTATTGTTAAGATTACAAGAAGACAATATGTGTGGCTCAGTTGGACCACACAAAGCAACACACATACAAAGCAACTGGCCTCCAGGAGCATATTGCTTGTGTGCCTTGCAGAAATACCCAAATTCACCTCAGAATTTAGGTTTAGACAAAATTCAACAGCAACTCTTGCATCTGCTCAACACATAGCTGTCAACGTTTCCCCTTTTTTAAGGGAAATTCTCTTATTCCAAATAGGATTCCTCGCAAGAAAAGGGAAAAGTTGACAGCTATGGCTCAACATGCTGCTGTCAGCCATGCCACTAACACTGTGGAGGAGGAGGAGATCCAGGGATACCAAGACTAGGGCTGCAAGAGTATTTATATTTTACCGTCCAGGCGATGATCATATTAGTAGTCTCGTTCCCCTTTCCTTTGACATCAGATGGATTCCGCTTAGGGGCTAGAAAGTAATGGATCACAGTTAGGTCTGCTTCTATATCAGCTCAGATAAAGCACCCACCATGACTAAGAGGCAGGTAGTGGCATTTTCTTATGCCAAGCCACTTGTTCCCTCTCTTTCTCACGTTTGGGCTGTGAGTAGCCAAAACAGTATCACTCATGAGAGAGGAAACAGCAGGCTTGGGGGGAAATCCCAAGGTTTTCAGAAAAACAAAAAATATTTAGGAGACAGGAGACTTAACAGAGGAAAAACCTTAAAACAGTCCAATTAAGATCTGTGCATGTTCAATGGCTATGAAATTCTGCCTGTTGCAGGCCGGTGGGGAGGGGGGAGAGGAAAGCCTGGTGTGGGGAGGAATGGAATAGTGGGGCTGGAGCCCTGAACAGAAGCACCCTGAGCTGCAACATTTTGTTGCAGGGCCCCATTTGTCTGTGTATCACAAGCACTGTTGATTCTTACAGGGCAGGGCTGGCTCAATAAACTTTGGCAACTGAGGCGAAACACAAAATGCCACCCCCCACTGCCACTGCCAGGGAAGAAGGACCAAATGAAGATCTACATCAGGAGCAAGGAATAATAATAATAATAATAATAATAATAATAATAATAATAATACTTTATTATTCATACCCCGCCCATCTGGCTGGGCGGCTTCCAACAAAATATTAAAATACAGTAATGCATCAAACATTAAAAGCTTCCCTAAACAGGGCTGCCTTCAGGTGTCTTCTAAAAGTCTGGGGGCTGTTTTTCTCTTTGACATCTGATGGGAGGGCGTTCCACAGGGCGGGTGCCACTACTGAGAAGGCCCTCTGCCTGGTTCCCTGTAACCTCACTTCTCGCAGGGAGGGAACCGCCAGAAGGCCCCGGAGCTGGACCTCAGTGTCTGGGCAGAATGATGGCGGTGGAGATGCTCCTTCAGATATACTGGACCGAGGCTGTTTAGGCCTTTAAAGGTCTACATTGGAACAAGGGCGGGAGGAGAGTAGCAGCCCCTCCTATTCACCAAGAGGCCGCTGTAGAGGTGGCATGGGGGGCCCCCGCCAAGGAAGCAGCAGATTCAGCCTCCAAAGATCATGCAGTACCTGCTGCTGCCACCATGGCAGCAGTGGGCAATGCACTCCTTGGAGCCTGGATCTGCTATCCCTGTGGATCCTGCCGCTCGAGGCAATCGCCTCACCTTGCCTCATGGGTGGGCTGGCCCTGCTACAGGGAACGATGACACCAAACATGCTTCTCCTTGGCATTGTCAGCCTCCTTACCTGCAGGATTTGTGACATAGCTGACAGGGTGGGAATTTAGCGGACTGTCCCCATGATCATTTCTGGCCTTCACATAGAAGTTGTATTTCCTGAATGGAGAAAGGTGAAGCGTGGCCCACGGCTGGTTTCCTGGTACAGTGGTTAACTTTTCCATTTTTCCTTGCCCAAAGTTGCTTTCGTCACAAAATACAGTATACTCTGTGGGGAGAGTAAAGGCCATGTCAATAGTTAGACTAAGCCCCTCCCAGAAATAATCAAGGTCATCACAGCCTTTGACTGGGAAGCCCCAACACAACCAACTGGGAAAGAGATGCATTCTCTGCACATGCTCAGAAGCGTTCATTTTCCTGCAGCCAGTCTGAACACACCAACGAAAATAACATTGGAGCAAATGTGTGACTTAAACAGAGCTTCCAGTTCCAAGTATATCTCAAATGAAGCACCGCATTGCTTCACACATAATACAGCAGCAAACCAGCAGGGAGTCAGAACCAACCCCTTATGGCTTTCTGACAAGAATACCTGCAGGAGACAAGCACTTTCTAACAGTTGTTTGTCACACTTGAGATGTTTAGTTCTATACTTACAAAAATGAGCTGTGAGTCTAAAGCGCATACTAATGAGATTCTTTACAAACAGATCCAGGTACAAAAAGCACCTCAGTTTAAATGCCAAAATACATTGGTAGTGGCAGGGAAGTGCTATGATGCATTTACAGCCATGGTCCTTAAGGCCCACCTGGCTTCAAGATGATCTCGTTTTCTACCCTGCCTTCTATTGCAAATAATAATTGGGCCTTCGCCACAGGGAAACCGCAGAGAGATGTCATTCTGCATCCACAGAGAATCATGGCCAAAGATGCCTTTCAATTTGTAAAACAAGTTCAGGTTGCAGATAACTCTAGTATTTATCCTGTCTTTGTTTTAAATGCAGCTAGGTGTGGAGGACCTGTGGATAAACCACCGGGGAATATGGTTATTCTGCTGAGGTGATTTCAGGAGCTGCTGAGAAAGGAAGAAATAGGGGCACAGGAGGAAGATAAAGTTTATGGGCAGGAATTGGGGGAGGGCAAAGTAAAACACTGAAAGGGGTATCAGGCTAGTTTTGCAAAACAAAGAGATAATAGTGTGTGCACATTTTGCATCATATCAGGTTCTACAGGTTTTTTAAAAAATGAAATCAGGAAATCTGAGGGTTATGATTTATTTGGTGGGGGGAATAGCTGCCCCCCCCATGTTTCCCCAGCCTGCCATTGCCCATGATATGACTGGATCCTGCCCTCCAACCCAAACACATCCCACATGTGCGAGTTCTGAAGAAAAGCCAAGAATTCGGAGGCTTTGAGTGAGGATTCCAAACTGGTAACATGGCAATGCTGGCTCTAAGCACCACGGTGCACTCAGCCCTGTTTCTTACCCTTGATAGGCCTGTTGTGATCATCTCCTGGTGTCCATGTCAGCTTCACCTGCCAGTCCTGCTGCTCCGACAGTTCCAGATTTGACACAGGGCCAGGACTGCCTGAAAGAGAGACCATCATGTGAGCCACGATGAGGGAGCGACCACAGGATGAAAGCCCCAAATCTTCTTTGTATCTCCTTTAGCAGTTTTCCCAGAGTTGACCCAAAACATTTTGGATCCTGAGATTAAAATTCCAAATGGCAGCTCTGTCTCTCCCCACCCCACCCCATGGTATAATTAATGTTGTTATTATTTCACTAACTGATAGGGCTATCTAGAAATGGAAGTAGTTTTAGTTAATAAATATTTGTCTTTTAAACATGTCTCTCTCTCCCATGCACACATGTATCAATTTCCTCAGACTCAAATAAAACTTGCTTCACAGATGCCTTCAGAGGCATGTTGAAGGATGTGTAATGTTTATGTACATCTCCCGGTCAGAAGAAGCATCACTTCTCTCTCTCTCTCTCTCTCTCTCTCTCTCTCTCTCTCTGTCCCTCCCTCCCCCCACCTTGAGTTCCCTTTTATAGTAACACCAGATTCACCTCAAAACATCAAAAACCAAAAATACGCGCCCCAAATCTACCAGCTGCAGCCATTACCTCACTTACCATCACTTTGCTCTCTCAGTAAGTTTGGAGTCTAAAGAACCCAAGACAACCATTTTACAAGAGGTAAAAGAACCCATATCTGATTTCTCCTTTTTTGGTACTTGCCATATACCCAAAGCTTGGCACTTTTCTCCACAGAGTCAAGAGCTGTCCAAGCCCGGCAGGTGTATATTCCTTGGTCAGAATAGTCCAGGTCAGTGATGGTCAAGGATGTGTCATTGATGAAATACCTAGCAGGTGGATAAAACAAGGGTGCTTTGTGGTTTCCCTCAGTCCACAGGCCCCCACACAACCCTGCCCTGCCCTGCCCTGCCCACACCACTCACTTGTCATTGTCAGCGGACTCCTTAACCAGCTGCCCTTTTCGGTGCCACTCAAGACCAGGGCCTGCGATGGTGTCATCGAACACCACTTTGCAATGGAACGTCACATGGCCACCCTTCTCCCCTTCGGTGTTTGTAGGCTCCACTTCAAACTGTGTGGCTCCTGGAACAGGGACAGAATGTGGAGTCGTCTCCTCTCTCCCCACCATGCCTTGCTATGGTTGGAGGGATGAGATCTCCAGAAGCCCACATGGCTTCTCTTTCCCTATCATTCCACAGTGTGACTTCAGCACCTCCCGTTGCAGACAGGGCCAGGCAACAAATTCTCAGGCAGTGCAACATGTTAAGAAGTTCTCCTGCACACACCTCACTGAAATGAACTAGGTGACCACTTTTGACCTGTTTCCCACACTTTTACCTTGAATGGCACCCCAAACCGAGTATTCCTAAAGCTGCTCTGATTTAAATTACCTTGGCGGTGGCCTGAATATGTTAATTTTAGGCAGACCTCAACATACAAGACAAAAGGCAAATCTAAAATGTGAGCATGAAAAAAAACCAAGATTTGCTGCCACCCCAGAAGAGCTATCATTCTTACTGTGAGGTTACCAAGACAGGATCCTCTTTCCACTTCTCAGAAGAGGGCAGGAGACTCAGGACAACCTGAATCATCTCCTAATTTCATTGGGTAAGCAAGAGCAACATACAAAACTTCAGTATTATCTATAAAATCCATCTGAGGAGCTGGCTATACAGGAGGATGGAGATGTTCAACTAAGGGCCTTAGAGGCTGTGGCTGACAGCTCAGTGTGGGCAGAATGTAGTCCATGAGGTGCCCTCCATATGTTGCTGGCAGGGGCATCCCCTCCCATTCTGACACCTGAGGCAAAACAGGAAGGGTGCTGCTCCTGTCAAATCTTTACTTACGAAGGTCGCACAGTGCAGCTTCCGGCAGCATCTCATAGAACTCTCACAAGAACTTGTCAGAAGCCACTGCCACTACTTCTCCTCACTATTCTGATGGTCACTGGGCTCCACCCTGCAGGATTCAGCTGCCCAAGACAGTTGTCTCATTCTGCCTCATGGGCGGGCTGGGCCTGGTTGCTGGGCAATGTGAGCCGAAGCCACTGTGGTCTGTGGTCAGGGGGAGGATGGAAATTGTAGTCCAACATCTGACACCAAACTGTCTACCCCACAAAGTAAGATCTGATCCCTTCCCCTGAGGCCTTTCTCTCTGTTTACCTTTAGTGTGACTGCTCAGGCTGGAGAAGGCAGGAAAGTGGAAGACCTATTTTTCAATTTCATCATACCTCAATGACCTATGACTGCTATCTTCCCATCAAGCCTCATTATGCCTTACTATTATGCCTTACTATTTCCTATTCGACTTCTCTTCAGATTCATAACCCATCTGAGAGGTGTGGTGCATTCTGGGAAATCTGCTCCCACCTTTGACAAAAAGGTGGGCAACGATGGAGACATTGTTCTGATCATTCTCAGCAAAGCATGTGAAGTTCCCTGCATCCTCACGCTGGACTTTCTCAAGCTGGAGGGTTCCGTTTGTGAAGAGAAAGCTCCGGTAATCTTCCATGATGGAGTACATGCCTTCTGTAAGCCTGGAAGTAAGAGCAAGAGGAGGCACATCAAGCGCATGAAAGAGAAAATGCTCTGTTGTCAATATGGTTAGTGTTGCTGTCACTTAAAAACAAAAAAATTCCAGAGGGATTCCTATGATTTTAAGATCTACATCATAGGCAGAAGGTGTCAGTGTTTCGCAGGAGAGATTTCAGTGCATACTGGAACTTCAGTTTTGAGCAATTAAAGTTTGCTATGGCAGATTGATGCTAATAATAAAGAACTTAATGCATATATTCACCGTCTCCACACAAATAAGGCATCCTTTTCATTTACAAATAAAAGTTACTACACTTACTCAGTGGCACTCAACCCTAAACTTTGGCACAGAGAAGATGAGATATATACAAATGGTGCCATAGCTGCTTAGGACAAAGTTACCAAGAAAATGGATTTGATGGATCCAAAGGATTCAAGTTACAAGAAAGGAAATTCCAACTAAACATCAGGAAGGGGAAGAGCTGTTCAACAGTGGAAAGGACTTCCTCAGAAGGTGGTGGACTCTCCTTCCTTGGAGGTTTTTAAGCAGTGGCTGGATGGCCATCTGCCATGGATGCTTTTGTTGAGATTCCTGCATTGCAGGGGGTTGGACTAGATGACCCTCGGGTCCCTTCCAACTCTATGATTCCATGAAATACATCAGCCATAGCAGAGAACTCACCAGTTCACAGTGGGCCGAGGTGCCCCAAAAGTCTCACAGTGCAAGGTGGCTGTCTGGTTCTCCACCACATTGTATACTAACCCATCCGGGGTCAGGATCTCTGCTGGCAGACCTGAATTAAATCAAGCAGAAAGATACGTTTGGGGCATGGCACCCTCTAAACAAACAACCAGTTCTGTCTCCTCAACGAAACTCATCTAGGATTTTGCAAGTATATTGGACCAGCCTCATAATCAGGGGTTTTTTAAGTGAGAGCCGGGGCGGGGGGAGGGTGTTGAGGACATGGGGTTTTTTTACAATTAGTTTGTATTAAATATTTTATTGTGTCACAAAACAAACAAATAAACAGGGGAAAGTACATATAGTGTCTCCACTTTCAATTCATAGAGTATCTTTCACATTTCGTTTACAGTCGTTTAAAAACATTTCGTTTACAGTCAGACTTTATTGTTAAAGATATTGTGTGGTTGGGGTAAAAGAGAGAGGAGGGAGATAGAGATAGATCTTTTGCTCTATTGCATAGTGTTTGTGCGGTGTTTTTGTGTCAGCATCACGTGGGCTGGACCTTTATTTATATATTTTTGTTGGCATTGCAAGAGCTTAGAGAGCGCAAAGCTTGCTTGGTTGCTGTGTGGTTGGTTTGTATGTGTGAGCAGGGGCAGGGGGGTTGGGGTTGGGTCAAGTTAGCCATGCAAAAATTTATGGGAAGCCGCCCTTTGAGAAAAGTTAACCAACAAGCTTAAACTAGCACAGGGAGGGTCGCCATATTTTGAAGAGCAAAAAAGAGGACACATTTGCCGACTTCTACTTTTAAAAAATAGGTTGTGTCCATGAAAAAGAGGATGTGTCCTGGAAAAAGAGGACATATGGCAACCCTAACTGGTCACCTTCACCCCGGTGTTGCTCCCCTTCATCACATTTACAGCACAACAAAACAATGACCTATCCCCCTCCCACAGGATACAAACTGGGGAAATTGTAAGTCAAACAGCAAAAAAAAAACCAACAACAATTAAACACATTTAGTCATTTAGCATATTAGATCTTTTTGGTAAAGGCTTTTAATGTGTATGTGCATATGTGTGTGTGCGTGTGTGCGTGTGTGTGTGTGTGTGTGTGTGTGCGCGCGCGCGTTTTGTATATGTATATGTATATGTATGTGTGTGTACACACACACACACACACACACACACACACACACTTTTTTGTTATATTACTGTTTGGCCGGATGCTAGCCAAGGCTTAACACTCGTTGAGCAGAATGTCCGGAGGTAGGAATAAGTGTACTTCTCTTACGGACAAATGGGGTCAAGTAAGCCTTCATGTTTTCCTTATATCTCCATAAGTAAAAGGGTTTGACTAGGCTCAGGAGTTAGAGGCCCCTGAACCTAATTCCCTCTTCCTGGAGAAACCTCTCTTGGCCTTCCCTCCCCAAGAGGCAAGCAAGATGTGAAGCAGTGACATCTGTGGCAACAAAACACATAGTGGGCTGGGGCTGATGTGCTAGCTAACCCAACACACATCACTAAATGACCCTCCAGGAAAAGTAGCTACTAGAGACTTTAAAGGTAAAGGGACCCCTGACCATTAGGTCCAGTTGGGGCCGACTCTGGGGTTGCGGCGCTCATCTCGCTTTATTGGCCGAGGGAGCCGGCGTACAGCTTCCGGGTCATGTGGCCAGCATGACTAAGCCGCTTCTGGCAAATCAGAGCAGCGCATGGAAACACCATTTACCTTCCCACCAGAGCGGTACCTATTTATCTACTTGCACTTTGATGTGCTTTCGAACTGCTAGGTTGGCAGGAGCAGGGACCGAGCAACGGGAGCTCACCCCATCATGGGGATTCGAACCGCCAACCTTCTGATTGGCAAGTGCTAGGCTCTGTGACTACACCACCTGTGACTACAGACTTTACCTTCTTTTTTAAAAAAAACAACAACCCTGAAAACTGAAATTCAGAGGAGCCTGGAACACCTTCAAGCATTATTTGCAATGTGAGAACGGTGACACTGTTGTGTGTGTGCTCTCTGTTGGCTCCCCCCACCTTGCCGCCCTTTGGAACTGGTCTAGCCCCACACTCATCCAAGAGGAGCAGATAAACTCACGGACAATGAGGATGTACGCATTGGCCAGGAGACTGCCATGCTTATTATGGGCTTCACACTGGATCACAGCTGTGTCATTGGGCTGCACTTGGTTGAGGATCAAAGCTCCTGGCACCACCTTCCTTCTCGGGTCTGGCATCACCTCTGAAACCCAGCAAAAGAGTTTAGGCCCACGAGAGGAAGCATGGCAGCGTGGCATCCCTTTCCCTCACCCACATTCCGCACCTGCCCATTCACTCACCTTCTAGCGGGATCCCATTTATCCTCCACGACACCTCTGGTTTGGGTTGCCCATCAACATCGCAATTCAAGCGCACGTTTTCTCCTGGTGCAAAGATCTCGCTCTCGGGCTCTTTTATCCAGTATGGAGCAGCTGGGAAAAGAAGGCAGAGTGAAAGGGGTGCCTCCCCACCCACAAGCCCCATCTGCAGCCTCACTGCTAACTCCACAGACTCTAATCTCGCCCTCCAGTTCCTACATATCAACTTCTGAAAACTGAAAAGAAATTCAGGATTCCCCCACTCCTGACCTTGAAGCTCTCTCACCCCCACCCCAATTACTGGAGCCACAACAAATGGAAAGCCAAAGTTCAAGCTATTGTCATGCCTGCTTAGGGTTCCTGCTTAGGGGGGCTATTGCAAAGAGCAATATATTTGTGTAATATATTTACTGTCAGGTTTAGCACTTCTCTCACACAAGACGTGGAATGCTGGCAGTTTTACTAGTTGAGGTTTATTAGCAATAACAGGCTTTCAGCAATCCGACCTTCCCAGAACTCATTCCTTACTTCAGGTAGGTAGCCATGTTGGTCTGACACAGTTGAAATATATAAAAAAAATAAAAAAATTGTCCAGCAGCACCTTAAAGACCAACTAAGTTTGTTCTTGGTATGAGCTTTCATGTGCATGCATGGTATCTGAAGAAGTCTACGTGCACACTAAAGGTTATACATTACCAAGAACAAACCTAGTTGGTCTCTAAGGTGCTACTGGGCAATTTTTTAATATATTTCATTCCTCACTGTCAGAGTCAGCTGACTCGACTGGCTTCTGGCCCTTCCCAAGGCCAGATATACACCAGGCCTGCCCCTGCTTCCTGTCAGTCTTTGCTCTAATCGCTTGCTCCACCTCCTACTTCTTGGAGACTCAGTTGCAGCCAATTCCTCCTCCTCTGGAGTTGAACCCAACTCCCTCCTACCACCTGCCTCCTGCTCCTTCATCTCTGTGCTGCTGCGAAAACTTACAGGCAGCATTCCAGAGCGAGAAGAGCTTCTCTCACTTTCGTTGTGTGAAAGAATCAAGTTCCTATTTTCCTCTGCCTCTTCCTCTCTGCCGGCCATGTCTCTGACATTTACAGTGTTACTGGTCAAGCTGAAGTTCTAACTTCTTACAAATGGTCAGAATTCCACTGATTGTTGGCTTTCCACTCCACATATGCACAGAATATTGATCTGCCTCCCACCCCACCATCCCACACAAAACTGACTGTCAGTGGCAGGGCAAACCACAGCACGACAATGGCACACTGCACAGCACCCCGTCACAGCTCATTGCCAGGAAGGAGAAGGAAGGAAGGAAGGGGCACAAGGCAGCAGCAGGTGGCTCTGTGTTCCTTGCGATATCTAGAGCCACCCTCGCCTTTCTGGAAAAGAATCCTATCCAGGAAACCTTGGCTGGCGTGAAGGAGAGACCTCTCAGGACAGTGCAGGATGCCCTTGGGAGCTTTCTGGCCAGGGCTAAGAGTCATTTCAGGGTGAGAAGTTTGATGGGGCCACAGTGAAGGAGTTGGCCCCCTTTCCCACCTTCTTGTTGCCTTTATTAAAGGATTTTCATAGTTAGCAAGGATGCATACAATGCCTCAGTCCTTTCTCACATTCGGTGTGAGACGCTGCTGTCATAGAGGTGGGAGGGAGATCGGGGAGAGCGGGGAGAAAGAGGTGGGGTAGTGATTTTTCATTTTTCCCCCTAGTGTACGTATGTTCAGAGTTTTTGTGTCAGTGTTGTAAGGATAGCTTCTCTATTTATCTGTTTGTTCTTGTTGGCAGTGTGAGATGTTGGAGAGACCAGAGCATGGTTGGTTGCATTTAGCTGATTGCCGTGAGTTTTTTGTGGGGGGTTACCCCGCTTTTCTCACAGTTCAGACAACAACAACAAAATCTCCTTCCCACTATTCACTTAAAACAAACAAAACAGACTGCAAAGTCAAGTTTAGCACCATGTCTAGTTTGGTCGCCAAATCAATGGGACCTAAAACCTATGCAATGTGGAGGGCAGGCCCTGGTCCTTTGCTGAATGTCTTCCCCCCACTGAAATCTGAAATGAATGGCTTCTCCTAGGAGAGACCCCCTCACACACACCCCACCAGAGAGTCCTAGTGCCCCGGCTTAGCTGGTGCCCCCTCTTATCCCCCCAGCTACGCATGTGTAGTTATGCCTGTGGCTGTGGGCATACCCTCGACCGTCACATAGTAGCTGTGGCGGATCGTGCCGTGGTCGTTGTGAGCAATGCACTGGTATTCCCCATCGTCATCCTCCTCCACGCTTGGGATGCGCAGGGTTTTATTTGAGTTCTCAAGGACTACCCGGTCCGAAAGCTTCAGTCTGTTCATGTGGATCCATTCCACGGTTGGTGTAGGGCTGCCAGAGACAGGAGAGAAAGGGTGAGGGTAAAAAATGGCTAATGACTCTGGTCGGGGGGCCAACTAGCTTCATGGCTAAGACCAAGAACCCTCCAGGTGTTGCTGGGGTTCAACTACCATCGTCTCCATTGGCCCACGCTGACTGGGGCTGATGAGAGAGAGCTAGAGCCCTATAGCATCCGCAGGACCAACAGGAAAGCTGGAAAGAGCCCTGCTACATTGTCCTATCCCAGATCCTCTCCTCCTCCCTGCCCCACACCGTGTCACTGGCAGTAGTGATGCAATGGCTGAAAGACAGTGTGGTGTAGTGGCCTGAGTGCTGGACTATGACCTGGGAGAGCAGGGTTCAAATCCCCACTCAGCCATGAAGCTCAGTGAGTGACTTTGGACCAGTCACTTTAACCTGCCTCATAGGGCTGTTGAGAGTTAAAACAGAGAGTGGGAGAACTAAGTATGTCACCTTGAACTTTTTGGAGAAAAGATGGGATCTAATGGTAATAAAAAACAAACATTTAATTGATTAATTTGTTAGATTAATGGCTTAAAAACTTATTGATTGGCTAAATGTATTATTTTAATTAAAAAATTATTTTATTTTAAAAACAAGAACTCATAAAAACTGCCATCTTAGTAGTGAAATCGCCTCTTGTGTAAGAGAGAAGAGGGGAGGTTTCATCTTCTACGATATGGCTGCTATGAAATATTATCTATTTATTTTATAAATATTTTTATACAACTATATAATTAAAATAAAGCAGGAAATGTCTATATACAATAAAAACCACAGGAAAAAAATTAAAACCAGAGACCATCTACTAACTATTATGGAAATATGTTTTCTCAGTTGCCTTCACAAGCTTCCAGTTATAAGAACAGGAAGTGCTCTATTTCACTCTGCAGCAGTTTTGGATTGCATCAAGATTCAGTTAGCTCAATTTTGCTTCCAACACAATCAGCAAGACATAACTGTGAAATCCTAGCAATGTCACATATTTTTCTTTCATCTCATTTCATCTTCACAACAAGGAAGTAGCCTAGACTGAGGGATTGTGACTGGCTTCACAGTCATGCAGTAAGATTGACTTGAACCTGAACGCTTTGCCCGTAGGTCAGCATGGCACCACCGTAACGCCCTGGCTCCCCTTCTGAATATGCGCACCAAGCAAGGTTGCTCTTAGTCTTCCTCTCAAAGGTACTCTCTACTCTTTCTGTCATCATCCAGACAATAAATGAAACCATGACTAAGAACGCTGCCAAAGTGCTTCCTGGATCTCCTTGGCTGGCACTTTCCCCTTCTTTATCCTCATCAGCCAGCCTGTGGCTGAAGGGCCGGCTAAGCTGAGAGTCCCTAGAGAAGCCAACTAGGAAGACGTTTCCTTAATCACACAAGAAACACTTTGGATTGTAAGCCAGCCTTTAAGTGCCTTTCCTGCTTCCAAGCCCACAGGATGCAGCCAGGGGGGAGAAAGGAGGCTGCCCACACCTGAGGATGGAGCTGGAGGTCTCTGTTTGCTTGCCAAATCACCAAGGAGGGAAAACTAAAATCCCAAGAGGGTCTCCTCCTCTTCTCCACTTGCAATGTAGGGACTCTGGAGACACATTAAAAAGGAGCTTGCCTGCCCGCCCACCTGCAGGTACGTCTCCCCTACTGAAGCTGCACTAAGGAGAATGGAACCTCAATCTCTTGCCTTCTCTCAACTTCCATATGTACACGCACACAGTCTTAGACCCATCCATACCTCCCTCTCTCAAACATCAAATGTTTCTCTCTTTCTCTCTCTCATAGACATACACACACACACACACACACAGAGAGAGAGAGAGAGAGAGAGAGAGAGAGAGTCAGATATCTGCTTTAGGCAATCAGAAGGGAAAGATCTGTGAGTGCCCCTAAACCGTGAGTGGTTAAGCTGTCCCTCCAGGTGTTGATGGCTGGGGCTGACCATCAGCCCCAGCCAGCATGACCAATGGTCAGATTAACCACCCCGGCCCTCAACTAACAGAGTAATGGACGAACACCAGGGAAACACTTGAAGAAGATAATAAGCGGTGGGTTTAATGTAGGGATGGGTAACTTGTGGCTCTCCACATAGACACTGCTGGATTACAGTTCCCGTCATCCCTGACCACTGGGCATACTGGCTGTGGCTGAGGAGAGCTGGAATCCAGTAATATCTGGAGGGCCACAGGTTCTGTATCCCTGGGTTGAGAAAGCCAAGAAGTTACACTTCCATGTGATTCATAGTTGCCCCATGGAACTCACTGCCACAGGAATACTGTGAAGGTAGTTAATTTCAGGTAAAATTAATGTGAATTTAGAGAAATTTATGAAGTATCCTAAGGTACATTCATGGATTTATTTTTTTTAAAAAAGCCAAGCTATCCAGAGGCTGCAGAATCATGCGACAGCTGATCCACTGGGTGACTGTCGCTGATGGAACTCTTCCCCTTCAAGGATCTTCAAACCTTCCTCTCCCCAACTCTCTCCATGGGCGTTTTGGAGTCCTTTTCGGGTAGAGTTTGAGCCCTTTGACAACAGGTATCTCCAAGGCACTTACAGTCCTGCCACAATGCACTCCAGCACCAAGGGCTCCCCCTGCTTCGCCTCGTATGTGTTGGGCATCTTATCCGGTACAATTAGCATTGGCTTCTGGTTCGAGAAACTGTTGGCTGTGGAAGAGAAAGAAGGGAAGGCAACTGGGCAGCAATGGAACCAACAGGGTGCTGAGCCGACTCTGAGCTAATCTGACCTGCTGTGACCCTGTCCCATAGAGCAGTGGCAGCTCCTGCAGAGGCCTAGTTGGTGCAAACTGTGGAAGAGGCAGGAGCAGCACTGCTCTTCAGCAGCAGCACCTTAAGAGTGCAGAATAGGGACCATCTCATTTGTCCCTCTGATCTATCAAGGCAGGCATGCTTGCTGCACCCTTTTAACAGAGCTACTCAGCCACAGACCTTCCATTTGCACATCACACTCAGCCAAACCATGGCTTAGTGCCATCACATAAGCATGCAGGCTCCCAGAGAGGAGATTGTGGCTACCGTGCTCCTCCCCAGTTGTTGTTCTGCTGCAGCAGTAACCAAGGCGTTTGGCTTGACTCTCTCCAGAGTAACCATGAACTATAACCAAGATCTGCCCTGTGGTTTACAGCTTGCAGTTTGTCTGGGAGAGCTAAATCATGAGTCAGGTTCAGATATGTGTGAAGTCAAACCATGGCTTAGTGCAGTGCAGCACTAAGTGCTCTTTTCTTCTGGAGCTCATATGCTTGTGCGTTCACACAAAGCCATGGTTTGGCTTAAATTGACCCTTCTCTCAGTCCCGCCACACTCACAGGCATGCTTGGTAGGGACGTGGGAGAGGGCCTTCTTGATGGTTTCTCCCAGACTTCGGAACTCCTTCCCTAGAGAAGGTAGACTGGCCCCCTCCTTGTTGTCTGGCAAGTGAAGACCTTCTTACTCCAACAGGCTTTTGGGAGGTGACTGCTGGCGCCATGCGCTTTTATTGTAATTATAAAAACAACAACATCAAACTGGGCCAAAGACCAGCCAGAATTAAACTGGAGCTTCACACAGCTGTTGAAGTTGATAAGTGAGGGATTGAAGGCAGGTCAGGGAACCTGTTGCCTTCCTGACATTATTGAACTACAACTCCCATCATCCATGACCATTGGTCAAACTGGCTGGGGCCAATTGGAATTGGAGTCCAACGACATCTAGAGGGCCACAGATTGCCATCTCTGCTGTACTTGCCATAGCCTACTGTTCACCCTGTTATACTTCTCCCTTCCTTAGCCTCAAAACTAATTACCAAGAAACTAACACTTTCTCAGTGTATCTTAGACTGGGTGGACAGAAGATCAGGTGACTGATGGATCCCTGTACCTTTCCACCCCAGAAGGTAGCTGCACTTCAGAAATGCAGGGTATCTGAAGACTTACTGGGGAAAACCTTTAGTTCAATGGGCTCCTTCTGGATGATGATTCGAGGACCTTGGAAATGGGCGTTGCAAATATAGTCAGGGCGGCTGTCCTTCATCTGGACGTTAGCAAAATAGAGATTCCCATCCTGGCCCATGGTGACTCGGTCATCTTTTGTGATATGCTCGATCTCTGGAGGGGAAGGAGAGAGTGGAAATAGCAAAGTGGGGTGAGAAGCCACAGCACAGTAGACTGATTCTTCCACCCCACCTTATCTCTTGACCCAGCCAACATCATAGGAGAGAGAGGAATCACACCCCATTTCATTCATTCATTCATTCATTCATTCATGAATTGATCAGGTGGCTCAGACCAAAGGTCTCCCTTCCAACAGTAGCCTGCCATATGCCTCAGTGAAAGTGGATACTGACAGTCCTGTGATCTGCTTACCCCCCAAAAGACCTCAGATCTCCTTCAGGTAGCAGGCCATGGGATCTGAATCCCAGTAATCAGTTCCAAGCAAAACCACCTTGATTAATGCATTGAGCTACACTTTCCTGGACAAAAGTCCATCTCCTAGGGTACTTAGAATGGACTTACATAGAATCAGACCATCTACCCGAATACTGCTTATTCCACGGGTAGGGAACTTGTGGCCTCCAAAAGTTGTGGGACTACAAATCCAATTTTATCCCTGGCCAGTGGCAATTCAGGGCTGGGATTGATGGGAGTTGGAGTCCAACATCTAGAGGGCCACAGACTCCCCAGCTCTGATCCGTTCTGACTGGTTGAATCACAGATTGATCCAGGGACTTGCATACATAAAAGGCAGGTATAATGTGATCCCCACCCCCCATTTTTGTTTTCAATTTACCTCTTGTATGTTGCATAGAGGTATTTGTTAAGAAGCCACTAATAAATATGTAATATTTATTTGTAATAAATAGACATAGAAAAATACATAAATATAAAGGCATGTGTCCCAACATTATACTATCCGACAATGAGCCTAGAACCCAAGCCTCTTCCCTCCTGAGTTGAGTAGCCTAACTGCTCACCCTAAGCAGCAGGCCAACTGCTGGCAGACAGTAGTCCCCACCTTGGTCATCTTTGCCACATGATCACACCTGGAAGGGCAACCAGGGATACTCACTATTGTTCAGCCAGTAGATTTTGGGTGGGACAGCACTTTCAGGTGGGTTGCAGGGTAAGACCGTATGGGTCCCTTCCTCCACTGCAATAGGTGCCACCTTCTCCTTTGGCCACTGTGGAGCACCTGGACAAAGACAGGAAGCAAGGGAGGAAACTGGGTGAGCAAGGGACAGCAAGTGGGGAAGACTTCAAAGAGATCAGCCGAGAAGCATCGCTTGCAAAGTCCTCTGGGTTCACTTCTTCACACATCCAGTTCCTCTTTCCCTCTTACAGAAGACGTACATCCACAGGTATTTGGGAGGAATTCAGCATCACACTATTCCATTTGTTCCATCAGAACAAACATTTCAGCTTGTGCAATGGAGCCATCTCCCTCCTACCCCCTCCAATGCTGCTCTGGGGGGTTCCGCTTGGAGGAGTGTGGTGTGAATGGGGGTAGGAAGCAGGGAGAGTCTCATTGTACTAGTGGGACTTGTCCTGGTTCCTGCTAGCACACCTACTTAGATGAACCTGGCCCTCTGAATATTATTCAGTGACTGGAAATGCCTCGCAGGGAACGGGCAGGAGATATGCAGCCCAGAGCACACAGCACTAAAACGGGGGGGGGGGTTCCTGCTCTGTATCCTCAAAATATCCATGTGGAAACAAGGGTGGAGACACCTTGAGAAATGTAATTCAATAAGAGCAACAGAAGAGATTAAAAAGAAAGAGGGTCTTGAGCGAAAATTTTCTAGGATTGGAGGAAGAGTGCTGTCCTAGAAGTGATTTGTGCTGCAAAAGAGGCAGAGGTGCTTTTATTAAAAAGGACCTTGGACTGAGGGCAAAATGGGCTCGGGTTGCTTTATCCATAATGCACCACCCCCTCCCAAAAAAACCCCATCCTTCTTTCCTAGGGAGAGGGAATAAGATTGCCACCTACTATACTGCCTTGATCAGTGATGTGTGCAGATCCTCTTATTGCACTGGCTGCTGAAGTTCAGCATTAGGTGGGCAGAGATTCATTCATCAAGTCCTGAATATCTGCAGTCTCTCACTTGTGCTATTGGGGAGGGGAGGGATTTTCCAATCCGCCCAACGTACACATACACTGATGCACAGAACAGCTCCAGCATGTGTTTTATGAAAGCAGATGCATGGCAAGGCATGATGGTGTTTGGCCTTGCCTACTCACAAGTAGCAGCTAATGAAGTAGAGCTAAAGGAGGGAAACACTGCTGCAATGCCCCAGAAGAGGGCAGGGATGGCAGAATCTGCCAGAAGAGGAGGAGGAGGGTCCCCGGAGAGGAGGGGGAGAGAGTTCAGGCAGTGATGGGGAAGAGGGTCGCTGTGCACTTGCAAGCGCAGGCTTCTCACTTGGGACAAGTACCGTGCAACTTTAAAAGTAGAATGGGAGGGGGGTCTCAAGGGCTGGGACAACATCTTTGGTTATGCCCAGCCATGGATCCTGGAACTCTGCTTATGAACCCATGAACTGTGCCTCCTATACTGCGCATCAGTTGAGGCTGAGGCTGTGTGCTGATTTTATCAATAAAGCTATTGGGATTTCCCAAGCCAAGAATCTGAGGGGCTTTCATATGAGGGCGGAAGCCAGGGGACACTGAAGAATGTAGGGGAGCATGGATTTACCTGGCCTCTGAGGTTGTGGCTTGTGTAAGGCCTGTGATTTGACCTTCCTGGCTCATAGTTCACTCTCAAAAACCACTGAATTCACAACAAAAGCAGCAATAATAATATGCAGTAAAGGGCAAGTGGATTTTCTTTTGGGATTTTTAGTAAAGGTAAAGGAAAAACAATCAGAAGGTTCCAGTTCTGGAATACAGAAGAGAATGTTAACAGACTGTAAAATTTCCCTTCCTCTTAAAAATTTGTCACCGCCACCATTAAAAAGAAAAAAGGCCCATTTTTGGTGTCAGTTCTCTTTTGTGGTTACAGTCAGGATCAATAATGTGTCTCCTCTCCCCACCGCACCCCCACCCCGCTTCCCCCCACACTTTTGTTTTAACTCCTTCCTTGGCAGGCATGGGGAGGGCGAGGCCAAGCTAGAGGGTGGGGGAGGGGCCCACAGAGGTGCTGATGGAGAGGACTGGCAATTACATCACCCCGACACCATGAATCCATGGCAACGGTTTCCATGGAAACAAGAACAACTGGCTGCACTCCAGGGAGTCCAGGCAGGTAAAAGGGGAGGTGGGAGGGGGAAGAAGCCGGGGATATACATTTATTGTGAGGGGGAGGGGAGAAATTTATTACTCAGATAACTGGCGGGTGCGCGTGTATGGCAGCATACATGAGTGTGTGCGTATGCGCAGAGCTGCAGTCGCAGTCATTGTGTGGCAGAAATGAGCAACATCAGCCAAGCCTGGGCCAGGCATAGGGTGGGTGTGCATGGTGTGCAGCTGAAGGTGTGATGTGGGGCAGGACTGGCGGATGTTCCCATGCAAGGGGGTAGGGTGGGGCTGAAGCAGGGACACCATGCTGGGCGAGACTGAGGGGCACCGAGCGAGGGTGGGTGGGCACTCACTCTCAGCTATAATTTGGCTTTCGGAGCTCATGGCAGTGCCCAGAATGTTGCTGGCATAACACCGATATCTCCCGTGGAACTTGGTAGGCGTATTCCCATTGTTTGTCGTGATGTTCAGGGTCCCTCTGCCGTTCCATTGCGTCATCCCCAGCACCTGCTCAGGATCAAATTCACGCCCATCCCTGGTCCACCGGAACCTGCCAAGTAGAGAAGGTGCATCAGGAATGAAAGGGAGACCATGCTGGACACAAGAGGCTGCTGTACAGATCAGGAATGCAGCGGGCATCTCTTTAGGCAGGAATTTGGGAGATACACATGGGAGGGAGCTGGAATCATTTTCACAGAAAGATCACTTCTAAGGCTTGCGGCTGGCAGGAAAGCCTTCTAGAGAGGGAGATATATGCAGAAAATTTGGGGTGCAATGCAACAGGGCCGGAGGGAGGGTGTTTCTTTTAGGAGATGGTCAGGGATGAGCCCATGTAAAACCAGTATGCACCAGTAGGGGGAGGTGAGACTGGGGAAGCAATGGTGGGAATGGATGGTTATGGGAATGGAAAGCAGGGGGACAATAATTTCTCTCATATTCACAAGAGCTGAGCTGAAGGCAAGGAAGCAGATTAGGAGCTGAGCAAAGGTCAGAGGAAGGTGAGGAACATTATTGGAGCAGCATAAGAGGGAATAAAAGAGATATTAGGAACAGAGTGGAGCTGCGCTTAGAGCACTGTGCAATATCCAGTCTCATAAGCACTGGAGAGACCAGATCCTACGGTGGGAGGTGGAAACCCAGGGCTGAATGCATTCTGGCTTAGAAATAGCCAAGTATGGTGCTCAAAAATGCAATTCCTAGGAACAGAATTTCTACAAATATACACTCTTATGCATACATCATTTCTATTTTAATTCTTTATTAGGAATTTGAGTCTTGGCAAAATTTGGAATTTTGTTTTTTTATTCAGAACACTGTATCTCAGAGGGTTGAGGGGATATGTCAATTACACTTTCTCTCATTTTCTCATTTTTTCTAAACCTAAGTTTAGCTTGCCAAATTTACACATAAATGAGCAGGGTGGTATTCTTTAAAAAAAAACATTCTTATGAATATTTGACAGCATTGTAGTGCTCCTTTTCCCAAAATACACATTTCTGCAAGCAATTTCCACTGATATGTTGCATGTCTGTATGTTATTTTATATATCCATTTTTATGCACACCTTTTCCCCAATATGTACACTTTTTTGTTGGAGAACTGCAACTCAAAATTCAGATACATATGAATTTTGAAGGAATTTCAGTTCATTTGTTGTTTCAGGAAATGTAAATTTGGCAAATTTGCAAACATGCAAACTAAACTGAATTCCCCACCCCCATCCCTAGCAAGTATAGAAGATCTGATATCTGCAAGGGTGTGACCAAAAGTATAATTGTTTACATGGCTAGCAATTCAGCAGTCAAGATCAAATATTGTACCTTTTGAAGAACACTAAGAAACACAGAGCAAAATGCATACATACTGTATCTACTCAGACATAAGTACTGTTGAGTTCACTAGGTGACTAGGGCTTACTCCCTAGTAAATGCATATGGGACTGCAGCCTTAGACTGCTGCAAAATACAATGGTTAGATTTGCTGGTTAGCACTAGCCACTGAGACCACATCTTGCTAGTATTCAGACAGCTGCAATGGTTCCCTATCAATTTCTGGGACAACCAAAAGTGTTCTTTTTAAACCTTTAAGGCCCTTCTTAGCTTAGTTAGAATTGAGGTATACAAAAGCCTGCCTATTTCTGTATGAATACGCCTGAGTATTAAAAACATTCTCTGAGGTTCCTTTCTGGCTGCATCCCCCCGCCCCAAGAAAACACACACAGAGTGCGTGAATAATAGAGAGGAAAGTAGGTGAGCTCTTAATGAAATCCCCACCCCCTGACTGCTCCCTAATTTTAGCCAAAAAAAATAATAATTCCCCTGATAGCTTTCTAGAAACAGTAGCTAAGTGGCTTGCCTAAGACCACCTAGTGACTTCTTAGTGCAGAGTGGAGAGAGACCTGAATCAGGGACTCTGGTTCACAGCCCAATCTTGAAGTCTCTACACAAAAGGTGCAAATTAAAAACACAAAATTGCAAAGCAATCCAAACATCTAGCTTGCAGGCTTCCCAAATTATTCCCTACTTTGCCTCCTGCCTCCTTATAATCAATCAATGCAGGGGGCAGGGGGGGCAGCAGTTCATCCATGTCTCTGTATCCTGGGCGACTGGAGGCAGGGATGACTTGGGGTCAGCTCCTCTGCAGGTGGGTGCTCCTTACAGCTAGCACGCCCCCACCGTGTTTCCTTCCCAGTGTAAGATGCAGCAGGCATCAAGCAAAGGAGGAAAATGTGCCTCAGAGCTAAACTCAGAGTGACTCGGAAGATCTGAAATCAGATCTCCTGACATCTTTGACTTGGTTTAAAACCAGCGCTGGTAGTGATGGGGGCGGGGGGGCAAAATGAGACGCAGCGCTGGGACCTAACCTTTTCTTCCCGTGCTGAATCCTCAGCCCTGAACCTATGATTATCACAGCAACACAAGCGCCTGTCTTGTCTCTAAGAGCCGCCTGAGAAGGGGGAGCAATTTCAACCAGGGAAGCATCCTGGATGGAAAAGGTTCGCTCTCCCCTCCCCTCCCCCAGCACCAGTCCAATCTGACCCCCGACTCCTCTCCCCACCATGACTGCTTTTCAAAAACAGAAAGAGAAATGATTAGATCCAGTGACAGATCTTCCACATCCTATCTGGTAAGGTCACATTCACACCATAAATTTAAAGCACATTAAATTCGCATGGCTTCCCCCAAAGAATCCTGGGAACTACAGTGTGTTAAGAGTGCTGGGAGCTGTAGCTCTGTGAGGAAGTAAACTACAATTCCCTTTAAATGTATGGTGCAGATATCAGCGCACCAACCTAAAGACAAAGCATTTTGGAGGTTATTTTTGTCATACTTACTTCACTGGGGGATTCCCAGTGGCCTCACATTTCAGGGTGGCCTCGTCATTTGGGAAAATAACAATCTTCTTATCTGGCTGCTCCGTGAATTCAGGTGGCTGTAGTACTGGAAAACCAAGGTGGGAGCAAGAATCAGCAACCAGGACCCCTAAGATGGAGAGGGCCACCCTTTGAAGCCCCCCGCCTCCCCCCGCCCTGGACAGATTGCAATAAAACGGTTATACCTTGCACAAAGATATAACAGGACAGTGTCGGTCAGATTCAGAACATGGTAGGAGACCCCTCCCCAACAATGCAATCACACGGACTGGCCCTTCACCTTCTCCTGCTCCCGCCCTGCAGCCAGACACACACTCACACAACATTTCATGAAGACTCACAGTTTGTCCGGTCAACTGCACCAGCCAGGAAGCAACAGAAGAAAGAGAGAAAGGGAGAAATAAGTGCTTGTTAGTGGCCATTTCACCGAATAACTGCACAGCACGGAAATAAAACATGCAATTTTTCGTGCAAGATGGGGAAAGCAGGGGGCGTACAATCAGAGCATAGGTATGCAAAATGAGTGTGTTTGAGGCAGGAAGCATACAAGGTGAAATTGGAGTATACAAGACAGGGGAATGCACAAGATGAAATTCTGCAGGACAAGACTGGCACACACGGGGCAATCAGGTGCCTGTCTGCAGTTTGAGTGCCCAGGGTGGACAATGGTCATCAGTCTGCACATTAGGGGGCGCCACTGTGTGCATTGACTGAATTTGTGTGTGTCCTAGAGAGTGAGGTACTTTGTGGCTAGAGTGTGTGAGAAGAGCTGCTGTGCAGAGCAGCAGGTATGCAACTATGTGACACAAGTCATGAATGAGTGAGGCGCTCCATGGGGCAAAGGAACTCCTCCGGGTGGCCTATTTGTTCAGCATTCATCCTGATTTGCTTGCACAAAAGCTTAGGCGGCAGTTAGATTATAGCCGGTCTTTATTGGGCATTTGTTCTGATCTGCAGGGATACGGCCTGCATTCATCCTGATTTGCTTTCAGGGTGTTCTCATTAGTCATGCATTCATCTCATGCTTTCCAAAGCATTTATCTGTCACTTTCCAACTTGCAAAAAGTCAGGTTCTTTTTTTTATGTGGATTTCTTGCACTTGGGTGCTTCAGGTTTGAAACATGCAAACCTAAATTTGCGGTATGTGCCTGAATTCCTCCCATCAAAATAGTGCGAGTCTGGAAGCACCCAAAATGTACAGGCTCAATTAATAAGGTCCAATGTGAAGAAAACATCCTCTCTAAGTTTTGTACAGCCTTCTTGCTGGATGGTGAACAAACATCATCAAGTCATACCCACCAACCAGAATGAACAACTCAGTTTTAGAACAACTCAGTTTATGAGCAACTTGGAAATAAAACGCTGCAAACCCGGAAGTAGGTGTTCTGGTTTGTGAACTTTGCCTTGGAAGCGGAACATGTTCCACTTCCTGTTGAGTGTGTTCCGTTTGTAAATTGAGTCCCCCGCTGCTAATCAGAGGCTTCCTGTTGAGTCTGTCAGCTGTTGAGTCCCGAGCACCATGCAACACAAAGGTGATATTTGGAGCTTCTGTTTTTGCTATTTTTTGTGTTTTGGATTGTGTGGCTTTTTCATTTTTTGATTGTGACTTGTTCTTCGTTTTATGGGACTGACTTGTGACTGTGGCTTGTGACTTCGTTTTTGTGACTGTGTGGAACCCAGTTCAGCTACTGATTGATTGATTGATTGATTGATTGATTGACTGATTGATTGTGCGACTGAAGAAATGGACAAAATTCCCCCATCCAAACAATGACTTTCATCAGTTCACGTAAGAAACATTAATTTTTATTTTTATAATCTACAATACTGTCTTATTTATTTTATAGTACCGTACATTATTGCTTTCATTTTATGGATCAATGGTCTCGTTAGATAGTAAAATTCATGATAAATTGCTGTTTTAGGGGTTGTTTTCTAAAGTCTGAAATTGATTAATCCATTTTGCATTACTTTCTATGGGAAAGCACACCTTGGTTTTAGAACGCTTTGGTTTTGGAACAGACTTCCGGAACGGATTAAGTTTGGGAACAAAGGTACCACTGTATGTTGTTTTGCATCTTGATCTGGCACAGTCAGAGAGCTGGAAAGAGTTGGAATTTGAGGATGCGGGAGGTAGACTAGACTAAGTTTTTAAGTGGAGGTTGGATGGTCATCTGTCATGGATGCTTTAGTTCAGATTCCTGCATTGCAGAGGGTTGGACTAGGTGACCCTCAGTGTCCCTTCCAACTCTACAATTCTGTTCTTCTGTGAGTAGGCTGCTGGGCTCACCCAGTTCACTTCTCAAGCTCTTTGTTCTGAGGACACAGTGGTGGTCGGCTTCTGTTCTCCATTTGGGGCACAACACCGTGTGACTCATAGGAGGGGCTATGTGGGGTGGGGGTGGCAGGAGCGGTTGTATAAAGGATCCTGCTTTGGGGCATCTGGGTAGATTGAATGCCATTCTGGAACCATTCTGGAGAGCCAAATAGGAAATGGAGAGTGAACCAGGAGGTGGTATCATGTTTGAAGAAGACTGGGGGATGGTATGTGTGAAGGTGCACATGCAGAACAGCAAAAGCATGTGTAGACGCTGCCTGTTGTGGGATTGGATATAGTGCATCCACTCCTGCAGGCATTTAAAATACATTTAAAAGACTTTCCCCAAAGAATATTAGGAACTGTAGCTTGTTAAAGATGCTGGAAACTGCAGTTCTGTGAAGGGTAAACTACAATTCCCAGGGGAAGTTACGTACTTAAAATGTATGGTGTATAGGTAGCCTGGATATATCTATATATCTATAGATATAGATATGCCAATCGGATGGCTGATGGGACATAAAAGTCCCATACAACTTTCCAATTCTAAGATTATATGAAGACAGTAATCTACCTTTTACCAAATCAGAGCACCTCGTCCAGTATTCTCTCTCCACTGACAGGCAGCAACTCTCCAGGGTTTCAGGCAGGGACCTTTGTCCGCCTTACCTGGAGATGCTGGGTACTGAAACCAGGACCTTCTGCATACAAACCAGAGACTCCACCACTGAGCAATGACTCCTCCCCTTCCTTTCCCCAGTGGCCAACCAGCACTGACTGGCTGCTCTGTCTCCCTGCATAGTTGGCTTCCCACTTTTGGAGGGGGCAGTAACTGCCTCTTCTCCCCTAGGCTACAGAACCCAGCTGTGTGGCTAACCTGCTGTAACACGGACTACAGACCCTCCAAGTGCCCCTATTTTCCAGGGACAGTCCCTGACTTACAGAAGCTGTCCCTGTTTGCGATTTGATCCTGGAATATCCTGCTTTTCCTTAGAACATCCCTATTTTCATTGGAGAAATATTAGAGGGTATGAAGGCAGCCCAGTACAGGGAAGTTTTTTTTCATGTTTAATGTTTTATTATGTTGTATATATGTTGGAAGCCGCCCAGAGTGGCTGGGACAACCCAGTCAGATGGGTGGGGTATAAATAATAAAATATTTATTATTATAGAATGGAACATCCCTATTTTCATCAGAGAAATGTTGGAGGGCATGGGACTAGGATTGGCAGCTGACCATATGACCTGCTCATATCTAATGGCAACTATATGCACAGAAAACATCAGGTGAAGCTTTTCATAGAATCACCTGCCAGTGGCTACAGATCAAGCTGTTGTTAAAAAGCACAGCTACCATGGATGGTTGGGAAAATTGGCAATTTTACTGTGAGCAGGTGTTGTGTAGTTTTAAAAAACCACAACTAATTCTGTAAATATCCATTCAAAGTTTAGACCAGGGCTGTGGGAATCCTCCCAATATGCCATGGATCAGACAAAAAAATCCAGCTAGCCTCCTGACTAGCTGGCTGCCTCCTTGCACCCCACCCCCCACCCCGCTGCCAATTCCCTCAGTACAAGCTGAATTGATTCTTGGAGGAAGCGCGTTGCCTCTGGTTGAGTCAGCGACAGGTTGGGAAGGGGCTCCAATCCAATTAGAGGAGGAATAGAGTCTCTTGGGATCCACTTGCCTGCTCATCCAGACATAAGGGGAGGTGGGAGAAGAGAGACACAAACATGAGAGGGGGAGGGGGAGGGGGCAGGAAGGAGCCAGGGTGGAAGGGAGAGACCCTGAGGCCTCATGGTGAGACTGGGGCAGCTGCAGGAGAGCTCACAGCCACTGGACAAGCGCTCCAAATTAAATCATGCAAACCGTAACTTCTTTTCAAAATGTTTGGCTCCAAAAGGCAATACATGTTCCCTCCACAAAGGGGAAAAAGTGGGAAGGAAATGTTCAATATTATTAGAAAAACATGAGGCATTATTCCCTTCTTAGATGCCTGGATTCCTAAAGGGATTGGGAAATGGATCCCAAGAGGAATTCTACTGTATCTATTACCAACAGCTAAAATTTTCACAGCAAGAGGTTAGCTTCAGAAAGAATCACCATATATAAAGTGTTAAAGTTTGCTACATTCACTTAGTGCAAAATAGTTTAAGCCTGCAATCCTAAAAGCATTGACAAGAAAGCAAGTCCCACTGAACTGAGTAAACACTCTTAGGATTGAATTACATGTGCAATGGATTATTGATCAGTGCTGTCTGAATTTGTAAGTAAATGCTGAGAGTGTTGGTTAAGAAGATGAGGAACATCCATTCAGCTCAGATGGCTGGTGTTTGGTTATTTAAAATGAGTTGTTATTTCTATACTGCCCTAATTCCAAAATTCACAGGGCAGTTTCCAATATAAAAGCACAAAAACACAAAAACAATACCCCCATATACAGACTGATCACATATAGCTCTGAACCTGATGACCCTCAGTTCCAAAGAGAGACAGGAGACTTTTCTAGAAACCGAGCCTGTGCTTTGCAACTCATTTGCAAAACATCATTGCAAAACATACTGGCCTGGTATCATCGGGCTGCGGCCCAGCAGGAGTCTTGGACTGGGTCTCCCGTTGCTGGGGAAAGGATTCCACTTGGGAAGAACGTGGCTGGAAGAACTGGAGAGACAGGTGCCCTGCTTTGCTGGTGTCCCGCCATTCTGGCTGCCCCTGCCTCCTCACCACACCCCCAATGATCCATCAATGCTATGGGTCCCACTAGCTCTGCCCAATGAAGCCCCCAGTTGTAGCCATGATGCCCTGCGGACGGGTCAGGCTGAGGGCGAGGCAGCGGAAACTTGGGGGCAGCCGAGCCGTCCTGTCGACAACACACAGCAAGTGCACAACAAGGCGCTGATTGTTCAAACTGAAGCTCTGTGCCTTTCTTATGCACTCTGAAAACTTGATTAAACATCATGGAAATAAATAGCATTTTGGCACATTTGCCCCTTTTTGTTCAAGCATGCTCTACTTGAACGTTTCTGTTCTGTTCTGAATGAAATGTATTAGACGTTTAGGCTTTTAGGCTCTCCTAGCACAGAGTAATGCCATAAAACACCAGGAACTGCCTTATACTGACACAGGCTGCTGGTCCATTTAGCTCAGACAAAAGGCTTCCAGGATCCAACTAGATGCACTACTAAGGACACTGGTCACAGTGCTAGAGCCCCAGCCCTGCATGCCTGAGGTCCCGGGTTCAATCCCCAGCATCTCCAGGGGGCTGAGAGAAGACTCCCTGATGGAAACTCTGGAGGGCTGCTGCCAAGGGCCAGACTCGGGAAAGGGCAGCTGCTTATGACAAGATTTGGCCTGATGTGCTTGTTCTGAATCAGAAGTACAGGGTGGGCTAGAAAGTGGGGGAGGGGCTTTAAGCCCTTGAGGTGGTCCTGCTGCGGACTCTGCCCCCTCATGTCAGCACCAACGGCAAAGAGCAGCCATGGGGAAAGGGGGCTGATCCAAATGGGAACTGTGCAAGGGCAAAGGTTAAAACCCTCTTCCTTCCGCATAACATACCCCAGTGCAGATCAGCCCCTCCCCACTCATGCATGCCTGATGTTTGTAAAGGAAAATCAAGCCTGCAAGGGTCAGCTCTGGTGATTAATGCTGCATCTAATGTCACCCTTAGGCAGAGAAATTTCCCACAATCCTTTTAACCTGCAGGTGCCAGGAGTTGAAGGGGGGGCATCTACATTCAAAATCCTATTGAATGTGAGTTCTGTTGGTTCAGAGTTTGCAGGGATGACTCAAGGGCTACTCCTCGCTATAGGCCAGCCTTCCACAACCTGGTGTCCTCTAGATGTTGCTGGCATGACCAATGGTGAGGGGTGTTGGGAGTTGTAGACCAGGGGCATCCTCACCTGCACTAAAGGGCCATCAAGCTGGCTACACCTTGGGATTTTCATCGCTTGGCCAAGAGCTTTTTATTCCACAGGGCCTCTGAGGAAGACCAGATTAGTTCTGCTGGGGCCACGTGGGGCTTTTAGTTCTGCTTCTCTGTTGTCGTTTTATTGTTTGGATTCTAATTGAATTCTGGATTGTTTTAATTTGTATTCAATAGCAGTGAGCTTCCTTGAGGGCAGAAAATTAATTAAGGAAGAGCAGGGTTGTCAGAGTCTCATCTCCACACAAGTAGCGCCAAACATTCTCGCACATTAGACCTGCAGGAAGCAAGTTGCAGGTAGCCTAGAGTTCATACTAGTCAACCTCCTAGACCAGTGCAAGGTGTTTAGTTTTGCATATGTGTTCGACCAGTGGATTTAGAATGGGCTGTCCACATGCCATTCTGCTTTATTAGTTGCTCTGCAGTGCTTCCACAATGCCTTGAGTCCCATCAGGGGAAAAGGCAGGGTGTAAATTAATAATGATGATGTTACTGCATTATAGAGCAACAAAAGCAGGACAGAAGAGAAAAAGGATCATTTCTGGTATTAAAAGTTCCAGGATTTCAAAAAGAAGTTACAGGACATGGAAATGGAGCGGTATCTGCACCGAAAAACCTTTGCGGGCACAAAGGGTATTGAAAGCAGGTTCACGTATAATTACATTGGAGGCAAGCATGACCACAAATCATCATCATGACAGCACGATAAAAAGTACATATATTTTTTCAATGTAATTAGGAAAGCACTGGGAAGCTTGAGGTAATTTTGAGCAGAAAAGCAGTGGGAATGGAAAGGATTAAGCATATTCTTCCCCCTCAATCCCCACTCCCCAATTTCTGTTGTCCCCAATTGCAGTCTTTTCAGTTGGGAAAAAAAAGTTGAGAGAGACATATTGTTCTCCTCTGTCCCATTCAGAAGGGGCACTGAGTTCATCAAACCCAGGCCCACATCCACCCTGCAGGGACAGCCCTGCCTTACTCTTGAAACAGAGATGAGGGGACTTGTGTGCTCTCCAGAAAGCATAGCCAGTGGTCATCATCATCATCTGGAGGGCCAAAGACCCCCAACCTCTGTCTTACAACTTCTGCCTTAAACACACTCGCTCTTTATACCCCTCAACTGTCCTGGTTAAATTGGGACATCCCATTTTTTGGTTCCTTGCTGTCACGCGAGACCATGGCACCCAAAAACATGTGATAGCACAGAGTCTAAAAATGTATGAGAGCAATGTAGCCAATAATCCACAAGAGTACTATCTGTTGGGAATCAAGCCTTTATCATGAGAAACTGGCCACTCTCCAGGCACCCGGCTTGATCTCCTGTTGACCTCCCTGTCTGCATTCCCCAGCAGGATCCAGGCAGAGGTCGTGATAGGCGATCCTTCTCAGAGTGAGAACACACCCCCTTTTTCCTGCCCCCCCCCCGGGCAGGGGAGAGAGATAGACAGAAACGTATTTACATTCCTTTATTTCTGTCTTTGCAGCGTTACAAAAATCATGACTGCTCTCTTCAAGCTTCAGCAGTCGAGAGACTAACACCTCCTGTACTTCCTGTACAGCTCATATTACACTCTGAGCTAATTCCAGTGCCCTCTGCACTGTGAATTGACTGTCCCTCTGTTTCCCACGGAACAGTCCCAACATTCCCATTATGTTTTGCTTTCAAGCTACCAGCAGCTCGCGGCTGCATTGATTCAATATCGTAACACTATCATGGTACCCAAGAAGTGCATTTTGAAGCTCCGCACTCTCACACAGGTCACATGACTTGCTCAGGGCCCAGAAGACACACATCCCGGTTCAGACTGCGACATGTTAGAGTATGCAAACTAAGGAAGAAGATACCACTCTTCCCTAAATAGCAGGTATTGAGATATTGCAATGAGTATGGAATGATTGTCCCCTCCCAACACCCTGTATATCAAAAAACAGTAAGTACTCGGGTGCAGCCGACAAGAGTGGCTGGCGAAACCCAGCCAGATGGGCGGGGTATAAATAATAAAATAATAATAAAACAAAAAAAGCTTTTCACACATTACATTTTGTTTTTAAGCTGTGCATCCAAAAATGTAAAGTGCGGGTCGATTGATCAGAAAGCCAGGAGTGGCTGCAGATACCAGGTGAGCCTGCACTGCATGGCGAAGGGGAAGTGTGGAGTTGGCCCAGAAAAGCATGGCGGGTCATTGCAACAATGAAAATAATGGGCAGCCCATGTAAAACAATTCAGGACATTTTTGCAAGGTCACCTTTGGGATTCCAAAACAAAAGGTCACAAAAGTGGTGAGACAAAACCAGCAGCTGGGGCAGATCTGTGCGATCCTTTAAAGTATGGCTTCCAGCAGATTCCCAGGAAATGTAGTTTTCTTGTCACAGAACTACAATACTCAGCATTCTTAACAAACTACAGTTCCCAGGATTCAGTGGGGTGGGTGGGTGTCACATATTTAAATGTGCTTTGCATAGATGGTGGGGATTTGCCCAGCTCCATTTTTTTTCACCACACCTGCTATGGTGAATATGTGTCACTGCTATCTCTGGCAAGGCATGTTGAGCCTGGCCCTTCCTCCCAACCCCCGAAGATGGCACAGATGGGTTCGGAGCACCAAGACCCTTGCAGCATAACCCCGGTCCCCATCCCCAAGGTCGTTTGCCTGAGGCATTGCCAAGATGCCCAGTGGACTTCAAGACCATACTCACAAGCCCGCTCCTTTTCCTCCTCTGGAGCAGGAAAGGATGGCAGAGGCTGCTTAGGAGCCAGCCCAGGAAGCTCCATGCCTCCCCTTCCCACAGCAAAAGCAGGAGGGTGGGGAGGTGTCTTTGGCTGCCCCTCAGCAGAGGTGTCCTGAGGACTTGGGCAGAGCTGGAGTCAGACAAGCAAAGGAAGGACAGGGACCTGCGATCACAATGTTTGGATTGGTTAACATGGACAGCCAACCATTGTGGGGCCCTGATTGAGATTTTTAAATTACATCCCACGGGAGTAACGTTATACTAGCGTTGGTTGCATGTGACCTGTTTACTGAGTAGCCATCCTGATTTGTTTGCACAATGTTTGTGGGGAGGTTATATGCTGTTTATTAAGCACTCGCTTCAATTTGTTTGAGGAGAATATATGATGCCATGTGAAATCCTCACTTTCCATAATGGAAAAAAATGCTATTCTTTTTGGAAGTAGGTTTATTGTGAAGGAGCCCAAACCCACCTTAATTGCATAACCTGAATTTGCCCCAATCTACTAATGAAGAACCGCATCTTTATAATATATTGGAAATCTCCACTGACAGGGCATCCTTTCAGGGATGCATTTCTTAACCTTCTCCAGCTGCTTCCAGTGGCTGAAAGCAGGGCCCTTTTTGGTGGTGGCACCCTGTCTCTGGAATGCTGCCCACAGGAAAGCTCACCTGATAGTTATTCTTACGTCTTTTCAGACCTTCTCATCCTCCCAGCCCTTTTCAGGGATTACCTGGATCTGCTTCTGTGTTTTTATTACATCTGCTGTTTCAGTGGGACTTATTTTGGGTCCTAGAATTGGACTGTGAAAGTGATGTCAACAGACTTTCCATACACTGGGGTTTACTGCTTAAGGGCTGTGCAGTCATTGCTGAATCACCTAGAGATTACAAGGGTCCAGCAAGTGCTTCTGATGCAGTGAAATAATAAGCAATCAAATCTTTTATCCAAGTCACTGTTCAGTTTCCCCTAGCAATCACAGCTGTTGCATACTAGTAGGCAGGGAAATAATGATCCACAATAATACAAAAATGCCATATACTTACAGGTTGGACTATTCAAAGCAGTTCCTAAACATTATCTTTACAGCCCTGTAAAGTAGGCCACTGTAGCTTTCTCCTCTTTACAGATGGGGCTGAGGCTTAGAGGGAACAGCTTGCCTAGGGCTACCTTGTAAGTTTATGACTGAGATGAAACTCAGAATTTCTTGGCTCATAACTTACATTCTTAACCCATAGAATCGTATACTGTTTCCCAGTTTGCACATAATGGTAAGCCAGAATGAAACAAACTCGGTCTTACTGAAATGAGCAAGCAAGCTGGTGCCCACTCCTCCTTCCTTTACCAGACCAAGAGGAAATAGACCAGAGCCCTGGAATAGCATTATGTGCAAACCAGAGCTCGTGGTTAGTTTCTCTCAAGGCAAGTGGCAGGAACCAGTTTCTTCTTGGCCTGATCTCATGATTTGTTTGGAGAGAAATTAACCACAAGTGCCAGTTTGCACACAATGCCAAGAAAGTCAGTGCTCTGCTCTGCTTCCTCCTGGCACAGAAAAAGGGAGCAGGAGCAAACTGAATGGCAGACCAGCAGACTTGCTCGTTCCCAGTAAGCTGGATGTGGAAAAACTATGGCCCTCCAGTTTTTGCTAAACTATAACTCCCATCAGCCCCAGCTAGCTTAGCCAGGGATGATGGGAGTTGTAGTTCAGCGACATCTAGAGGGCTACAGGTTCCCCACACTTGTGGTAAACCACAGATTGTTGAACTCTGGTTATGTATGAATCAGGCCGTGAACATCATTGAGAGGGTATCATGAGTCCCCACCTATCTACACCAACACAGTCTTTCTTTTCTTTGTTTCCTCCCTCCCCTCTCCATCGCCAGCACTTGCGTGATTTCAATCTACAGTGTTGGTTTGTTTAAAAATTGCTGTCTCCCACTACTTGCAGCATCACATTTTATTATATGGGAAAAGGGATAGCTGATAAAGAACTAAGAAAAAGCCCAGGGTTCCTCCTTGCCCTGAAAGGGTCCCCAGAGCAGAGGTTTCCTTCTAAAGCTGCTATGTGGCTGCATAGTAATGTAGCTTTTCAACTGTGAATGAAAGCAAGTCAGTGGATCCCGAGGAACTACACCCTTGGGTGTAGAAGGAATTAGTTACAGAAATCCCAGGAACACTTGCAACTACCTTTGAGGAGGCTCAACAGCTCTGGCAGGAGAGAGGAGGGCAAAGCAGCCAGGGAAACAAATTATAAATCCTGTTAGCTTAACGCCGCTCCCTCTGAAGTTGTCAGAGGAATATCAGGAAACGATTGATTTGTAAAGCATGCAAGAATCCAATGTGGATTTGCAAAGAACAAATTATGCAGAGCCAAAAATAATTTCCTGCCTTTGACAAAACAGCTCATTTCATAGACAATGAGTAACGCAGTGGAGATATCATTTGAACTCAGCAACACGTTTGGCATTAGTTGAGCCTGACTTTCCTGCAAGTAAATATCTGGACTGAAAAAGCAGTCGCCTGACATGGAAGGCACAACTGGCAGGAAAGGAATGTCCAAAGACAGGAGTGTTGATAGGACTGAGATCAGTTTTGTGTGAATTCCTTGGAGGGGGGAAGAGAACAGCTCCAGTCATAGCACATGAAGCAAAAGGCTTTGAAAATGCTGTGAAGGTTGGAATTTAAATCCTGCCTATTCTTAGTAAACTAGAACGTGAAGCCCTGAATTTGAATTCAGCCATGTCTGGAGTGGAGGGTGAGCAAGTAATTCTGACTTCTGCCCCCAAAAGAGCTTGTGAAAACACTCCTGTTCTCTCACCCAAATATGGCCCAATAAGAAATGCCAACAAGGGGGCAGCTCACCACCACCACCCCCGCCACTTCTAACTGTCCACATTGTTATTGTAGATTCTACACACAATGGGTGTCTTGGCATTTGTCCTCAGTGACAAATTCAGCCCCAGCTCTGTAGCCTCCTTCCCAATGGGTGATCATGCTGGTCACAGATGCTGCCAACCAAACCCATGCAGAGCTTGTCTGAGGTCCGGAGCAGGAGTCTTATTCATGAGACTTGCCAACATGGCAGCAGCACCTAATCTGAACTGACGCTACGTGCTAGTATGCAGTAACGCTAGTCCAGATTTTACTATCAAAGCCTTGAAGTGCATAAGGACAGACATGGGCTTTTCACCCTTGGCCATTTTGCCCATTAAGTCCTCAGTTGGCTGGGAGGCACAGGGCATTCTTAGCATAACAGCCCTCTGTGGCCTGGGGCAAGCGTACCCAGCTGCCTCCCCCCCCTCCCATGTGGGCCTGTGACTCTCCCCATTCCTAAACCCATCTCTCAGGCTGGGCTGAGGTGTTTCTGCTGCTGGACTGATTCTTCACCTCAGTCACACTTGGCGCCATCCTCTCCTTTTCCCACAGAAGCCCCGTTGGCCACAGAACCAACCCTATAGGAGAAAGGATGGCAGCGGGAGCATCACACTGGGGAGCAATTCACCACATAGCTCAGGACACACAGAGGAACCGCCCCCCCTCCACACACTCAACCCTTGTGACCTTCACTCAAACGGCAATGCTTTTCACATGGCTTTTGAAAAGGGTGGCTGTGCATCCAGCACACATCTGAGAGCCCCAGCAATGAAGACATAGAAACCAAATGGTTCCTCATCTGTCCCTATCTACCCATAATACAAGACCAGGGAGCTGAGGCCCAGTCGCCATCAAAGAGGTACACCTCTATCTGAGATCCACAACTTCATATTGCAGGTGCTGAAGTCACATTCCTCCATACACAAAAATATATTCCACATAGTGAATGAACTACCTCGTGAGGGAGAATTCTTCATTTCTTTGTATGAAGGAACATTCAGTCATTAGAAATTTAAACTACAGACCAGAGCTTCTTGGACTAAATGCTTCTCCATGCAAAAATAAATAATCCTCTCACACAGAAAACTAGTAAGTCAGGGAGAATGCTAACCTTGAACTCACGCTTGTGCCTATGTGGAATGAGGTCTGCTCATACCACAGGACTTCCCCCCTCTCCTTCCTTTCATGCACCCTCTAAATTTGTTCTAGGTTTTTCCCCAACCCCCCAGAGCAGATTTAGAGGGTGGGGGCAGAGAGGGAGTTGCATGAGTGGACCTTGCTCCATGCATACAACAACTTCGTTGAATTCTGCCTCATCTCCCTGACATGCTAGTTTTCCACGTGAAACTGGGTTTTTTGGTGGGGTGTGGAGATTTCATTGTGAGTCCCTACCTGCATTGTAAAGCCCAAACCAAGGTTTTCACCCCGGTAAGAATTAGGCTTGAGAGAACAGCATAAGCCACACAATCATCTCTGTAGAAAAGAAAAATGCCATTCATCCCTTTTCACTCACAAAAGCACTTAAGCCAAGGGACAAAGTAAATGGGACAGCAGGAGAGCCATTAGTTTAGATCCAGGTCTCCCCTAATCAAATACAAAATTGAAGGGTCCTGTATTTTTTATTTTTTTAAAAGCAGCAAAAAGAGAACACCTGCCCATGGTTGTTTCCTTAAAGGCTCTTTTCTTGTCCAATTCATTCCAGTTACCCAAAAGCAGCTGAGTGGGAGAAAGAGAGGCTGACACTGTCTGGCTGCTTTCAAGCCTCGTTGCCATGTAGGGACAATTTCTGGTGCTGGTAATGGGGCTTCCCAGTGCAAAGGGAGGGAAGGGTTAACCCTAGCCCTTCCCCAGACATGGTCCTCTCCCCAAAATGCATGGAAATCAGGTTTGAAATCAGGTTTCCACTGTCCCCAATTGGAAGCTGGTTTTATTATTAATCACTGTGCAGTCGGGAGGGGAGCCTGTGGTCTGAATGGGGAGACCACCATGGGCCACACTCGGCCTGCAGGCCAGTAGCTCCCCACCCGTGGGCTGCAGGGAGATAAGTGAGGGGCACTGAGAAGGTTTGCCCATCCTCTTACCGGCATCCCCCTTTTGCACTAAAAGAAAAGCTCCCCAGCCCAGCCCTCATAGCATGTATGTATATGATTGGAACAGACCCCAGCCCGAACAAATGGGGCTGCCACCATCAGATCTAGTTTGGCTCCAAGAATATGAAGAGCTTCCACCATGCACCTGGCCAGGATGGAAGGAGCTGTTTCCATTCTACACTTGGGAGGATCTTTTAAAGTATTGTAATTTTTTCTTGTTTTGTTTTATGTGTTTGTAAACCACTTTGAGGTTTCTTTTACAATCAAGTGGTGTATAAATTTCATGAAATAAATAAAATAATTTCTGCGGACCTACTGACTTCCACCTCTTAGGGATGGGGAAGGGGCTGGGACGCTGGATTGGAAACACAGGTCCTCTTTCTTCTGCCCTCTTCCTGATAATCTAACCCAGAGGCTCCCAGACTTATTTGGCCTACCGTCCCCTTTTCAGGAAAAAAAAATACTCAGTGTCCCCCTGATGGCTTAGGGGCAAGGCCAGCGCCACAGCTTGCCTGCCAGTGGCCAAATAGGCAGACAAGCTGCAATCGACTTCCTGAGCCTGGGTGAAGCCAAAAAGGGTTCATCCATGACTGGGAAAACCCCTCACCTCCAGCATGACCTCCAGACCCAGGGGAGGCATTGTTGCCATCCCACAACAGTGACTGACCTGGCAGTAAGCGTCATTACACAACAGATGAAACATGTAGAAACGGTTTTTCAAAATTTTCTTGTCCTCTCTTCTTTCTTTATGCTTCCATCACCCCCTATTTTTTATTCAATGCCCCCCAATTGCGCCTGAGGCTACTACCGCCCCCCTGGATCGTTCCAGCACACACACCCCGGGGGGGGGGTATCACCCACTTTGGGAATCACTGATCTAGCGCATGTTTCCTTTGCCCAACAGTGCTGAAAGGACAGCTCTTCTATGCCTGCCTCCCAGGCCTCAAGAGCTGTCCTTGGTGCTGAAATTGCCTGTAAGCACAGTTCCATGCAATCTGTTTTGCAACAAGCAAGCAAGCCAGTGTCAAAAGAATCACTGGCCTCAGCAGGGAAGGGACAAGGAGGAGGGGCTGATAACTCCTAAACTCATCAAACTGTAGTAAAAGCACAAAGATGCCTGAAGAAACTGTGTCAGTAATGGCAATGTGATCTAGTAGAAGGATTTGTGGATTTGGGTCTAGAAGGCCATGGGTCAACTTCCATCACAGCCATAGACACCTGGATGGTTGCAGTAAAGTTGCTATCTTAGGCCTACATTTCTGTCCAAATCATGGAATTGTATGTACAGTCCATCTCAACAGGGAGGTTGTGAGGCTGGCAGAAGGAAGCGCTGTGAAGTTGTTTGCACACTGAAAGCACTATAGAAATTAGATGATATATTTAATGACTCACAAAATATATTTAATGACTCACAAAATGTATAATATGTACAGAAATGTGGTCATAAAGGCAAGGTGTAGGTGAGTGCCAGAATCAACAGCTGGGTATAGCCCCACCTTTCTTTTCGTTGAACCATGCTTCCTTCCCTTTCTGTCTCAATTTCTGCAAGCTCTGCACATCCACACCTTAAGTGATGCACATCTCTGTAGACTTACATTCATTCTCAAACCTTTGCTTCCTGACCTGTTACGATTGGCAAAATTTGCCGCTTTCATTAGTGTGAAGCACGTTGGGTGCTAACCATCCAAATAGGTCTGAGATGAGGGTGAGGATTGGATTAATGACTGCTGGTGTCACAAGGCACTAGTACTTTCCTCAAGCAGGCAGGAGTAGTACTATTTCTCTATGCAGTTTCTAGGGGGCGGGGCATTTAGGGAGCTCCCCCCGGCAACACGATGCAGGTCCCCCATCTCTCTTACCTACCTACCCCTCCCTCCCAGTTTCCAGATGCAATTGCTCTCTGCTGCACCAAAGGTTTAGGGAAAGGAAGGCAGGCAGACTGAGCTGGGAGGCACTGTTACCCAAGGTTATGTGATAATATAAAAGCAGAGATAAATGCCTGGAACAGGGCTCTGAGAAACCAACAAGAATTGTAAAAGAAAAACAAATGCAAACTGTCTGAAAAGAACCAACCACATGTTCTGACACAACAAAACATGGCCAGAATGCATCACCATCACCACAAGCTCTCACATTCAGGAAACATGCCACAAGCGGCAGTAGTAAACCCCACCCTACCGCTTTCCAAAGCCACTCACAGGGGGAAAGATACTGATGCCATCACTACTCACATCCTTTGGGGAACTCGATGGACGCTGCTGGATCACAGAGGAGCAGAACCAACGGCCAGAGCATCAGCAAACCAGCCAGCATTGAAGCCATTTCACCTGGCACCCCTGGCCAGGGCCTCTCTCCAACTCTGGGCAGTGGCGCAGCAAAAGGGGAGCAAGCAGCATGCACCCCCCACTGTGGCTTGTGGCTGTGGGAGGAAAGAGGGAGGGAGAGAGAAAGAGACCGTTAGTGTAAAGAAAAAAGGGAAGAAACCCTGTGTAATCATCATTGTCCCCCTCCCCCACAAAACATCCTTTCCCCCAAGGACGACAGCACAGGCAGCAAAAAGGAGCTGGAGAGGAGAGGGAGTTAATGATGCCTTCTGTGTTTATTTATTTCCATCAGCCTTCACTCCAACTTGTTGGAGGAGCATGCTGTGTGCACAAGTGGGTGAACCACCAGCCCTGCATCCCCAGTCCCAGACCGCCCCCACCAACAAAGCAGGATTACTAAAGAGAGAAGGAAAGAAGGGAGATCCCGAAATCGAAGTCAAGGCAAGATGTAGCGGGTCTTGGCCTAGGGTGCCGTGTATTTTCGAGGCAGAAAGGAAAGGGGAGGGGCCCTTTTGTTCAGGAAGGGAGGGTGGGTCACGAGAAGGCAGAGCAGGGGGGGCGGGTGAGTGAGGAAAGGTTTATGGGGGCTGGCGGCTGAAAGAGAAAGAGAGAGGCGATGGTGGATGGGGAAGAATAGTGGGTTGATGGATGGAGATAGCAAAGTAGGGAGGGTGGGAGAGACAGAGGGAGAGAGAGAGAGAGAGAGAGCAGAGGATGGAAAGAAAGCAGAGAGATAAGAATATATTATTATAAATGGAAAGATAAACAGATACATGGAAAGGCAGAATTCTAATAGTTCACACTGATGCTGTGCTCTTTATCCACTGATTGTCAGTTTCCATACATCTCCTGCCCTTCTCCCCTAACAGATATTTCTGATGAATGGAAGAATTTTTTTTAAGCAAGCAAACTGTGCAATGCATTACAACCTCATGCTCAGTAGCTCCAGAGGTTCTACTGATGTCAAGATATGGATGTGCTAGAGATATAGATTTTCCTGGTTTTTAGCTGCATCACTTGCATTGTGCATTGGGCAAAGTCCAGACAAATACCACCAGGAGAACCAAAGGAATCCCAAGAAACTGAACTCTCCATGGAGCGTGGTGGGTGTGCAGGTGGGTGTAGCTTACAGAATCTGTTTTTTTATAACAAGCCTATTAAAATCTTCCAGATGAAGGAGTTTGCCTAAGAGAAGCCTGTAGAAGTTCTGATCTTCCGAGTCAAACACAGAGCTTATCAGCCACACATGGTCCCCCACTGGTAGGCTGAACAAACCTGGCTTTGCTGCCTGCCTGGAGTTGCATAAACATGAACATTTTCTAAACAGCCCGTCAGGCCATAAGTAAGTTGGACGTAAGTTGTGCAGGCCCAGCCTAACGTTATCTAATGGATTCACAGGAGATGGAAACATTTGAGACAGAGACTTCCCAGCTCATGCTCTTAATCAGCATGACGCCAGGAGTGCATTCAGATGTGGAGAATATTCAATCAGTTTTCCTAATTATAATGCCAGTACTTCCGTCTCATTTTGTAATGCTCCTTCACATCACTGACTGACTGGACAGTCCTATGTGTCAGGTCCACATCTGATTGTTCTGATATTACTAGCTAAAATCCTGTAATTCTGACAGGTGATGTATGTGAAAGCAGGTTCTGCCAATCAAGGGGTGAAGGGCAGGCTTTGCCTTCTTCACAGCTGCGTCCCCATGACCCAGATGAATGAATGGCAGCCACTTGTGTACAGTATATGGAAGGAAGTAAAAGGGTTCATTTAGAGACACCACTGAGATCGCGTCTAAATTTGCTCCCTGCCCAGGTAACAAATATTAGGCTTATGCCTCTCTATTTAGCACTATCTAGAGCTAGCCTTCCTGTTCACTTTAAAGTATGGATGAGGAGCCTATGGCCCTACCATCAGCATACCTAGTGGTCATGGGTGATAGGTGCTGGCAGTGTGACAGAAAGCTCAGAACTTCTTGACATTTTGCAGAAGACGTGTGCTTGTGGCTATTTTTCCACCACTTCCCCCAATTTTAAATCCCCCCCCCATAAAGGCTGGACTTTGCCCATGCACACAAGGCATGGTTCCACTGAAGATAAAATCTATACAACAGAAGCACTCTGTGGGCTGCCAGCACCCTTACAACCAGCCCTCCAATCAGGAGGGTGCTTCTAGGCCAGCACCAACAGCCACACCCAAAAACCAAAGGATCAGCCACAGTGAATCTAATGCATACATTCCAGCATGTACCCCACTGACTCACAAATACTTTTTTGGGGTGGTATTTCCACACTGCCATAACACATGAGTAGAATAGCTGTTCATTTCTCTGTTGGCCATAAAGAGCTGCTTCACAATGAGTCAGAGCATAGGTCCAAAAAGCCCAGTCTTGTGTACTCACAGAAGCTCTTCAAGATTTGAAGCAGTGGCTTTTTCCAGCCCAGAACATCTCCAACCCTTTAGTTGGTGATGACAAGGACAGAACCTGGGACCTTAGGCATGCATAAATATGTGATCTAGCACTGAATTTCTTCAAATCTAGATTACAGAATACGAGGATGGAGACAAATTTCCTGGCAAATGGAATTTGGGCCAAAAGCTAGAGCACTGGCTAGGATAGGATGACATCTGAACCAGCCCTGGAACCAGTTTGCAGTATGGCCTAGCTGGGCTTCAGGGACAGCCCTGGATTGTGCTTGGTTTTATTTTACTTCTAAATGAAATAAATTTAGGAGAAAAAACAAAATTGTGTTAGATGCTGCATTGTGTGGCCAGAGCCCTCCATCATGGCGGGCAGGACAATGTTATCATCTGTCTTGCACTATGCCATGCCAGAAGCCTCAGATCACATGAGATGTGTGTGTTGAATGCTCAGAGACCTCCAGCACAGCAAGAAATGAAACATCAACTTCTTCCTGTTCCAGGGGTGACCTCAGAGTGTGCAGATTGTCACAGTATGGTCTGGCAACATCAACTGGGCACCTTTAGCTTCCCTGTATATGCCTGGAGTGCACTGTGGGACCCATTCCAGTTCTACAATCCAATCCTTTGCTTGAGTGGCGAACAGTTTTTCCGTTCCAGGCACCACTAAAACTACCCAAGGTGAAACCAATACAAATGACCATTTGCTGACTTATCTGCAACCTTCTGATGAGCAATGTGACCTGGTACCCTTCCTTGGCTTCTCTCTGAATGGATATCAAGTGCAAGAGGATAGTAGAAGTGCCCTCCTGACCAGCAGAACAATGCAGACAACAAAGCAAAGACACATGCACATGCCGCTGGCTAATGATTTGTTTGTAAATGGGTGCTGGCATTTCTTAAGAATGTAAGAAGATTCCTGCTAGATCAGGTCAAAGACCCATCAGGCCCACCATCCTCCCATTGCAGTGACCACCTAGATGCCTGGTGGCATGTGCTCCAAGTCATTTTCCAGGGACAGTCCCAGAATTTTGAAAGCCATCCTGAGCCAGTGTGGTGTAGTGATTCAGAGCAGTGGACTCGTAATCTGGTGAACCGGGTTCAATTCCCGGCTCCTCCACATGCAGCTGCTGGGTGAGTCACACTTCTCTGAAGTCTCTCAGCCCCACTCACCTCACAGAGTGTTTGTTGTGGGGGAGGAAGGGAAAGGAGAATGTGAGCCACTTTGAGACTCCTTAGGGAGTCCAAGTTCCTCTTCTTCTTCTCTTCTTTGTGAGCCTGCAGCTACTCTTGCCCCTTTCTAAAATTTATTTAATGATGTGTGTTTTTCTTTTTGTAAATCTACCAAATAAAATCTGGATGGTTTTCTCAGGATGGTACAGGCTTTGTGTGCTATGTTCCATTGGTGGAAATGCTCTGGGGGGGGGGGGGCAACAAAAAATGTGGGGTTGAGGAGGGTCAGTTGGGCAGGAGAGAGTGAGAAACGTCCCTATTTTCATCTGAGGAATGTTGGTGGGTATGTGATGGGAAGCCTGCATGTTTATGGGCCCCTACATTCCCTGACTGCAACTCCCCATTTCCCTCCCATGTCTCCTGCCTTCCTCTATTCATCTGGCAATTACCAAGCGAGGGGCTTATATTGTTAGCGCGGCGGGGGCTCAGTGAACAGCAGCCGGGATGCAGATGGAGCCAAGGGGGCAGCTATGGGGAGCTGAATAATTTAAGGGGGAGGGGGAGGGGGCAACCTGTCAGCTGTGGCTGCGGGGGGGGGGGTGAGCTCACAGGGGACAGGCCATGATTCTGATTATGCTACCCAGGAAGGTCAAGGCAATGCAAATAAAGGAGGGGACGAATGAGGAGGAATCACAGGGTGTGAAAAAGAGAGATGTTTCTGATCATCCATCCTTTTAAATCATAGGAGAATAGGCAGAATGCATGGCGTATGCTTGCTTAGCCTAAAGAAGTGGAGATTATTAGGCACCGGGGGAGACAGAGCTACAGAGTCTCAAAGGCTTTTTTCTGAAAATGTCAGACGGGGGGAAAATAAGACATGATGGCTAAGGAAGCAAGGATTCCCTTATTGGATCAGGCCAAGAGGCATCATAGACCAGCCTTCTGTTTGCAACACCAGCCAGCAAAATGCTTCAGGGGAGACCCCAAGCAGGGTGTGGCTACACCCATTGTTTATGCCCAGTATCTAGGAAGCACAGGGGTAGACTGCCTCTGATCCTGAAGTTTCTATTTTTAAAATGTTGATTTGTCGTGCTAATTGCCATTTGAAAGACCTGGCCATTATTGTATTTAATCTTTCTTATATACTTATATAAAAATCCATTTAAACTAGTATCCATCAGTGTATTGCCTATTAGCAGGCTATGTGTCAGGTGAAGAAGAACCTTCCCACAGTCAATCCTGAACCTTTTGCCACTTAATTTAATTAGGTGACCCTAAATTGTAGTATTATGGGAATAAGAGAGAGAGAATAATCTTTATCTGGAATAAGAGACATAAGTCATAAGACCTACGAGACATAAGCTGTGAGACATAAGTGAAGCCCCCTCCCCCACACTTCCACAGTGGGATTGGGAAATGGAGAAAGGGGTTGGACCATAGAGCTAAAACAGTATAGAATAGCATGCCACTCTGAACTTTTGTCACTGAACTTGAAAGCTTCTGTATCCTGTCTATAAGAATTTGTCTCTATGATGCCGCTCCAATTTACCCAGTATCAGTCTTCACCCAATGGTGTATATTCAAGTTGTTACAAGAAATGCTGTTCAAATGGCACTGGGACTGGGAGTCCTTAGGGTGAACAGTATAACCCAACTTTCAATTACTGTAACTTTATATCCTTCAGACTTTTTGGGGGGGCGGGGGACGAGGTCTTTAGAAGTCCATTAATGTAAAACTGCAGCCCCATCCTACCTAATACTTGGAGAGCGTACATTGTCTCCATAATTATTGCAACAAGCCCTCTGAAACAGGCCAGTATCCCCTGTAGTCTTCGTCATCTGCCCAGCATATAATAGCCAACTAACTTTTAACACCAACTTTCCACAACTAAAAAAACCAGATCAACAGCCAGGGAAGCTAAGGAGCCATAAATATGCTGCTCGGCCTCACTGTTCACTGGTTTGAACCAACGATGTTTCTAGCACTCATAATTGCAAAGACAAGAAACAATCTATGCCTAGTGGGTCAAAACTTGGAGGTGGGGAGATCTGTGGCCTGAACTCATGCCACAGGCCGCACCCAGTCTGATCTCTCGCCCCCACCCCCCACAGCCATTCACAGCAGGATCATGGGGAAGCAGCAGGATATAGACAGACACTTTGGTGGCAGGAATCCTGCCAATGCAAACAGGAAACTGTGCTTGGCACAATTCTGGACATCAGCAGTGGTCACTGCCCCCCTGAGCCCATCACAATGTTCTGTGGCAGATGGTTCCAGAGAGCAAGGAAGAGCTCCCTTCACACAAAGGACTGCTAATATACACAAACACATGCTCATGCACAGAGCAACCTGGCCTGAGCACCTCAACCTAAATTGCTGCAGATTCATTAACACTCCTACCCTCCGGGTATTTGGATTGCAATGTGAAGTCTGCTCAAAACATATAGGGGACTATAACAGACAGAGAGAGCCCCATCGTAGTGAGATGGGCAACTTGGAGTGGCAGATTATGGGTGCTGTTGACGGACAGCAGAGTAGACAATATACAAATCTGACTCACAAAGCACAGCCCATTGGGAAGTTCTCCTGCACAGCTCTTGCTGAGACGCATGGGAGCTGTGCAAGGGCACATGATCATCTCCCACTCATTGCAGTGGGGCTTATGCAGGAGAACTTCCCGTAGGATTGGTCCTGTGTCCGTTAGACTGTGTGCACACCATAAATTAAAAACATGACTTCCACCAAGGAATCCTTGTTGCTGTAGTTTACCCCTCACACGGCTACAATTCCAGGACCCCTGAGCAAACTAAAGTTTGCAGAATTCTTTGTGGAGGAGGCCTGGCCTTGTGCTTTACATGTGTGTCAAGGGGGTGGTGTGTACACAGCCTTAATCAGAAGGGGCTCCCATTGGCTTTTCTGCCTCAGAAGCCAAATTGTCTCGGGCTGGCACACAGACACACAATGCAACACACACACACGAATGCCTTTCAGTCTTAATCCTCCCATCTACCCAGGCTAGGTCTCCTATCCAAAAAGCCCTTGGTGACCTTCTTGCTCATCTCTCCCGTTGCTGGTTCTGCTTGACCCAGCCCTGTCCCCCTGCTTGCTACCCGACCCCCCCACCTCTTTTAACCTTTTCATATTTCATCTCCCTTGGTAAAACAAACATCCATAGAAGCAGGAGAATTAATGAAGTAGGTGACAGGCCTTGTCAAAAGCCCTCTTAACAGGGGCTGGGAGTAGAGTTGGGGGGGGGAGATAGGGGGTGGGAATGACTGGAGAGGAGAATCTGATGACAGGCCCTAATCAAAAGGAACTGGAAATGTTTGCATGAGAAATGGCAGCTCCCCATCTCCTCCGCCACTGGTGACACAACAGCCTCCCCCATATAAGGGCAGAAGATTTTTTATTTCCTCAAGATAGTAGTAGAGCTAAAATGTCCCATGGTGGGGGGGGGGGTTTAGAATCCTTTTAACTAGGACTATTGAACCGATTAAAGAATTTAAAATGTATTGATTAGCCGTCTTTTTTTTAAGCTGTGCATGAATTAATGGAGCAACTAAATTCATTTTCCAGAATATTGCCAAGACCTCAGACTGAACAATGTATAAAATCAAATCAGGGGAGGAAAGCCCATAACTCACTGCTTGAGCATGTGACTTGGATGGGGAACTTCTGAGGTTCAGCCCCAACATCTCCGGTTAAAAGGGATCTCAGGGCTGCCACCAGCTGCAGCACAAAGCAAAGGGGCTGCAGAGTTTTGCGGCGCGGTATTAAGAAGCATTAAAAATAAAGAAGCAGCCTGTCCGCCATCTGACCTGACGCCCTCTTCAGGACAAACTGAGCATTGCAACAGAGCCCCTCCAATCCTCTGGAATTAACTGGATCTCTTGCACTTTCATTTGGAGATTTATCTGAGGCTTCAGTGTTTAATGAGAAAGTGTAAGGCTAGGAGGGATTAGAAGCTGCCCAGCTCACAGAGATCATGTCCTGCTCCACTAGGATCCCTCAGTTGTTGTTGTTGTTGTTGTTTTAAAAATAATGCTTGTTTGCAGCTAATATTCTGCTTTTCCACAGATCTCATTGCCTCTGAGACGCAATGGCTGACCATGACCCTCTGCTGATGGAGAGCATCATGAAGCACATGCGTGGCCTCTTCCTCTCGCAGATGTGGGTGTTGGGTGGAGAAGGGGGTCCTAGAAGAGCTGCATCTCTCATGGCTTAAAAGCTGCTCTGCCTTCTAACTTTGGCAGCTGTGAGCTGCATTGAGCCTAGTGTATTAGGAAAAGTCAGCACACAAAAGAGGATGGTGTGTGCCTCTACAATCCCACCCGGGGCTTGCATTAGCACCCTGTGGAGCTGTGCCTGTAAGGCCTGGGCGTTGCTCAGAAGCCAACTTTCATCTCAGCAAACAAGGACAGCAAAAAGAAGACAGAACTGGGGTTCAAGATGGCCTTAACAGATTGGGGAACTGGGTCATAACTAACAAAATGAATTTCAATAGGCCAAATGTCACATTCTACACTTAGGCAGGAAGAACCAGCTGCATAAATATGGGGGGGGGGGCCTCACCTGGATAACCAGTAGCACATGCGAAAAGGATCTAGGGGTCTTGGTGGACCACAAGCTGAAGATGAGTCAACAGTGTGATGCAGCAGCAAAAAAGAAAACAAACACCACAGCTGGAGAGCACCAGGTTGGGGAATGTTGATATAGTACTTTGAATGTTCAAAGATCCTGCAATGTTTTTTTTCTAAATTTACTGTTATATCTTTTGTAAACCTCTTTCAGTGTTATTTTTTTAAAAAAATAAAATCAAGAGGCCTATACATTTTATGAAATAAAAAAAATGAAGTGCTTCATGGGCACTAGCCTGTTGTGCTCCTTACAACAACTCTGTAAGGTAAATGGCCATTATCATTACATCTTCCATATTGTGGAAGCGGCTGGATGGGGCTGAGGCTGAGAGGGAGAAGCTTGCCTAAGGCCACCTTGGGTGAGGAGGCAAAGGCAAGAATCACGACCGGGGGGCGGAGGCTGTTTCTTGATTTGCGGCTCAGCACAACCCTAAGCTGGTTTTCTAATTCTTATTGCATTCAGTGAGGCTTATCCCATTGAAAGTGTGTCTAGGTTTGCGGTCTTCACTACTTTGCTACCACAAATACATCTGCATAAGAATCTAAGGCACCCTGAGAAACAGAACTAGCCTCAAATCTTTCTCCACTGAGCTTCGGGGCTGGGAGGCATCTCACCCATGAAAAGGACCCCCGCTTCTAAACCTTACTGGTCCACAACCTTTTCTTGCCTATCACACTCCAACCTTCAAAGGCAGGTCACACACAGTTATTCCCATTGTTCTGGCAGGGAAAACCGAGTCCATATAATAGTGATGCCACTGAGCAGGCCCCATGTGCCCGCAAACATACACAGACACATACAAACACACAACCCTAATCTGGTATTATGAAACGTCTAAACAGCCCTTTTCACTCAAATTTAAAAAATATATATATCACATTTGCCCTCACAACAACCCCATGAAGCATGTTACTATTATTCCCAGAAGAGTGTGCAGCAGCATTTCTGCTTGCCCAAGAGAATTATCTCCATTCTATAGGTCCTTTGGTCCTCCAGATGTTGCTGAACTATAACTCCCATCAGCCCCGGCATGGATGGGCAGTGGCCAGGGACAATGGGAGTCGTAGTTCAGCTACTTCAGGTGGGCCAAAGGTTCCCCACACCTGACAGTGATACACTGAATACAACCTATGATAAAGTAATAACAACCACAACAGCAAATTTGTATCTCTTCCTGAATGAATAAATGACGAGCTATTTACGTATATGCTAGGGATATATGCACTAGAAACACCAACATTGAACATACTGTGGATTGACACTTTCTGCTAGAAATTGCTCCTTGGCACTCCATAGCTAATGAATTGAAATACAGTTGTTAATGGAGGTCACCATTCTCACTACCTCTCCTCCATGTAGTTCAGGGGTGCCCAAACTTTTTTCAAAGAGGGCCAGATTTGATGAAGTGATCATGCGTGAGGGCCAACTAAAGTTTTTGAGCTTTTTTACAATTTTAAATGGATTAAATAGACCGGATTAGGCCCCCGAAACGGATTTTGGACATGCCTGATGTAGTTAAAAGATAGCAACAGGAAAGAACAGATCTTCCCTTTTTATTATTCTGATTTGGGGGGCAGGGAGCACTGCCCTTGAATGAAACTGATCTACACTGGCAACAATAGTGTCTTGCGGCACCTTAATCTGTTTTAAAGGGGCTAGTGGAACATCATGCCTGTGGGGCAGTTACAGATTTAAGGGGTCCAAGTAATAAACTGTAAGTGTTGGGGGGAGAAATAGAATCACAGAATTGGACAGTTGGAAGGGAGACGTCTAGGCCAACCTCTGCAGTGCTGCCTGGGAAAGATCTCAACTTAAAATGCCTGGTGGCAGAGGAAGCAACCACAAAAAAAGGGATCTGTCAAATATATATCCCAATAGCAGCTGCACAATGTTCTTGCACAGGCGAAAAATTTCGGCAGGCTGGACCCACATTTACCCAATTCCTGCTGTCAGAGGGGACCACCTTATCTTGCTTCATGGCACAGCCATCACCTGTACTGCTCTTAGGCTACATACACACCAAACATTTAAGACATATTTCTCCTCCCTCCCCCACCCCCTGAAAAAGAATTCTAGAAACTGTAGTTTGTTAAGGGTGCTGAGGAATGGCAGCCCTGTGGTGGGTAAGCTCCAGCACTTGGGTGCTTTCAATGCACGGCCGTGCGCAGCCTTAGAAACGGGCATTGTGGGTGTGCTTAGTGCTGACCTGGGTCTCTTGTCAAATCACGCCCTCTGTGGTTTGCATATTGTGCGCAGTTCAGTCACCATGAAGCCTTGGAGTTTGGGGTGACAGTTGGCGTAGTTTGTCTCACGAGCACCTGCTCTTTATTTTTTGGCAGGTGTTGATTTGCAGGCACTGCCCAGGTGAGGCGCATGCCACACATCCTGTGCGCAAAGAGCAGCCTCTTCCACTCCCTCGCTGCTGCCCTACAGGACAGTGCCACTCTGTGGTCTCCATAGCAACCATGGGCAAAGATAAGCTAATGAGCCTTAAGGACTCTGCCTACTAAACAGACACAAAGGAGGGGAAGGCAGGGGAGGAGGAGGCAGGATCCATAACTGTCCGCAGGGAATTCAACCCAGGGGAATTGGCTTCTGCTCTAACCACTAAGCCCCAATCCTTTCCCAGAATCAGAAAACAGAGTCCCAGTTTCGTTTTTCTTCTCCCTGCCTCTCTCAGCAAAATACAGCAGATCTGGCCGTGGCAGGGGTCCCTGCGCAGGGAGATAAGGAAGGTCTGGTCGGCTGAGGGGTGAACAACCTCCATTTCTGCTCCTCCCTTGTCCTCATTTGCAAAAGAAAACATGCAAATCCCAACAAGGGAGAGGGATGAGGGGAAACATATTTATCGGGGAAAGGAGCAGTTCCAAGGTTGGGGGGGCGAGCCCCTTAAATCCTCTCTCTCTCTCTCCTTATATTTCCACCCTGAGAATTGCCCTTCTTCAGGTTCTATCAGCAACCCTCCAGGCTCATCAGGAAGCCTAAAAAAATTAAAAGCCCACCCCTGAAACCCACAGATTATGATGGTGATGATTACATTTGCATAATTACATTTGAGGCCAGAGGAACATGGCCCGGCTGTGAGGCGTGGAGGCCGCTCCCTGCAAGGCCCTTTCCACCTGGCCTAGGGGGCAGGACCCACACTCACCAGCCCCACTGAAGAGGCTCCTCATGAGGCCAGAGGAACATGCGTTGTCCGGCATCAAGAACAGGGCATAAAGGAGGAGGGCCATTTAACAGAGAGCTGCAATAATATTATTAATCATTTATATACCATACTTAACATACAAGTGCAAGAAAGCAAACCTTGAGGCTGCCTGAGGGGGCTTTAGGAAGAAGTGGAGGAGGAGGTGCCCCTCCATCAGAGAAGGACTCTCAGCAGGGCCGTACGTGGGTGGAAAACTCTGCCATTCTACATGTTCTGGTGATTTTCCAGCAATGGAGAAAGAGGGAAACAGTGTGTGTCAGGGACGGGTGTGGATGTGCCCCATCCAAAGTCCTCTTGTTTCCTCAATACACCCTTTGGAATGATGCCATTCTATGGGTGGCTCTGTAGATAATTCCCTCCCATTGGAGCAAAGAAGGAATAGATGACCCCTTTGCCTCTCCTCTGGCTGCAGGGACCTCTCCCTCCTTCCTCCATTAGTGACCTTTAGGACTGTGCTGTTGTTTAATTTTAAACTTGGAGCAATTTGTGGCTTCATTTTGCAGATGGAGAAGTGATGCTGGTAGATCCCTCTTGGTTTGTGGCGCCCCCCGCCCTGCCTATGCCCACCAGGTACTCTCAGTACAGGACAGCACCATGTCGACATAAGGCTGCCTTGGGTCGATTTTCCATTCTGTGGGTTTTGGTATTATTTCAGCATTTGGGGGTCATAGAGAATCCATCCTATCCATATGACATGCATTGTGGGATCCTGGGAGGCATAGATCCAATGATGATGATAGATAGATAGATGATAGATAGATAGTCTTCTTTACATCTGGTTATGGTTTGGAACTTATCCACAGACACATTTAACAACTGTGATGCGGCTGTATGAGAGCAGAAGATGCTGAAAGGGTTTCATAGGGTTACTAAGCTGCTTTGAATACTCAAGGCCATTCAGACTAGCTTTCAGGGCACCTGGAGTCTATTCTTAGCCCCAGAAAGAGAATGGAGTGAAGGGAGCTGGAGAGAGGCTGGAAGGCCAAACGCTCATAATTTCTGAGAAGTGTCTTGACAGCAATCCAGTAATTCTGGGGATGGTGGGAAGGGAAGTGGCCTTTGCGGGGGAAAGGGTGGCTTTCCCCCTTCTGTTTATAAAATGAGATTGCAAGATTCTAAATTAGCATTCAGTCTGGACTTAGGGGTGGAGCATTTGCACTTGCTGTCCTGTTTTGCAGCCTCTGTGCTGCTCGGTGGGTCTGAGAACCTGCCTGCCCTTATTATCCCAACAGGTTCCTTGGACCCCTCCAAGCTGCAGAGGAAGCTGTGTGCACATTATTTTAAAGAAACACAGCAAACTGCAAAAAATATCTTCTCCAGATCTTTATGCAAAGTATAGATGTTTCAGCATTTTGTAATCTTTCCCCCCAATAACAACAACAACTGTCTAGAATCAGTGTATTTATGCGCAGCGACCCAAAAGAGGCGGCTGACATGGGGGTTCCTGCTCGGTCATGGATAAGAGGGTGGGTGAGCAGACGCAAAGAATGGTGGCAGGACTTAATCTCTTGCCTTAATAGTTGTGCAGAAGAGTTCTGTGAGTCTTTCTCTGCTCAGCTCTGAGTGAGAAACTGCAGCTGCCAAAATCCTTTCTTCTACATAAGGATTAAAGGTACATGATCTTGCCATCCTAAATGAAAGGTGGGGAACCTCAGGCTCAGGGCTCCCAGGGGCCCCTCCAGGTGCTTTTGACCCAGCCTGGATGGAGGCTGTGGGGTGTGCGTGTGTGCACATGCGTGTGCACACTAACCTCTGACTTTTGCAGGGCTGCAGTGTAGTCTACTGTACAAAGGCAAGAGTCACATTTGTTGCTCTGATCACTTTTCGCCAATGGCCGTGGTCCAAAGGCACATTGACAAGTAGGGAACTGGGTCACATACAGGGTGGGAATAAACTAAAACTTTTAAGTGTGGTGTGTGCATGGGTGTACATGGGTGAACATGTACACACCAGTTACACACACAAGAGCAACAGTTTGGCTTGGATTGCTGAAGGCAGATTCACATGTCCAAATGATCACACATTACTCTGGCCCTGAAGACCCAAAGAGAGACATGAGACTTTTCTAGAAATCATGCCTGTGCTTTTGCAACTCATTTGCAAAACATTCTGGCTTGGTGTCATTGGGCTGCAGCCCAGCAGGAGCCTTGGACTGGGTCATTCCCATTGCTGGGAAAAGGATTTCATGTGAGCCTCCTCCTTCTTGGAACAGGCTGATTCATGCAGCTGGAAGAACTGGAGAGGCAGAGGCAGGGTTCTTCCCTGCGCCACCTCCCCGTTGCCCTGCTTTGCTGGTGCCCCACCATTCCTGCTGCCCCTGCCCACCACACCCCCAATGATCCATCAATGCTATGGGTCCCACTAGCTCTGCTTGGGGCCTCAATCAAGTCCCCGATTGTAGCCATGATGCCCTGCGGATGGGTCAGGCTGAGGGCGAGGCAGCGGAAACTTGGGGGCAGCCGAGCCGTCCTGTTGACAACACACAGCAAGTGCACAACAAGGCGCTGATTGTTTGGGACCCAGATTCCAGAGGAGTGATGGCAGCTCAGGCTGCAGGATGACTGCAAGAGCCCCCAGAACAAGTCTGTTTCACAGAGCATAAAGCCAAAGAGAGGGAAGTGCAAAGGCCTTCCTCTCTTGCCAGTCCAGCCGCATCTTGGCTCTGGGCCCACCGAGGTAGGAGGGGCTGCTCAGAGTGGCAAGGAAGAAACACGTGACACGGTAGAGGCTGTGTACACACTTTACCTTTTAAAGCATGTTTCAAGCATACAATTTCCCCACAAAGAATCCTGGGAAAGAATCCTTAGGCAAGAACCAGCTGCACAAATATAAGATGGGGGACACCTGGCTTGCCAGTAGTGAATGTGAAAAAGACCTAGGGGTCTTAGTAGACCACAAGCTGAACATGAGTCAACAGTGTGATGCAGCAATAAAAAAAGCTAATGCTATTCTAGGCTGCATCAACCCAAGTCTAGTATCCAGATCAAAGGAAATAATAGCCCTGCTCTATTCTGCCCTTGTCAGACCACACTTGGGGTACTGTGTCCAGTTCTGGGCATCACAATTTAAGAAGGATATCGACAAGCTGGAACATTTGCAGAGGAGAGAGACCGAAATGATAAAGTAAACGAAGCCTTATAAAGAACAGTTGAAGGAGCTGGGCATGTTTAGCCTGTAAAAGAGGAGAATGAGCGGAAATATGATAGCCATCTTCAGATATCAAAAGGGCTGTCACATGAAGGATGGAGCAAGCTTGTTGTTGCTGTTGTTATTGTTATTTCTCCTGCCATGGAGGGTAGGACCCAAATCAATGGCTTCAAGTTACAAGAAAATAGATTCTGACTAAACATCAGGAAGAGCTATTTGACAGCGAAACGGACTCCAACGACAAGAGTTGGACTCTTCTTCCTTGGAGGTTTTAATGCAGAGGCTGGGTGGCCATCTGTCATGTATGATCTAGTTGAGATTCCTGCATGGCAAGGATTGGACTAGATGACCCTCGGGATCATAGCTGTCAACTTTTCCCTTTTCCTCTGAGGAATCCCATTCGGAATAAGGGAATTTCCCTTTAAAAAAGGAAAATGTTGATAGCTATGCTCGGGATCCCTTCCAGCTCTACAATTCTACAATTCTATGAGTCTAAGTGTAGTTTAAGGGTGCTGGGAATTGCAGTTCTGTGACGGGTAAACCACAGTTCACAGGATTCTGCTTGGGAGAGGGGGAGCCGTGTGTTTTAACATGTGTGGTATGTACCCAGCCAGAAAACCTTTCAGGTTAAACACTTGCTCCTCTCAGCCTACTTGCATTCAATCTCACTCATTACACTCATTAACAACCCTAAATGGTTGTGACAGGTGATCTTCCCCCAGGTGAATTAACATCCAGTAGACAAGCAAAGGAGACCTCCTGCAAGGTGCCCTCTCCCTGGGACTCCGAAATAGCCTGTCTCCTTCAATGTAACAACCCCCATCCCCACCCCAAAGAAGCAAGTGTGACATAGTGAGTGGAATACCAGCAGCCCTGTTACCCCTTGCAAGCTGAAAACAACGAACCTTTGCCCAACCAAGCCAAGAGAGGAAACAAAAGCAAAAGGCAGGCAATAGCTTCTCAGACTGCAGCCTCCTTCCTTCGCTCCTTTTGCATGGCTCAGAAAGTCTCCATTTGCCATGAACAAGCAAGGGAAAGAAAGAAACCTGAAAAGTGGGAGTGCGATGTCTCTGCCAAACCCAGACCCTGTCACTCCTCAGAGCAAGGGAAGGTGCGTTGTCATTGTCATCACACACATATGCAATTGCACTGCCTTCGTTCATTTTGGTGGAACTTACGAGTCAGGAAGGTGCTTCAAAAGGCAACACAACTGACACTCCTAGTTGTGGAGGCGGGAGAAGGTGACAGAGGTGCCAAGAAGGTAGAGGCAGCACTCCTGTGCCGTGTTAGAAATCAGCCAGGCACCAGGCGCATTTTGTGATTGGCGCAGGTCCAACTGAGGCCACCTGGAGATCTCGGGATGCCAGGCTGATGACGGGGGAAAGCAAAATGTCACAGGGAAGGATCTGAAATACTTTCCTTGAAGCTTGAATTTGTTTTATTATGGATTGTTTTATTTGACATTTTAATGTGTTGTGAACCGCTTTGAGATTTTTCCCCTTTAAAATATAAAGCGGAATAGAAACGAAATTAATAATAAAAATAAATTCCACTGCAAAAAAGGCACCTAGGCATTCCATTCTGGTGACTGTACCCTACGCTTAAGGTGCCCTTTGACGATTAGATTATATATCTGAGTTTCCAACACTGGACCCAGAGTCCCATGCTCAGCTTCCCCCTCCCCAGCCCTGAATACTCCCTCCCTGCCGCTGCCATTGCTGTCCTATAAAACCCCTTTTAGAGGGCTGGGTCTCTGCCCCTGCCCGCTTACTTTTTGTAACCCTTTGGGTGGTACATGCTGGAAAGCAAAGCCAGGCTCCAACCACTGGCCATTTTTATTTGCCCAGAAACCTTGGAGCCCCACCAAGGTTCAGAGACATTTCTGGAGAAATTTTAGATGGTGGGCAATGCCCAGTGAGGCTTGCTAGTGCTCTCATCAGGGCACTTGGCTGTGAGGCCCCAGATTGTGGCCCCAAAGTCTGCACTTAACAGCTTTACTGAGGGCAAATTTGATATTTGAGTAGGACAGCAAGTAACCTGAGCTAACCCTGAGTCTCTGCCCTACCTCCTCTGGAGGACTGGGGATTGCCACAAGGAGAGGCAGGATGTGGAGGGTGGTGTGCAAATGTTGCATTCAGTAAGAAATCTCAGGATAATTTGGTTGAATGGCTTTCGCTCAGGGTTAGAAGCAAGTCGAAAACATGTTGGTGTCTCAACAGTTATTAATTCCAGATGGCACAAACACTAGACACCTCTGCTAATTAATATGGGGTGTAAAGTTCACTGACATGAATGGAAGCTGCTAAGACTGTGGATCTTCTATATTTCAGTGTTACCTTCCCAGTGCATTGTAGCCTATGGGTTGGATTTGTCCTGTATGATGTGGAAACCTCGCTTTTTCTCAAGGCAGAGATCAGCCTTACAAATTAGACAAGAGCCTCACATACATTTTTACTAGCCCCTTGCCCCTACTATGTGAGTCACCTGCAGCTGCTGAGTAGCCTAGCCAGCTCTCTTTCAATGATCTAAGCTTCCTTACTTCATCACCTTTATTGCAGCACTTAATTGCCAGAGATGACCAAGCAACTGGCTATTTACAATGGTGGCAGGGTTTTCAGCTCTGTGTTTCCAGCTATCTTCTCTGAAGCCCCTTCGGTCTGCTTGTGGTTTGCTGGCAAGTCAGTGGTCCAGCCTTTGAGGAGAAAGGGCCCTTCCCACATCATCACACTGCAGAGAGGACTGGGCACCCAGACACCTGGGGTCCTCCATCCTCTGGAAGCTGGAACAAAAGTCCACACTCCTCTAGCAAGGCCTTGTGGTGGTAAGTCAGAAGAAATTGGCTTGTTTGGAAACATCTCTTTTATATACAATATGAGTGAAGGACTTTGAGGAACAGCAGAGCGGGAAGAGACTGAGAACCCAGCTCTTTCCCCATCCCATCCTCTGAGTTTATTCCTGCAGGTGCTGAGTGGGGGCAGCAGGACACACAGAGAGAGACTCTAGGCAGGCAAATACAGCAAGATGAAAAAGAGATGCAGGGAGATGAGTCACTATGGGTCTGGTTACAGAGATGGACGTGCAGGTGCAGACCTGGGTGGGGCAAGGGAACTGGGGGTACAGCGGCTGTGCCAGGCAGCAGCAGCAGTTGTGGATGAAACCCCCAGGCCCTGAGGTAGCTGCAGGTGCCAAGAACCCCAGCCTCCTCCTTCCCTCTCCCTACCCCAAACAAAGCCCTAAAGTCTCCACTCTCGGTCTCCACTCTTGCTGCACTGAGAAGCAGAAGGCTGGGGACAAAGCAGGAGAGAGACAGAGAGAGAATCCCAGGAACAAAGAGCTTTTCATGAAAAGGCAGGAATGAGAGACCGTTGGGCTCTAATGTGGATGGAAGAGGTGAGAGAGCTGGGTGGCAAGAAGGAGAAGAGTGTGGGGCATTTGTCAAGCCTGTGGGGAGGAGGGGGCAGATCAGACAGCAGGGAGGGTTTTGGGTCAGGGCTGAGGGCATCCGTGCAGCTGGGCAGAGCCGGCCTTGGTATTCCTCTCTATCCTGCCACCAGCTCTATTGACAAGGTGGATTGATGAGGAACATGCCAGACCATAATTCCTCGTTGCCTGGGCAACATGCCGCTATCCGTCCCTCTCCCCACCACGCAGCTCCTGCCTCAGACAGATTCCTCCCGTAAATCAATTGCCACCTGCTGCCCCTCTCCCCCCTCCCCACCCACCCATCACCTCCTTGACAGGGCGGGGGGGGAGGCAGGCTGGGGGCATCCAGGGTTATCTTCCACAGCTCCGGGAAGGGGGATTTTTTAATCATTAAGGAAAGCTTGGGAATCAAGCTCCTGACCTAGGTAGGGTGCACACCGCCAGGGGATATTCTCCGGCAGAAGTCCCATGGAAGTGAATGGAGGGTGGTGCGGAAAACCACAGCCATGCTGTGAGGAGGACAGCATTATTTATTAAACTGAACTATGTTCATGGGAGAGGGATTGATCCTTGATGTGAGGAACTCCTGGGCTTTCCTTGGGTGGGCTGCTTTAGCATCAGGCTTTGGAGCCAGGAAAAGGAAAGGAAACTGGGGAGTTAGATGGAGTTTGGGGCCTTAACCTGCATAGATGCCCAGGATATTGTAAATAAGGGTGTTTTTTCCTTAACAGAAATTCAAGACCAATTACCCAGATACCGGAATTATGTGCTTCAATGTTAATACTCCCTCTTGTTATTAGGCTGGTGAAAGTGATAATTAAATAGCATCTCTCCCTAATAAGGAGCCAGCCAGACAGCAAAACAATATTGCAAGCTGCCAAAAAGGGACGGGGGGGGGATTGGATGGCAAAATGTTTTCCCTCCCCATCTTCTGACTGCCATAAAATCAAAATCAGATTTGTTCCAGCTGAGATTTGGGGTTATTTAACTTCCCAGGATACAATGCCTATTCATGCTGATCTGCCCAGCATTTGGGGGATCTCAGGGCCCTCACCTTTCAGGACAGAAAATGCCATTGATTTTCATTCATTTTTCTAACTACTCACTTGATTGCAGGAGGGATTTATGTCCGGTGTGTGTGTGTGTTTAATTGGCTGTAGTTGTGCTGTGTCTGGTAGAAATCCAAGGATTGGAGTGTTCACAAATGCTGTTTTCCAGCTCAGAGGATTTCTTGGTCAGCAGGTGTTCAGCCCAAAATATTAGACTTCTGCTGTGAATATTCTGGGTTGCATTTCCCAGTAAGAGATTTCTCCCTGGCAAGGGCATAGCCCCATTTAAGCTCAGAAATTATTTCCCCCTTATTGGAATCGAAGGAGAATTCAAGGTGATTAAGAGGGAGAGGGGAGTCTTCCTGATCTCTGCTTTTTTGCTATATATAAAAGTTGATCGAATTGAGAGGGGAGAAACTTTAATGCCTTCCTCTCTCAGAAGCAGCCTTTGCCAACCTGGTGCCCCCCAGGTGGATGGGACTTGTAGTCCAAAGCAACTGGAAGACTTCAGCTTGGTGAAGGCTTCCTGGGATTTTGCTCCCCTTGATGGGGCAAGAGGAAGAGGATGTGTGCTTGGATTGGTCAGGTGTAGTTTTGCCGCCCCCGCCCCCCAAGATGATGGTGATGGTGAACTGGCAATACCCTGTTCTCTGAATGAGTGAGCAGTGCTTGCTTTCCTAAACAACAGCTTGCTTAGACAGTTGCACCTCCTAAATGCAATTTTTTTATTTACCTCTGTAAATAAATGTAAATGATTCGGTGCACATGTTTAAAACACTCAGTTTTTAAATTGTTGGTTTGTCATCAAATTAATGGGTTCTGAAAACAGATTCTGGGGCTGGTAGCTCTGCTTTGATTCCAATACCACACTGGGGGCAGGGGTGCCTCCTTGAATAAAGTATTGGGGGGGGGGAGGTAAGCCCTGCCTCACATAACAGACCACAAGACAAGGCATGAGCACACCATTTGAATGGCAATGGCCGTCAACTTGGGGGGAGGCTGGCCCCCTCAAATATTTTATTGGGGAGGGGAAAGGACCTTGGCCCCTAGGAGTTGGCTCGTATGGTTGGGGGTGGGCAGAAGAAGGAGCCAGATACAAGCTGAGCCTTTGGTTTTGCCTATGCACACACAACCTGCCATCAGGTCCACAGACACTTCATCAATCTCAGCAAGCCTGTGGCATGTGTGTGTGTGTGTGTATGCAAAACCGCTATGATCTAAGCATAGGAAAACAAGCCCCACCCAGCCTAGGAAATACGGCCTGAGGTTAGCAGCAAATCATCACACACAGGCACAGACCTGTGCAAACCACCAGCACCCGACTCTCTCTTGTGTGCAGCAGTTCACTTATAAATAGAGAGGGGTCTGGGCTCATTTGAAGCCTCTGACCTGACAGCCGGGGGGGGGAGGGGGTAAGGCGGATGCAGGCAGTGAGGTGTTCTCTTCATTTGATATTGCTCCAGGTGTCCTCACATCTGAAGGATGCCAGCCTCACCCTTCAGCTTTTAGGGCTGAGCCTGGGAGAGCAGTTGATCCCACTCAAACACTCTGTGCATGCAAAGCACAGCAGATTTTCACACACACACACACCGATGTTTTGGGGCTGATGGGAGTTGCAGTTCAAAACATCTAGTAGGTGCCAGGTTGGCACAAGAACACATCCTGGAAATTCTTTACTTCTAGGAAACACCTCCACAAAGGCACCATGCAAGCACTGCAGGCCTGGGCTGTGCACATGCCACCACCCACCATATCTGCACAGCATAATATGAGAGGCACATACAACCCTTTTCTCCTTTACACACAACCTGTCTCTCCTCCACACACAACTGACTGCACACTTAGGTCTGCATAATGCACTCATCACATGCACACCAGCATTATGTTTCAGTAGCCATGAATCCATCAACGGACTTACACCAAACCCTTTGAGAAGACCTAGAAACCCACCAATCATTCACATTCACACACACACACGTTGTTACATTACTCTGTTGCACATGCCTGCAAAGCAGATTTTCATAGACATATAAACTTTCAAAAGATTGTGGACCTCAGGATCATGTCCATCGCCAGCATGCCCCCCCCCCCAGAGAGAGACACAGCAGCAACACCATATACACAAAACCCCAAGCTCTCCCCACTGCCCCTCCCTATTCTGCACAACACAACACAGCCCCCCCTCACACACACATACCCCATGCGATCAACATTCCTTCTCACCTGCAAAATTCTGTTATTCACATATAGCCAACTCACACACGCATTTCAAGCTCTGCATGTGCAACCCACAACCTGTACACACACACAACCAGTATCCATCTTCCAGTACCATCTTCCAGTCCTTACTCACAATGATTTCATTCCTGCCTCCCAGTGCTATTTACAAATTCTTCCAGAATAGCACAACCTTGCACAACGCCTCCAAAATAGAGCGATGCTCTGAGTAACTACTTCCCACACACAACAGTCTGATACCTCCTCTCAGACACATGCAAAGTGTAGTTTTAAAGAGCTCCCATCTTGCCTTCCATGGATGCAGAAATAATTGAAAAAGATGTGTTGCCTGAAGCAGCAGTCCAAATGGTACCCTGCCTCCCACCAACAATTTAAATATCTATATGATACATTAAATAATTAACTACTTGCTGCTCTTTAATGGCCGCTGCCCAAAACCTGCTGCCTGAGGCAGACCATCTCACACTGCGTAATGGTCATGCTGGTCGTCCACCAACGACAGGAATGGTAGAGCCTTCTGTTTTAGGCCCAGATCCAGCTGCCACACCCTTTCGCTACTCTCCCTCCCTCTCCCCCTCCAACCATAATTCAACATCTTCGCCCACAAGCTGCCCGCGATTCCCACAGCATCCTTGCCAGCACACAATGCTTCCCCTTCTCACACACCGAGGTCCACAGCGTGCTCTTTCCCCCACATACAGGCACATGCTCCAGCCTCCTTAGCGCAGATGTACACAGGAGAGACTCATCATCACACACCATTCTGCTATCCTTCCTCCCTACCCACACACCCAGCTCCCTCCCTCTCTCACACACACACCGTCTTGGCACAACCCTTCTAGCGCACACAACTCATTCTGAAGACAATCTTGCCTCGGCTTCCACTCCTGGAATACTCCCCTTCCTCAAGCAAGCCCTCATCCTGGCATACAATGGTGCACACATCTGTTTCCATGACACATCCCCATCCTTGGCACATTCTCACACTCAAGGGGCCCTGCTGCCTCCCTCCCTCCCGCCTCTTCTCTCACACACCCCTTATTACTGCCCCCCAAAAGACCCCCATACATCTTCCTCTGAGAGGAAAGAGCTAAAGATGGCTTGCACCTAGAGATTTTGCCCCCCCCCGGCCCCCGCCATCTTCTCCAGCACATCTCTTGGCCCTTACATTCCCATGCACCCTCCCCGCAAGAGGGGTCCCTTTCCCTGCACCCGGAGGGTCTCCCCTTCTCGGCCCCTTCTTCCCCGATTCCCTCCCCTGGATCCTAGCCCCACGGACACACACCCAGCCAGCCCTGAGCCCTGACCCACAGCCACCACCACACGCCCAGCAACTTCTCCTAGAGACAGATGCGGGTCGAGGGCGGGCGGTTTGCACCAACCTATTTCTTCTAACCTGGTTGTGCGTGTTCCACTAAGGAACCCCTCAGGTCTCCTTTATACCCCAAATTTAGAAGAGCCCCCCCCCGCCTCCAGATCCTGACAAAGGCGGGAGGAGGGACAGCCCTCCCAGCGAGGGGACCCATCCTCTCCCCCAACCCCGAGGCTCCTGCCGAGGCCGGGGAGGGGGTCCCCGCGACAGCCCCTCCTGCCTCCTACCTGAGCCGCGCCCGTCCCTCCGCTCGCCCCGCAGCCGCCGCCTCGCCGACTCCTGCTGCTCCTGCTGCAGAGCCCGATCGATGTGACATAATCGGCGGCGGCGGCGGCGGCGGCGGCGAGAGTCCCCTCCCTCCCCGCCCCGCCCTGCCCCCTCCCTCCGCCCTCCTCCCCTCCTTCCCGGGCTCTGGTTGGGCCCCAAAGCTGGACGGGGAGGGGGGGATAAGGTAGGCATCGGCTGGGGCGGGGGGGGAGAAGGGAGTGCCCCCCCTCCACTCGCCGGCCCTGCGCTAAGGAGAGTTGGGGTGGGGCGGACTGGTGGGGGGAGAATGAGCGCAGCCTCTCCTTCGCCACTTTTCTTCCTCCGCTTGGACAGGAGGAGGGGGTGCCCCAGCGGGTGGGTTGCACCTCAAGGGTCTGCCGCCGGACGCCTGGGTCCCTCCCCACCCCACCCCCGAGCCAGGGGGGAAGGAAAACGAGCCGCAGCAGGGATGCCAGCAACGGCATCCAAAAATCTTTGGCTTTCTGCTCGCATCTTGGAGGAGGAGACGGTGCAGCGACGAAGTAGTAGGGTGGGATACGCACAGAGAGACATGTTTTTAATTGATATATATATATATAAATGTAGCCAAGACCTTCTTCTTAGCTGGGCTCCTGGGAGAGGGAAGGAATTTAGGAGCCTCAAAACGGGATTTGGAAGAGCTATTTGAAGGTCACAAGCCCCACATCTTCCAGTCTCTCCCCGCCCCCCGCCTCATACACACACTTTTAGAGGGTGCCCTTTTGGTGCCACCTTTGTGTATGTGTGAGAGTTGATAAAAGCAAAACGTTTCTTAATAAACGTCCAAAAGACTCAGAAATGAGGAGTTTCGAAGGGAGAGCTTTCGGCAAATCTTAAGAGCGGGGTGTCTTGATTAAGAAGGTGCCAAGGGAGATATGGTTAAGGGGGTACAAGTTAGCATAAAGCAGCCCTGGCGGGACCACAACCGACCCAGATTCGAGAGGTGCCGGGTGCTGTGATTTCAAAGCCCAAAAGGGTCTGGCCTTTCTCTGGCTGCCAAAGTGCGGGCCGAATGGCTGTGGCGGAACGCAGCCAAAGGACGGAGCCGCGCCACCTTCCTGCCCTTCTTCATGCCAGCTTGGCTCCTCTGTATCTGATAAGCCAGGGAGCAGGCAGAGAAATGGATCCTGGCGCCTGTAGGCTTTCGATGTGCAAAGCAGCGTGGTGAAGGATGGAGGAGGCATGAGAGGAGGATGAAGACGAAGCAGAAAAAGCAAGCGCCTGGAGCTCGCCAGCAACAGAGATGAGGAAAGCCCAGGATGAGGAGCAGCAGCTACAGGTTGCGCCAGGCCACTCCAGCACCTGCTACACCTGGGATCGGAAACGAAGAGAGATGAACAGGAGACTCCGGGGCTGGCCACAGGGTTTGGGTGAGGCGACCTGAGCAGCGGGGCCGAAGGGCTTCTCCCCAGGGCAGGAGCTTTCGCAGGGCAAGCAAATGAACTGTGAAGATCCACAGCACCGCAGGAGGCTTGCAGGGCAGGTGGGCGCAGGATGGCTCACCCCAGAGGAATGTGGCGGCATCTTTGTTCTGTCCACACCTGAGGAATCATTGACCAAAACGGGTGGGGAAAGCTCTGGCCCTCCAGGCGTGGTTGGGCTACAGCACCCAGGCAGTATGGCCAATAGTCAGCGGGGGATGGGAGTGGCAGCCTGGCAACATCTGGAAGGGCGCCGGCTCCTCAGCACACACACATCCCCGCTGGTTGGTTGGTTCTTCAATCAAATTCCAGGCAGCTGTTTCAGATCTAGCAGTGGCTCAAGACCCTTTTCCTCCCACAAGTGGCTACATGCACAGCACGAGCCAAAACCCTGGGCCAAATGTAGAATCAGAGCATTTCAGAGCTCGAAGGAGCCTTAGAAGCCATCTAGTCCAACCCCTTTTCTTAGGGCTTCCTTTTACAGACAATTGGTCCACAGCTAAAGCTGGGGTGAGGAACGTGTTCCAGCACATTCTACAAAGGACATATTTGCATGTGTTGCTCCACCCATTTTTGGTTCTGGCCACGCCCACAATGGAAAGGGACCCTTGGAAGTTTCCTCAGAAGGGAATTTATTCACTTTTATTTGTTTTTATTCATTTCATTTCCATACTGATTTGTATTTTTAGAGGGGGGGCGGAGAGAATCTCAAAGCAGTTTACAACCTACATAAAACCATAAAATAAAACAATCCAGAAGAATAAATTATGGAAGAAAGTCGAATATAAAGTATACATTCAAAGCAACATAATTAACAGGAAACTAAATATTATCTTAAATATTTCAAAATAAAACTTTGCAGAGGATGTCAACTGCAGAATCCACATTTAAGGCAGCCAAGTTAACAAAACAAATTATCTTCAATCAGGCTTGATGACCTGAGAGGCAGCCAAGATGGTCTCTGGCCTCTTCTTTTGCAGCAGGAGTCAGTCCAGGCCCCGCCCTCCCAGGCCAGGTGGGGAAAGGCCTGCAGGGCAGAGAGCAGGTCTTCTGGGACTCACAGCCAAGGCTCAGATCTAGACCAAAAGGGCTTTCCATAACTGGCAGAAGTTCTCTGGGACCTTCTGTAGCAACATTCACTTTCTCAGCCCTTCGCTCTGAGATCCTTTGGACAGGAAGTGCCAAGCTGAGCCAAAGGTTCACCACAGACACAGACATGCCGCCCCTCAGCCAGCATCCTCTTGAACCTCACAAGGCTTTGGGGGGAAACACAGGGATGTTTCACAACCTCCTCCCCAGACATACTTCTCGCCTGCTTGCAAAGTCAGACTGGCTTTGCCAAACCTGGGACCCCCCCTATTCCCCAACCCCCCAGCTCCATAACATGCCACCAAGAGGGCAGGTGGCATGTAGGTTTAGGTTAGGGTTGGGTTAATCAGATCAGATGTATGTCCCGCTCCCCACAACAATAAGTCCCAAAGCGATTTATGGTAATAAAATACCATAGTGGAAAGTGCACAAGCCGCTCCGCATTATACAGCCCAATCCCATTGGTGGTTATTCAAAAATAAGTTCTCAGTGTGGCTTACTCTCAAGTAAGAGTACCTGCTGACCATCATTATTTTGTGGGAGGGATTCAAACACATATTAAAAATTTAGGTTTGTGCAATTAATGTAGATTAAAGTTCTAAAGGGACATGGGGGTGCTGTGGGTTAAACCACAGACCCTAGGATCAGAAGGTCGGTGGTTTGAATCCTCGTGACGGGGTGAGCTCCTGTTGCTCAGTCCCTGCTCCTGCCCACCTAGCAGTTCAAAAGCACAAAAAGTGCAAGTAGATAAATAGGTACTGCTCTGGCGGGAAGGTAAACGACGTTTCCGTGCGCTGCTCTGGTTCGCCAGAAGCGGCTTAGTCATGCTGGTCACATGACCCGGAAGCTGTACGCCGGCTCCCTTGGCCAGTAAAGCGAGATGAGTGCCGCAACCCGAGTCGGCCATGACTGGACCTAATGGTCAGGGGTCCCTTTATCTTTAACTTTAAAGTTCTATTAATATAACAAATCCACTTTAAAAAAATAAATAAGTGAGCTTTTTGTGGTGAGGAAAGCAGCTAGGATATCCACTGAAAAGTGTGGGATGAACAAATGGTGAATGGGAAAGATGTATAAACATCCCAGAAAGAAACCAGGATGAATGCTTCTCATGTAGCCGCCCCACAAACAAATCAGAATGGATGTTCAACAAAGTCCAGACATTTTGCAGATAAACCAGACCATCTGGTTTAGGTTAGGTGCCCTAAATGTGGACAAGACTGCAACCGTATTCTTTAATCTAATTCTAGTCCTACCCCAAGTATAAACTGTTTGTCTGTTTGTCCTCCTAAATCCATCAAAGTTGGCTTCAAAGAAACACACACTTCCTAAGTCTTATCCCTGAAAACAGAACTGAAATTTAATTTGCTAAAAAAAATTTTTTTAAAAAAAAGATTTCTCCTCTGTGAATGTTGTTGAGTAACCAGCTAATATAAGTCTTTGTTTATTTGACTTCACATTTTGACATCTAATTGTATTGGATCTCCATATTCAAAAGCTGACATGTAAATGGCATGTTATATTCAAAAGTGGGCAGAATTTTTATGCTTTGTCGCATGATGCAGCATGAACACTTTGATGCTACTGTCATATAATTTTGCAAAAATACGCACAGTCTATTACACAATGGTCTGAGGACCTCATGAACATATTTCAGGTTAGTTTTGTGTGGATACCTATCTGGACATTTGAGGGGCTTACATATATATTTAACTTAAGATGCATGTACTGTGTGGTTATTGTATTCAGATTGTGACCTGTCAGCTTTTTTTGTTACTCTTTAGTATTATTTATATACCATTTTTTAAATTTAAAAATGCCTTTACTTTCCTCCCTCTTTTTTCTTTGTTAAATCTGCAACTAATTTTTTTTAAAAAATCTTGCAAAATAGTACGGGACCTGGCTTCATCCCCACAAATGGTAGGAACTAAAATGGAGGCAAAATCTGGGGCGCTGCTGGTTTATATTTTTAAAAATACCAGCATGTAATTTGCGTACTCTGCAGGACCATTGCAGATTCTGGACTGGGACTCCTTTGACAGACTTCTTGGTTTCCTAATGCCCTGGGAATCTGCCTGTTTTCTCCAAGGCGTCTCTATAGCTGACACGAAGGAGATGGTCACATGGCTTCGGTCCACCACTCAGTTTCAAAGGGCTTATTGTAATAAAGAAGTTTTGGAAACAACTCAGATCAGCAACCGTTTGCATGGGAGCAGTTTGCGACGCTGCGATTTCACAGGAGGCACAGACATCCGCACCATACATTGAATGCCCATTTAGATCACATAGCTTCACCACAAGAATCCCGGGAACTGAACTTTGTTAAGGGTGCTGGGAACTGTAGCTCTGTGAGGGTAAACTACAATTCCCTGGAGCCTTTTGCAGGAAGCCCTGATGGTTGAAGTGATATAAATGTGCTTTAAATGTACGGTGTGGATGTGATCTACAGGGCTAAGGGGCAAAAATTCACTGGGGCACCTTCCTGCACCAGCCCTGTTGAACAGCATGACCACTGTGTTCT